GGCGCACTGGTGGCTATGGAAGTGGCGCGACGAGTGGATGCTGAGAGAGAGAGGCAGAGAGAGAGAGAGAGAGAGAGAGAGCTAGACAGACTCGCGTGCTCATGGAGGAGGGTGCATGTGGGAAGTGTGATTCAGAAGAAACCAAAAGGATGAGTGAAATTTAAAAGGGAGAAAAGAGTAAGTAAGTCATCGTTTATAAAGCACGCACAAAGCAAACCTGGATCTAAGTCCCAGCCCTGGATCTACAGCCTCAGTCCTGGATCTACAGCCTCAGTCCTGGATCTACAGCCTCAGTCCTGGATCTACAGCCTCAGTCCTGGATCTACAGCCTCAGTCCTGGATCTACAGCCTCAGTCCTGGATCTACAGCCTCAGTCCTTGATCTACAGCCTCAGTCCTGGATCTACAGCCTCAGTCCTGGATCTACAGCCTCAGTCCTCCCGGAGACGACTGCTGTTGTGATTAAAGACGAGACACAAAAAAAACGTAATTGAATTGTAAGGTTGAATTCCCAGAGGATTAATAAAAGTGGCATAGTCACATGGCCACTACTGCATTTACAGTGTTTTCTTGGTCTGAGATGAGGAACATGTCTCCTTTAAACAGTGTTTTCTAATATGTGACTTCTCTCCAGACAAACATGAACTGTGACATTACCAGGACTCGGTATAAAATACACTAGTTATATTTTATGTATAATGCATCGGGTTTATGCAGCACTTGGACACTCAAAGATGCTTTACTAGTCATTATTCTCTCACTCCAAACACAGTGGTGATAAACTACTACTATAGTCACAGCTGCCCTGGGGCACACTGACAGCAGCAAGGAAATCAGTATGTGCCAACAGTAAATCTGGGCCTCTCTGGTGCTCGGTGCACCATGATGAGGGCCTCAGTCCTGAGGCTTCTACTAGCCGTTGGTAGGACTCTCTTACAGCACCTTCATACATACACACACACACACGCACACACACGCACACACACGCACACACACACACACACACACACACACACACACCTGGACACCTGGTGGCTCGTTGTCTTGGTTGTTCTTTTTTAATCTACTACATCAACAATTATACTCAATTTACTCTATTTGTGTTTTTCCCATCTCGAGCGGCAGAACCAGACTAAAGATCCCTCATATCTCTCGTTTCATTCAAGCACTCTGTTGTGTCTTTGATTACATCGCCATCTAGTGGTGTAAAGGTATCAGTAAATACAGAACTAGTATTTAACCGTCACAACTGTTGGTGAGCAGAGGCGGTCTGAGACTCTCTGCTTCAGGGGTGGTTAGGATCTGTGTGGGGGGGGGGGTTACCATGCATCAAAAACACAGTAAATATAAAACCATTATCTCCGTGGCTCAGAGTCAGTTCTGGCATTTCAGCTTTACTGTGATGGTGTCATCACAACAGAACCGCAATCTGGAGACACTGCACAGAGACAGAACATGTATTCAATGATTTATTGATATATTGATTTGTTTGTTGGTGTGTTTGTTTGGCCCTAGACCCTGACAACGGCACTTGGTCTGTGAAGATCATTGTGTGACGCTTATAGTCCTTGGGCCTAGGTACAGAGACTTGAGACCAGGACTAATGTGAGAGGACTTCAGGACAGAGACCAAAGACATAGACCAGAAGGATCAGTGAGGACCACCTCCTGCAGGACGATCAGTGAGGACCACCTCCTGCAGGACGATCAGTGAGGACCACCTCCTGCAGGACGATCAGTGAGGACCACCTCCTGCAGGAGGATCAGTGAGGACCACCTCCTGCAGGACGATCAGTGAGGACCACCTCCTGCAGGAGGATCAGTGAGGACCACCTCCTGCAGGAGGATCAGTGAGGACCACCTCCTGCAGGACGATCAGTGAGGACCACCTCCTGCAGGAGGATCAGTGAGGACCACCTCCTGCAGGAGGATCAGTGAGGACCACCTCCTGCAGGAGGATCAGTGAGGACCACCTCCTGCAGGACGATCAGTGAGGACCACCTCCTGCAGGACGATCAGTGAGGACCACCTCCTGCAGGAGGATCAGTGAGGACCACCTCCTGCAGGACGATCAGTGAGGACCACCTCCTGAAGGACGATCAGTGAGGACCACCTCCTGCAGGAGGATCAGGGAGGGGCTGATGCTCTGGGAATTGGGTGGCAGTTCGGTTAGGTTCTTTGTATTCATCTCATGAAAATATATAGTTATACAAGTTTCAAATCATTCAAACAAATCCTTTAATTGTTCAATCACAATCAATCAGTTGATTGTCATGTCATGTTTGTAAATGCAACTTTAGACTTGCAGAGAGAGAGAGAGAGAGAGAGAGAAGGGGGGGGGGGGGGGTTGTCTTTGTTTACGGAGGTATGGACCACCTTATACAGTATGAACACAAACAAATTAAATGTATTGATAATTCTAAAAAACTTACAATAGTAATAATAAAATGCAACAGCACTTTGGGTCACAGCAGGTGGACCATCCGCTCAGTGGAGCAGCAGCAAAAACAGAAGTACATACTGAAGAAGATGACATAGTCTGGGATTGCGTCTTTCATTCAGACAGAAGACATGTTTTATTGTCGATGGTAGAGACAGCACGAGCAACACGAACACAGAATGCAAGTGTATTATACAGAGCGGAGGCATGGAGACCTCCAATCAGCAGCTTCCACGGTGCCATGTAGCTTGGCCTTCAGATAGACAAAACAAGGAAAAAGTACTGGCTTCTGCACATTGATAGAATGATGAGTTTAACTTTAACAAAAGTTGCTTAAAAGTGTTATGAAATCTCACATTCCCCCCTCTGGTCACACATTCACGTGTGACCATCAGGATCGATAAACAGCAACATAACATCATAACTCAATACTTCAAAAACTCATAAACTCGGTACTTCACTCGGTACTTCAAAAACTCAGAACTCAGAATACTTCAAAAACTCATAAAACATTTTCAGATCTTTCATAAAACTTGTCAACAATCTTCAGTAAAATACCAAACTTCATCAGTCGATGGTGGTTCCAGATATTGCTTTGAAAACAGTCTCTCCCACTTCTCCGTGTTGATTTCTTCAGGCTGCATTTGTGCCGAGCCATGATTCTTCTGTGACGTGTCTTTCAATCACACGTTTCAGCTTCAGTGTCCAAATTCAGAAATCCAATTGTTCCAAATGATGTCCATGCAAAAGAGGACGATGGTATTGTCCATGTCTCAGCAGCTCACAGCCTGACTGGAGTCAGGGGCTGTGCAGATTGTCCATGTGCTGATCCAGATGCATTCTCTTGAGGTTTCTCAGTTTTGGCTTGAAAAAAAAAACACATTTTTGTGTAAAAAAAAAAGTCTTCTGTTCTGTAGATGTTACAGACAATGCCCGCATCCTTCCACCACCTGAAGAAGATGACAAAGTCTGGGATCGCGTCTTTAATTCAGACAGAAGACATGTTTTATTGTCGATGGTAGAGACAGCACGAACAAAACGAACACAGATACAACAGAATGCAAGTGTATTATACAGAGCGGAGGCATGGAGACCTCCAATCAGCAGCTGCCACGGTGCCATGTAGCTTGGCCTTCAGATAGACAAAACAAGGGAAAAGTACTGGCTTCTGCACATTGATAGAATGATGAGTTTAACTTTAACAAAAGTTGCTTCAAAGTGTTATGAAATCTCACAATACCTTATAAAGGTATGAGGGCGGCACGGTGGCTGAGTGGATAGCACTCTTGCCTCTCAGCAAGAAGGTCCTGGGTTCGAATCCCGGTTGGACCAGGGCCTTTCTGAGTGGAGTTTGCATGTTCTCCCCGTGTCTGCGTAGGTTTCCTCCGGGTGCTCCGGTTTCCCCTACCACTAAAAATATGTACAATAGGTCTGGCATGTGCCTCCTGTACTGGCACCCCTGCTCCCAAAAAAATAACAATTGTAAACCGCTTTGAGACTCCGATGTGCAGTGAAAAGGCGGTATATAAATAAAGATTACTTACTTACTTAAATCTTTTTAGCTCACTTCCAAAAATAGTGCACATCTGTAGGTGAGATCTGTTGTACAGTCCTATTTTTATAATTTGAATAAAATAAATCCAGATGCAGATCTAGAATTTGAATGTCTTTAATGAAACAAAAATCACTGGAAAAAGAGAAATGGGTTGAAGAATCTGTTCCTCCTATTTCCTCCTTTGAAGTGTATGTGTCATACAACAACATGCACAATGTCAAAGTGGCCGCGAGCAGCCCCTCTCAAAGGAAAACGTGAAAAAACGCCTGTGCGCATGTGTTACAGTAGCTGTACGAGCCTGGACACATGGCGATCATTAACGAGTGCATTCAGAGGTCCACAGCGGCTAAGCTCGGCCGGATGTAGCTGAGGGGAACAAAATCTTCCCCTCAGCTACATCTCTTGAGCCAAGAGCCAAATTTTGGACCAGGTTGTAAAGCTGTTTGTAAAGCTGGAAAAAAGATAATAGTTCTGGTTCTGAGTAAAACAGAACCAGACAGAACAGCAGAATCTGCTCACAGAGCTCACATGCATGTATTTTATAATAAACCAGTTTTTCTATTGTCTGTTGACATTGTGTCCTTGGGCAAGATCAGTGAGGGGCTGGTGCTATGTGTACTGGGTGCAGCTCTGACTGCCACCCCCCGACCCTGAAATGGATTAAGGGGAAAATGGATGGATTGGCAGCACTTGTTTACAGTCACAGGAGAAACTCAGGCTGGAGGCATGTGTTCATAAGCACTGTGCCCCCCAGCCCTGGTTTAGTCCTGGTTTAGTCCTGGTTTAGTCCTGGTTTAGTCCTAGTTTAGTCCTGGTTTAGTCCTGAACATTTCCAGAACATTCAAAAAAAAACAACAGTTGTTTCCCCACAAACGATCTCTGTCTCCATGGAATCCTCTCTACATGGATTATATTCAGTTGATGCTTGGACTCAGGAGAGAGAGGCTGTGTCGCGCAGAGCTCTCTGGATATGGTTTCTGAATTATAATTTCAACTAAATGAACACAATGGAAATGAGGCAAAACAGTCTGAGAAAGAGCCTCTCGTGTCCGGATGGCCATCAACAGATCCCAGCATTCGGTAAGAAACTGTTTAGGTAGACAGACAGATTCTTTATTAGGATAAATGCAGGTGTCCAGCAGCAGAAACACATCCATCCAAACAAACACGTAAATACATCGTTCTAAAAGTGACTAACAATAGTATCAAAGTGCAGCAGCAGCAGCAGCAGCAGCAGCAGAGGTGGTGCAGTCGCTGGTGATGAGCTGCTTCCTCTGGGTGATGATGTTTGCAGAGTCTGTTTGGTTGAGACCATTTTCTCTGCTCTGGTCCAGAATGAAACGCTGAATGCTTTATTAGCCTTTTTAGAAACATTAGCATTCCTCCGGTGGATTCCCAGTTGGTCTGCTTGGTTGGAGCCATCCTCTATGCTCTGGTCTGGATCAGTGTAAAACCAAGAACATTGTGCTGCAGTAACATTTACAGAAAAAGCAATAAAAATAAAGGTTGTAAAACACAAAACAACTGTTTCAGAGATACATAAGACTCGCTGCTGCTTCCAGAGAACAAAGAATATTATTGTGACTGTTACACTCAGATACATCACCATTTTCTCAGAGAGGACACAATTTTCTCTTGTTATATTTATATGATTAAAGATTACTAACTTACTCACTACTTGTCAACATTAATCTACCTACCTACCTACCAGTAACTTCTGTTCAAACCATCCATTCAAAGTAGATCCTATCATCTATACCAGAGATTCAATTCAATGTGTTTGTGTACAGCTCTAAATCACAACAATAGTCATCTCAGTGGACTTTACAAAGCTGTCAATTCACCAACACAGATCAGGAAGTCAAACATAAATGGGATTGAATGTGGAATGTCCTGGATCATCATCACTGTTCTTAGACCCCTAGTCAATCTTATGGCTGGTAGATGTTGATTAGGAAGCCGTTTTCAGGTCAAATGTACATTGTGTCTTTTATATATAGGTATGTGTAATGAAAAATGGGCCAGTTGTAACCAGTGTTATATCAGAATGTGATGTGCTACCTGTGATCCAACATCTCCTGTTGTGTTCCAGTGACCTCTCTGTTCCCCTCCTATAAATTCCTGAGGTTGACGCGTTCGAAGAAGACACCAGGGTGTATCCAACACAAACGGCAGGTCAGAGCGAGTGTTCGGAAGCATCTCCCCGCATGGACCACCTCAGACGGACGCATGGCCAACAGGAAGCGTATGAGGCCCACAGAGGAAGAAGAGGACGTCCAACCTCCCACAAAGAGAAGAGACTCCCTTCCATTGGTCCACGTAAGCCAGAGCTCGTTGGACAACACTGACACTCCCGCGCCCAAGAGAAGATTTGCTTTTCCATGGCCCTATGCTCGCAAGAGCTCCTCAGAGTCAGAAGACTCTCAACCCCAAGTGTCCAAAAGCAGGTTCCACTTTTCATGGCCCTTCAACCGCAGACGCTCCAATGAGAAGGGAGTCCAGAACCACAGGGTTCCTGAGAGGTCCGACACACAACAGATAACCAAGCAGACCTCAGCAGTCACAGAGACTCCACCAGGTAAGAAGGCTTTACTCTTCCTCATGTTGATAAATAAAGTGCAACGCATGGATTTGTGTCAGATTTCAAATGACTGTGTAGTAGGATGGGCAAATTTCATCACTCACTCATAATTATTATTCATTATAAACTTCTCTTGTTCAACAGGAAAATCACTGCAGGGGGAGAAAGAGGGGGAAGAGGAGGAAAACAAGGAAGACGAGGAAGAGGAGCAAGAGGAGAGGCCAGACGTAGAGATGGAGGACAACTCCTCAGAGTTCCACACCCCCCATGAGTCCGTTGCTGACATGGAAATAGGTACAAAACTGTAGAAGGAGAGCCATTGGTCCATAAGGAGCAGAGACCAATAACTCAAGCTATAAGTTTAGAAGTGTGGGTGACATCAGTGATTTGTTTTGCTGACGTTGACCGAAATGATCCATTTGAGTGTTCTCTGATAACTCACAAAAGTGTCCAAACAGGATCAGACCCACTGCTGCTTCCAGAGAAGGAAGAGTTCCCGCTGAGACTGGACGTCCTGAAGGGTGAGTCCATGGAACCATCTAGAATGTGAAGAATGTAGAGATGTGGATCTAAAACATTGTGTTGCAGAGATAGAGGATAAATACTTGGTGATGGAGAGGCTTGAAGAGGGATACATGTCCATCGTTTTGAAAGGACTGCGTCGAGAAGACCTGACACCTGTAAGTCTCCAACACTGGGAGCTTTATCACTGAACAGACTCTGACCTGAGGGCAGGGGGTCCCCTGTTTGACCCAGGGCCCTTAAAAACACATAGAGGAAGACCCACAATATTTGCCTCTTGGAGCTGATTGGCTGAGAGAGGGAAGGCGCTGTATCAGAGTTTCATTATCTGTGGTTAGAAGATAGGTTTATATGTTTTACAAGATGGCTCTACTTTGTGTATATGACCTTAGAGCTGTCTGACCTCAGCACTGTCTGACCTTAGAGCTGTCTGACCTCAGAGCTGTCTGACCTCAGAGCTGTCTAACCTCAGCCTCACCTTAAAGCACTTTGGCACAGTTTACGATGGCTGTGGTCCACACTCATATTTACAGTCTATGTCCACACAGACACTTTAACATGTATTAAATAAGCTACAGTAAAAACAGTGTAAAAGGGGACAGACACATGAGGGGGAGGTACAGACACATGAGGGGGGAGGTACAGACACATGAGGGGGGAGGTACAGACACATGAGGGGGAGGTACAGACACATGAGGGGGGAGGTACAGACACAGGGGAGCAGAAAGCTTACACATGTAAAGATTAAAGGTCACTGAGGAGGCCTAGTTTAAGGTTCGACATAAACACAGAGGGTTTGTTGCTGTTACTAATGTTACTGTGGCTTCCTCCAGGTGGCGCTGAAGAAGATTTCCAGAAAATATGTTCAGTTTGTCAAAGTGGTAAGTCTTGGTGCTCCATACTACAATGAGGATTCAGAATGGTGTAGAATAGTGTTGTATCTGTGATCCCTCCAACAGAAGGTGAACAAGGAGCTGCTGGTGCTTCCTCTGGAGGTGTTTATGCTGCTGAAGGTGGGAGCAGGTTCAGGGTCAGAGGGCATCACTCCTCAGCTCCTGGATTGGTACGACGCGGGCCAGTACGTGTACCTGGTGTTCCAGAGGCCCATCCCTTGCGAGGACCTCCTGGATTACGTCTTCTCCAAGGACCGAATACGCAATCTGACCTTCACTGATGTCACCCATGACACCAAGGTTTGTGTGAAGTGAAACCTCTGATAACTAACAAATAACTAACAGTACATGGCCTAGTGTTGGGGTCTGTGTGCTATAGACCAAATAACTACCATCAGATAATACCCAATGGGAACACATCTGAGGCATTTTTCATTATTTGTTTGAAAAATGTCTTTATACTGTATATCACTGTTAACTGTCCCTCGGTAATGCACCTTATTGGACTGTACTTTAATATGTATGCTGGGAACTTGCACTTTTCATTGAACTGTATTCATTTTATTTATTTTGAAATATTTTATCTTCAAAGGTTCAGTTTAGAACAGACAACAAAGAACAGATACTCACCCAACCCGCTGACACACCAAAAAGCAGCGGCGGTCTGTGCATTTCAGACCTGCACCTACCACAAGCAAAAGTCCCCTCCAATTAGAAAATTGCAATGTCCTCCAGCTATTTCGAGAAATATGTCTTGCATAAACAAGTCATCATCGTAGTTGGGAACGTAGACATTAAGGAGTAACCATTGTCCAGAAAATATCTTGCAGTTTACTATGACAAATCATCCAGAAGGATCATCGATAGTATCAATCACTTCCAAAAGAGTATTTTTTTAATAAGAATTGCCACACCCCTGGCTTTTGAGTTAGATTATCAGGATATAACCTGCTCCACCCATTAACGCTTTAAATTATTACAGTGGGGCAAAAAAGTATTTAGTCAGCCACCAATTGTACAAGTTCTCCCACTTAAATTTATGAGGGAGAAAACATTTGGGAAAAAAAATCCAGAAACAAAATTGTAGACCTGCACCAGGCTGGGAAGACCTGCAATAGGTTTTGACTTCCAATTTTGATATTCAGATATAATTAGAATATTTTCAATATTCAAACTAATATTAGACATCCCTTAATATTTGATAATTGTTTAATGACGAATGAGTGACGTGGCTAGTAGCGGAAACAATCACATACAAGGATTTTTTTACAAGGCCCCGCCTTTGAAATTTATCCGCTACGGAATAGACCCATGTGAGAAGCGTAGCGAACTACAAGGGTCTGGCAAGAGTCAGGCTATAAGCCCTAGCGTGGTGTAAAGAAATGACACCTGGATCAAAGTAATAAAGGCTACCAGGGACTCAAATCCTGCAAAGGATAGGAGAAAATAGAACTTTTTGGGAAAAACTCATCTCGTTGTGTTTGGAGGTGAGTTGCATCCAAACAAAACCATACCAACTGGGAAGCGTGGGGGTGGAAACATCATGCTTTGGGGCTGTTTTTCTGCAAAGGGACCAGGACAACTGATCCGTGTAAAAGGAAAGAATTAATGGGGCCATGTATCGTGAGATTTTGAGCCAAAACCTCCTTCCATCAGCAAGGGTATTTAAGATTAAACGTGGCTGGGTGTTTCAGCATGACAATGATCTCAAACACACCGCTCGGGCAACGAAGAAGTATTGAGTAAAGAATTGAGATTCACTTTTGTTATTGACCAACGACTTATTTTCCACCATAATTTACCAATGCATTCTTTAAAAATCAGACAATGTGATTTTCCTAAATTTTGTTCTTAACCCAGCCAAACCCTCACTTGTAAGAAATAGTTTCATCTTCAACTGTGTTTGGTCGAGCTCTTGGGTTCTTCCTGTTCCCGTAAAACACGGGACTTTTAAACCATCGAGTGTTGTCTTTAGCCCAGATATCGTCGGTTGTCGGCTTGTCCACTTTGTCACTCCCGGCTTGATCCCCATCCCCATCGAATTTCTTGAAGCAAGAGCGCAATGTCCATAGGTAGCACCGTGTGCTCATGCACCATAATGCTAGCTTCTTGATGCAAATCTTTGTCATCGCCCGGTAAACATCCATATTAACAGAATATGTTGGCCTATTTTAGGATCTCAGATTCATTCTCTAGTTTAGCAAAGGAATTATGGGAAATCCAAGCCGTTTCAAATATTTCTTAGGGTTTTGATGGATAATTTATTGGAGAGCACCAAACTGGTGTATGGCTGCTATCGCTGCATCACATGACCCCTATTGAACTGTATTTTAGTATGTAAGTGAGTAACCTGCTCTCTATATAAACTGTATGTTAATATGCAAGTTGCTGTATATGATTGTATTGTGAAGGACTACAGTAGTATGGTGCTAAATCTGGAGCAGCCATCTTTTTAATTCAACGGCACGTTGACCTCAATAAATTAAACTTAAATAACTAACAATACTAACTCTGACTGTAATGTTTGTTGTAGATCATCATGCGTCAGTTGGTGGATGCAGCTATAGAAATGGAAGCTAAAGGCGTCTTCCATCTGGATATCAAGCCTCAGAACGTGTTGATCCAGAAGTATCTGACGCCCAAGGCCAAGTTCATCGACTTTGGTTCTGCCAAACTGCTGCACCACAAGGACCAGCTTTTCCACGAACCACAAGGTAAAAGAGGTCTACTGCGTCCAGGAACCAGCTCATGGAACAGAAAGATGAAAGTTATTGTCTCTTCTCAGGCTCTTTAGAGTTCTCGAGCCCGGAGTGGTTCCGTGAGCAGCAGTACAAAGCAGGTCCGACCACAGTGTGGCAGCTGGGGTTGGTGATGTTCGTGCTGCTGTTAAAGAGAGTGCCTTTAGTCACAGAGAAGTCTGTGGCCTCGTGGACAGCGACACCTATTCCCAAAAACATTCCACAAGGTAAGGATTCTTTCTCACACTTTCTCTTTACTGTCGCTTCACTGAGAACAGGTTGAAAGTCCTTTGAAAGTTCATATTAAAACTCATATCAAAGCTGGGGTACGCATTTGTTTCATACAGTACAGTACATGATACTTGGTTTTATCTTCACTGAAAGATCCTTGTAAAAACACAACTTTAAACAAATGTATTTTATTAGAATGTTTTTTCTCTGACCAAATTTGTAAGAAAGAACCTTGTGAGTCAATATATGACTCCTTGGGCTTGTGAGCGTAGTCTTACATACTTCACCATTGTTCCAAAGTCACTGGTAAAGTTTGCTGGTCCCATGTATAGGCTGTTGTCATGTTCCTAATTCCCACTACTGTGTGTGTGCAGAATGCAGGCTGCTTCTGAAGGGCTGTCTGGACAAGGATCCGGAAACACGCCTGACCCTGGAGCAGATGAGGGACCATACTTGGCTGCAGGAAAAGCCCACATGGTCTTGACCACATGGTCCTGACCCCAGAGGCTCTTACATTGTGAACTCTCACCAAACTCAGAAATGATTAAAAACGATTCTAACGACTTCAGCCTTTGTCCATGAAAGCATCATGTCCATAGTTATGGAACACATGGACAAAGGATGAACATGTTCAAAGCTTTACAGTGGGAGGAGTGGTCAGATAATCTCTGATGTTGCCAATAATGAATGTATTGGTATAATCAGAGGATGTAGTGACTGTGCCTCTTTACAGCAGAAGCTGCTGAACGTTCATATTTGACCATAGTTTTTCCGTAATTATCTAAATGATCATCATTGGTGAAATCTAAGGTGGTAGTTGTTAGGTATAATCATTATTGATCATTGATCAGTTTGGCGTGTTCCACAACGCAGTGGGGGCGACACGGTGGCTGAGTGGATAGCACTCTCGCCTCTCAGCAAGAAGGTTCTGGGTCCGAATCCCGGTCGGACCAGGGCATTTCTGAGTGGAGTTTGCATGTTCTCCCTGTGTCTGCGTAGGTTTTCTCCGGGCACTCTGGTTTCCCCTACCACTAAAAACATGTGCTATAGTTCAGGGTGAATGAATGAGTGTGTGTGTGTGCAAATTCACCCCTGGCTACTCTCCAAGCAAATAAACAATAAAAAAAAAACCTTTAAATAACAGTGTTAACTTTGTAAACAAGACTGAGGCTGTAGATCCTGAGCTTTACCTCAATGATCACATCTCTCTATGTTGTAATCCATTATTCAGGATAAACCTTTCCTCCACATTATGAGTCACTTCCACGGGTTTTAATTTGTTTTTTTTCTTATCAACACGTGATACACAGGAAGAAGAACAGAAATTGTTTGATTCCCATCTTCTTTGTAAAGATGTGTATATATCATATACACATGTATAGTATCAGACCACTGCAAATCTACCAAGACCCGGCCGTCCCTCCAAACTTTCATCTCAAACAAGGAGAAGACTGATCAGAGATGCAGCCAAGAGGCCCATGATCACTCTGGATGAACTGCAGATAACTGCAGCTGAGGTGGGAGAGTCTGTCCATAGGACAACAATCAATCGTGCACTGCACAAATCTGGCCTTTATGGAAGAGTGGCAAGAAGAAAGCCATTTCTCAAAGATATCCATAAAAAGTCTCGTTTAAAGTTTTCCATAAGCCATTGGGAGACACACCAAACATGTGGAAGAAGGTGCTCTGGTCAGATGAAACCAAAATCGAACTTTTTGGCCACAATGCAAAACGATATGTTTGGCGTAAAAGCAACACAGCTCATCACCCTGAACACACCATCCCCACTGTCAAACATGGTGGTGGCAGCATCATGGTTTGGGCCTGCTTTTCTTCAGCAGGGACAGGGAAGATGGCTAAAATTGATGGGAAGATGGATGGAGCCAAATGCAGGACCATTCTGGAAGAAAACCTGCACTCTAAAAAAATGCATTGGCAAAACTTAATAAAATTGAGGCAACATTTTGCATGCATCTTTTTAAGTTTTGCGAACAAGACTGTGTTTTAAGTATTCTTTGTAAGTCTTTTATCATTGGTCCATGATACCACCAACTTGGATAATTGAGTTATAAAGACACTTTGTTAAGTTTATTCAGCAAGTGTTTTAGTATCAGTTCAACTCAATTTTAACAATACCACCAACTTAATTAATTACATTGAAAATAAATCTTTTTCAGTATATTCAACGACGTAATCTTTTTTCAAATACCACATTTCACAGATTAGATTCACAAAGTAGTTTAAAATTGTTAATTTTAGGCAGATATCTCTCGCTCCACATATATATGGGAGTAAGCCAGTACAACGTAATCACTTCTATTTTAGAGGTATTTGATCAGTATTGGAAGCCGACACAGTATTGGGGTGCTTTGGTTTGGCCCTCTCGATCATGGTTGATAAAAATAAATACAATTACTTATTTGGTGAAATTAGTTTATTCAGAATGTTGCTCAAGTATTTTGCTTTAGGACTTGCTTCATATTCAGTTTTAAAATTAATGCTCAAATGTAGAATTTTTAAGAAGTTTATATTTTTCGCTGCAATGCATTCTGGGTAGCGTCACTGCTTCGCCACATTTTGTTTTCAATCAACTCAATATATTTGTTTTGTCATTATTGGACCCCCAGGCTTACAAGAGGATTTTCATGTTGAGCAAACTCAATACTTCTCCGTTGTCCAGTTATGCCAGAATATCAAGTTCAAATTTGTTACAAAAATGAGTTAGGATTCTTGTATTAACTTTTAATTGAGACCGGCATGTTTAAAATGAGTTGAGACCACACTAATTTAAGTAAAACTGGCAAAAATCAATTATTGAGTTTAGTTCAGTATGTATTTTGGGTTCAAAATACTAACCACCTGAATCATTTCTTTGAGTGTGTTGGAGTCTGCAAAAGACCTGAGACTGGGACGGAGATTTATCTTCCAACAGGACAATGATCCAAAACATAAAGCCAAATCTACAATGGAAGGGTTCACAAATAGACGTATCCAGGTGTTAGAATGGCCAAGTCAAAGTCCAGACCTGAATCCAATCGAGAATCTGTGGAAAGAGCTGAAGACTGCTGTTCACAAACGCTCTCCATCCAACCTCACTGAGCTCGAGCTGTTTTACAAGGAAGAATGGGAAAGAATTCCAGTCTCTCGATGTGAAAAACTGATAGAGACATACCCCAAGCAACTTGCAGCTGTAATTGCCGCAAAAGGTGGCGCTAGGGGGCCAAATAATATTGCACGCCCCACTTTTCAGTTTTTTATTTGTTAAAAAAGTTTCAATTATTCAATACATTTCGTTCCACTTCACGATTGTGTCCCACTTGTTGTTGATTCTTGACAAAAAAAAAATATTTTTTATATCTTTATGTTTGAAGCCTGAAATGTGTCGAAATGTTGAAAGGTTCAAGGGGGCCGAATACTTTCGCAAGGAACTGTGTATATATATATATATATGGCATCTAGTCAGCAGTAACCTACGGCACTAGTTTTCTTTACATTCTTTTTATTTGCTCTGTGGGATCAATTGGACGTAATGAGAACACACACTTCTGATACGATGCAGAGAAACATGATGAGTCTGAACATTAAGTGACCCTTGTGCAAAATGATGAAAACTTTATTTCCACAAGAATTTGTTCCTGATGCTTCCGCATTTTATATTTGTCAAAGGAACAAATATGTTTGGTCTCTCGCTCTGGTCTTTGTCGATGGAACAAGTTCTACATTTTTACTCTACGGTGTCTGTTTCTCATGTCTGACTAAGAGTTTATTGAGAAACAACTAAAATGTAAATCTCTGCAGAATCGGATGTTGAATTGTGGATGTGAAAATCAAATGTTTTGACTCCTCACTGGTCATAAATGTGATTTGAAAGTACATGCTTTTAAATGGATGTTTTTCCTGTATTTATTCATCTTTAAATGATTGAATTAAACTAAAGAACATTTGGAGAACGTTTCAATCCACCACAAGAAAAGTCCCAGACAGACACAACTTTATATTATCTTTATTCCAGAACATTCCAGTCTCTATAATAAACACTCTTTATTTACATTGGTCCAGAAACACCGAGCGCCTTCATTCACTCCTTTCACTAAACCAGAAGCAGCTCCTTTATCCCATGATTAAATATCAAACAAAAGATTATCTACAATGAACGAAGCTGTTTCTCCGTGTCATTTTGTGGAATGCAATGAAATCAAAACAGGATTCATGACAAAAACCTGGACAGAATATGAACAAAATTAACCTTTGCAGCTGTGAGAAACAATGCAGTTATGGCAGAGGCTTTTTCAGCTTTTATTGTGAAAATATCTGCTTTTGTCAATTTAAACTCTGCTCTGACAACAGCCCTAATCACATAAACACATCCCCAGCACATCCTCCAGTCTCTCTGCTGTTCACATAAACACACTGAAGCAGGACTGTGTGATCCAGGGGGCAGAAATAAATGAAAATGTGTTCATAAAGTCTTTTTAATCAAACGTGTAACAGTCCTCTCTCAGGGGAAACATCACTGGAGCAAAGTCATGGTCAAAAGTAGAGAAAGGCTTTGGGATGTGAACAGCGAAACAATCTATCAAAACAATAATCGGCCGAGGAATCGTATCTCTAAATAAACCTTTATCACAGCCGGGACTTGGACCCTTTATATCTCAAGACCCGGAGCAAAGATAGAAGTCTATTTCTAATGGGAAGATACCGAGCCCGTAATACGTGCATAGTTTCTCCTCTTCTCCCACTGGGTTTAAAGTTGTTCCTCAGATGCAGGAGGCTCGAAGGACAGAGAGGATCCAGGACATGTGTTTGTTATCGTTGCATTTTGATTCTCTGATCTGTGTTGGCGAATCGACAGCTTTGTAAAGTCCTCCAAGAAAACTATTGGGGCGATACATAAATACATTGAATGGAATTGAAGATATTCAATGGATGGATGGATTGAAGATACTGAACCCACAAAATGTGCATCCATCAATGGCATCGAATCTGTGCTGATCATGCTTCAGAATGTGTGCGACTTTCACTTTCACTTCCTCATCCTCCTCAATGGTTCAGCCTCCTCCTCCTCATCACCTCTCCAGTCTCCTCATCACCTCTCCAGTCTCCTCATCACCTCCTCTTCACCTCTCCAGCCTCCTCATCAGCGTCTCCATGGCACCCAGGAAGCTTTGGTCGAACTCCTGGTCTGAGAAGCGCTCCACAGAACGGCGTGCGTTGAGGCGGATCTGCAGACGCTCCTCGGGGCTCAGGGAGAGGATAGTCTGGATGCAGGAGGCGTAGCTGCCCACGCTGTCGGCCAGGAACCCCGTCTGAGCGCCCTCAAAGGGGACCACGATGTCCAGCTTCGGGCCCCCGGATTTATGAGCCAGCACGATGGTGCCGGCCGCCATGCACTCCACCACTCCTGACAGACGGAAGGAGACAGAGAGAGAGAGAGAGAGACAGATAGACATGTTATTATTCATCTACAGCAGCAATAGTTGTCCAGGGGCCGAATAAATGTGGTTTTCTTAGTGGAAAGTTGAGACATGTTTTACATTATGAAAGTAAGTTATGGATGTTTTTTCCCCAATTTATTCTTATGAATAAAATAAGATCACTTTTTTTTTTAAATTGAACCAAAACTGGACCAAAAGTAGAGGCAGTGATTGTAGATTGATGCATGTATTTTATATGTAATTACATGTTGAGTTCAAATTTTAGTAAACATTAAATGATTGTTTTCTTGAGAGAGTTAGCTTTAACATGTGCCATAACCATGGATCTATAATAATAACTGGATAGGGTATTACTAGCTTATAGCTGTCCCCTGCGCCCGTGGTACTACAGACTAAATTCACGTGGGCTTCCCAGAAAGAAGTCCCAAAGAACTCAATGTAAATCAACAGCTCGACCTCAGCTGACAGAACCTACAGCTTTCATAAAGCTCGGATTTTGTGGTGATTTTAGAGTCCCTTGTCATCCTGAACTTTTTTTCTTCTTAAATCCTTCGGCTTTCTTTAATCCACACATTAGTGCAACAAACTCTGCTCGATTGTCTCCTGCTCTAACTCCGCTCTGATCAGCACCTCTGATTGGTCAGAGCACGGCCGAGCCCCTCTGTGCACGTGCATGAGCGCCACACAAGCGTTCAGGATGACAAGGGACACTAAAATCCTCACAAAATCCAACCTTTCTTAAAGCTGTAGGTTCTTTGTCAGCTGAGGTCGAGCTGTTTTAATTTACATTGAGTTCTATGGGACTTTTTTCTGGATAGCCCTCGTGAATTTAGTCTCGTTTAGTATGCTATACCGCAAGAATCCCGAGCACATGGGTCCTTCAGCTCCAAGCTAGTCTGTTTATATAACTTTTATTACATTTATGTATCTTCATATGCATAAAATTGTGTTGGGGACATGGGCCCAATTGCAGAGACAGCTGACTCTACTGACCCTTCTCTGGGGTCAATGGGGCTGTGGACATCTGGAAGGACAATAAGAGCCTGTAGTGAGACTCTCAGGCTCAGACTCAGAGATATGGACTTTAACCAGGACTAGTCTACAAGATTATTGAATGACATATGTTTATGACATGCTGTGACTTGACCAACTCATGAGGCTCCTCTGCTACTAAAGGAAGCAGCGTTTGCCTCATTCTTTGTCTTTTCTGCAATTCCATCTTAGCAGGACCCGGGCTAGGTTAGTCTGTAATTTGTCTGTATTCTGCTTATATATATTAAACCTTCTTTTTTATATGTAAACAGAGTCTTAGCTTCCATTCACTATACACACTGTTTGTGCGGGAGGGAAACCCAGTTAGATTATTTATGTGATAAAGATGCATGTTATTAGTGTACACAGTTTCAAAGGATAAGCTGCAAATAAACTACTGGATATTTTTTTCTTGTTCTTTAAAATAAACCTCTGCACATCATTATCCATAAAGGTGTCATCAAGCTGGAAAAATGTCCAAATCGCCAACTAGCGCATTAGCATTACCCCCTAGATTATTTATTCATGAAAAATGATATTATATGATATACTTTCTGGACTAGATGCACCCGTATATGAGCCAGACCATAAATAGCAGCTTATAGTCTGGAACATGGAGTGTTATAAAGGCCTGTATGGATGCAGGCGGCTGGACTGAAGACAAACAAACAAGAACAAAATGACGCACCGATGCCAAAGTGCTCGTTCCACATGGTGTGCAGGCCGATGGTGGCGTGTCCCAGCTCCCTCTTCAGCTCCTCAAACGACACGTTCAGTTTGAACAGCACTTTATCTCCTATCTCCAGCTCCTCGCACAGGCCCCTTAGAGACCGCACCCTCTCCTCGTCCTCCTGGTTCCTACAGCCGCCCACCAGCACCAACTTCAGGGCCTCGTTAGGGTCCACTCTGGTCTGCAGCACCTCCTGAAGGAGAAGAGAGGTTAGAGACACAGAGAGAACCACCTCCTTCACCAAACACCACAGCGAGGCCGAAAAAGGACTTCAGCATTTGAGTCGAAAGACAAAGCTCTAAATTTACAGCTAAGTCTGCACCCCCTCAGCTCTGGTCATAAAAGAGCAGCGTCTGCAGTCAGAGCTCTGTGTCCACTCACCTCTGGTCATGAGCTTTGGGTAAATGACGAGATCGCAAATACAAGCGGCCTACATGAGTTTCCACTGGAGACTGACTGGACCTCTGAGATGACTACTGTTGTGATTTAGGGCTATACAAGAATAAATTGTATTGTAATGTATTTGACACATCTGTTTTCAGTATAGCAGGACGATGAGAAAGCTGACCTTGAAGGCCTGGATCTGCAGCTTGTGGTCCTTCTCCGGTCTGAACTGGCCGATGGACACGATGGACACACACTTCTTCTCTGTTTCTTTGGACTGAAAGCCTTGGAGCTCCTGCCCCACCTCCTCCCAGCCGTCGTCCTCGTCCTCCGCCTCCAGGGGGATGTCCAGGAAGGCGCGCACGTCACACGGCGGGTAGACCACGGTGGTGCGAGCCGGAGAACGCCACAGAGACAGGATGTGTCCCAGCGTCCAGGTGGAGTTGACCATGATGACGTCACTGCAGGAGCCCACCAGGCCGTAGAGCAGCGCGAAGCAGCCGTAATACAGCAGCTTCAGGAGGCTCAGCACCGGGTTCCGGCTGATCGTGTCCGAATTATTGAACCTGACGACACACACATCATACGCATCGTTATTACTTCATTCCATTAATCAGATAACTCTGCTCTGACTCCACTCGTCACTCTACTGCTGCTGTTATTACTATTGTTTATTCAATCTGAGAGACTCCAACAGACAAAAGATGGGTATAATAAGAACTGTATGTTGGCTGGCAGTAATCTGACACTTTAAAAATTACTAGGGCTGTCAAACGATTAAATTTTTTAATCGAGCTTAATTACAGCTTAAAAATTTATTAATTGTAATTAATTGCATTTCGAACTATCGGAAAAATTATGCCATATTTTTTTGTAAATGGTTGTTTGAATGAAAAGATAAATGACAGTGTACATATGTACTGTATGTTTATTATAAACAATAAATCCACATAAAATGACATTAACATTATTAACATTCTGTCTTTCTGTAGTAGACACTATTGTTTCAGCTCGACATATTCCGCATCTGCTAAAGCCTCCTCTTTCGTCTTCGTCTCTGTCTCATAAAGGCTGTGGATCCTCTTCATTATTGTGCCTGTACAAACAATTCTTTGTCACAGGGATGAGAATGGGACATTTGAAAAAAGTCTGAAATGCATTTCAGACAATGGCTGTCATTAAATCTGTTTGATTTGCTCACAAAATTTCAATATTGGGCACAAACAACATGAAATGGTAGTGCAAAGGAAAAGTTAGGTACCCCAGCTTTAATTTAGCATCTTTTATTGCTTCGGGAGAAGAGACGGGGGAGACAGACTGTTTCTTGCAGCGCTGTTTTTATTGTGCATCCTGTGCGTGATCAGTGCACACAGTGGTCCTGTGTGCAGCTCACAGCTGCAGGACGCGGGAACCGCTATCCAAAGCGGCCGTGGCTGCCCCAGAACGCTGCGGACTCCCATTCACAGCAATTGCCCCCCGGTCACAAGCGCGTGGGGTGCCAGTCACTTGGCACATGCGTTAAAAGTGTTAATTTTTTTTACGTGATTAATGAAAAAAATTAATAAACGGGCGTCAACGCGATAACTTTGATGGCCCTAAAAATTACACATGACTGTTTGTTATTGACCAAATACTTATTTTCCACCATAATTTGCCAATAAATTATTTAAAAAAATCAATCATTTTTACTCATTCTCTCTGTCATAGTTGAGGTATATCTGATGAAAATTACAGGCCTCCTTCATCTTTTTAAGTGGGAGAACTTGCACAATTAGTGGCTGACTAAACTTTTTTGCGCCACTGTATCTGTGTATGTACTTATACATGTAACTACTGTATGTTTTTATCTATGTATCTATCCATCTATATATCTATCAATGAATCTATGCATGTGTCTAGGGACAGACAGGGCAACTGTTCATGCGGCTGATCAGAAACCCTTGCCGTGTACAGTTACCTGGGGTTCCTCTGACGCACCACTGACAGCATGTCTGTGGAGACTGTGGGATAGTGCACGTAGCTGGCCACTTTGCAGCCGCCCAGGTATCTGAAGATGGGCAGCGTGAAGGCGTAGCCCATCGAGTCTATGTACAGGTCTGGGACAAAGGACGTCAGCGCCTCCCAACCTGGCAACGCAGACACACACGGGAGTAAGTGCATTAGACAGCTTTTGTTGGTTTAATTCTATCAAGTAAGCAACAACGCCCATATCCATATGATCCAAATCCACCCCCCGATACTCCGGCTTCAATATCCGCCGATACCAGTGATGGGATTTAGATCCTCTTCATATCTCCACTTACTTCATCCATCCAACTGAGTCCTGGATCTACAGCCTTAGTCCCGGGTCTACAGCCTTCAGTCCTGGGTCTACAGCCTTCAGTCCTGGGTCTACAGCCTTCAGTCCTGGGTCTACAGCCTTCAGTCCTGGGTCTACAGCCTTCAGTCCTGGGTCTACAGCCTTCAGTCCTGGGTCTACAGCCTTCAGTCCTGGGTCTACAGCCTTCAGTCCTGGGTCTACAGCCTTCAGTCCTGGGTCTACAGCAGGGGTCCCCAAACTTTTTCCTGTGAGGGCCACATAACTTTTCCCTTCTTTGATGGGGGCCGGGTCAGTTTGTAATAGAAAAAGTGTGATGATTACAGCGTTGAAATTGTTACTAACTAATAGTCAATAATGAAAAAAGTTCATAACTAAGGAACTTTTTTTTGCAAAAGTCCAACTTTATTATCAAATACACACATGGGTGTGTTCACAGTAAAGTGTCAATTAAAGTATCTGGACTTTAAAAGGTTATGACTCAAAAACTAAAATTACTATCATAGATTGGAAAAATATTTCAAACACAGACAGATCAAAGAGATAGTGTGGATAAAATCAAAGGAAAGATTAACAAATATATTTTTGACGACATTTTAAACGACAAAATCAGCCTCTGATTGGACCATTCTACTGTGACGCCAGTTACATATAAAATAAAATGTCCTCAGTCTGAAAAAGCAGAAGATGAAATCCCACAAGATTTACATTAACACAACATCAGTAAATCACCTGATATAAAAAGGAATCGTTATAAAAATAAATGACCCTTGAATAAGGTGTAACGAACGTGATGTTTTCCGTCCATTTTTCTCTAACAATTAAACTTGAGATAAAAAAATCTGGTCTAGTTTCACATTTAATATGAAATTATCACTTTGTTTCTACTCTATGTAAAAAAGATAGAATCTATGAACCAAATGTGGACATCTAAAAATACGTAACAAACTTCCGCAAAGCTCACTCCGTCAAATCATCATCGTCCGTTACATAAATTGAACAGGGCCACTGACAGGAAACTTGTATAATGTATAAAACAGTTTTGTTCTAGCAACTTCTAATGGAGGTGTTTGGAAACATGAAAAACATTAAATATCTTCTGATTATTAAAATCAAATTTTTGGCTTTTTGTCACACTTTTGTATCCTTTAGTGTGAACAAGCCCATATATGAAAATACTCTCTGGTATTGTTCAGGGGGCCGGAGCCAATGTAGTGGGGGGGCCCGTGGGCCGTAGTTTGGGGACCACTGGTCTACAGCCTTCAGTCCTGGGTCTACAGCCTTCAGTCCTGGGTCTACAGCCTTCAGTCCTGGGTCTACAGCCTTCAGTCCTGGGTCTACAGCCTTCAGTCCTGGGTCTACAGCCTCAGTCCTGGGTCTACAGCCTCAGTCCACTTGACACTCAACCAGATGTATCAACATTTATGGACATTGGTCATCTGCCTCTTATGGACCAATGGCTCTATGTGTTTGTTACCATTGCATTTCCTGTCTTTGAACTGTTTGATTCTCTAATCTGTGTTGGTGAATCAACAGCTTAGTAAGGTCCTCAAAGCTAACTATTGTTGAGATTTAGGACTATACAAAAATAAAAATTTAATTGAATGGTGATTTAAACAAGTAGATGATCCTATAATGACAGAAATACAGTAAACGGACTGAGTTTGGCTGAATGCTTGTTTTCTCTCTGGCTTCTCACTGATGTGTGCACTGTAATATCATTGCATTCTGCATGTCTTCATGATTAGGACCGTCTTATGTATCTTAGTTTTTAAATCTGACTTGTATGTGTACTATTTGTATCTGTACTTTTTAAATGTGAAGCGCTTTGTGATCCTGGTATGTGAAAGGCCTTATACAAAAAACTTTACTTACTTTCTATCTTGGCAGAGATAAAGTTTGTTTAAAAATAAAAATAAGATTCGACTTAACGATACAATTCAGTCTATTATCAATATGTGAAGAGGGAAATGTCAAAAGACAGATTAGCAAGATGTTTAAAAACCTGATGCTGTTCTTACCCAGGAACATGGAGCCCAGGCTCTGTCCCAGCAGAGTGAAGTGTGGGTAGGACGTGGCCTCCACCAGCACTCTGTGTCTGAGGAAGACGAAGCTCACGGCTCGAGGAAGGACGATGTTAAACCTGCTGCGTGCTCCTTCTATGATCTGCTCCGAGGTCACGCCCTGGTCCCCAGTGTAGACCACAAACGACACCTCACGGTACCTGAGGAGAGGCCAGAGGAGGGGTCATAGGAGAGGTCATAGGAGAGGCCAGAGGAGAGGCCAGAGGAGAGGCCAGAGGAGAGGCAAGGGGAGGGGTCAGAGGAGAGGCAAGAGGAGAGGCAAGAGGAGGGGTCAGAGGAGGGGTCAGAGGAGAGGCCAGAGGAGAGACCAGAGGAGAGGCCAGAGGAGAGGCAAGAGGAGGGGTCAGAGGAGAGGCCAGAGGAGAGGCCAGAGGAGAGGCAAGAGGAGAGGCAAGAGGAGAGGCCAGAGGAGGAGTCAGAGGAGAGGCCAGAGGAGAGGCGAGAGGAGAGGCAAGAGGAGGGGTCAGAGGAGAGGCCAGAGGAGAGGCAAGAGGAGAGGCAAGAGGAGGGGTCAGAGGAGAGGTCAGAGGAGAGGCCAGAGGAGAGGCCAGAGGAGAGGCCAGAGGAGAGGCCAGAGGGGAGGCCAGAGGAGAGGCCAGAGGAGAGGCCAGAGGAGAGGCCGGAGGGGAGGCCAGAGGAGAGGCCAGAGGAGAGGCCAGAGGAGAGGCCAGAGGAGAGGCAAGAGGAGAGGCAAGAGGAGAGGCCAGAGGAGGAGTCAGAGGAGAGGCCAGAGGAGAGGCGAGAGGAGAGGCAAGAGGAGGGGTCAGAGGAGAGGCCAGAGGAGAGGCAAGAGGAGAGGCAAGAGGAGGGGTCAGAGGAGAGGTCAGAGGAGAGGCCAGAGGAGAGGCCAGAGGAGAGGCCAGAGGAGAGGCCAGAGGGGAGGCCAGAGGAGAGGCCAGAGGAGAGGCCAGAGGAGAGGCCGGAGGGGAGGCCAGAGGAGAGGCCAGAGGAGAGGCCAGAGGAGAGGCCAGAGGAGAGGCCAGAGGAGAGGCCAGAGGGGAGGCCAGAGGAGAGGCCAGAGGAGAGGCCAGAGGAGAGGCCAGAGGAGAGGCCAGGGGAGTTGTTTGAACATTCTCCCTTTGCCAGTGTCGGTTTCCTCCGGAGTAGCTACCATGTCTATTGTGTAAAAGTAGCTCTCCAAACAATAATGTTGGAGACCTCTGCAGTAGAATATACTTGCATACAGATTTGTAAAAGCATTTTGTTTTTCTAAAAAAAAAACACCTGAAGTACGTGAGTCATTGTCAAGATTATCTGATAAATGAAATTCCTGTTTAGATTATGCTTCCTGTTAACATCCTGGCCCTGTACAAATAGTTTACAGTTTCCAGAATTAGGTCATTCAATGTACAGTGGACCCTGGTTGATCGCGATGGTTACACACAGCTGTGTTGTTTTAAGGCTGTAAAACCTCTCACACACTTTCTAACCACCTGAACTCTTGACTTCTGCTCACAAAAACTCACAATAATGTTGGCACATGTTGGTACTTCCTCAGACTGAGGCGTGTGGATGTATAGAAAATAATATGGATGTAGGAGGTAAAATCCCCAGTGAACCCGACCTTTGAGAAACCTGTAAGTTCCTTGTCAGCTAAGGACGAGCTGTTGTTGATAACATTAATGTCTATGGAGAAATGTCCAATCCACATAATATGCTGGGTCCATGGTTCATTACGTACTTGTTCATGAGAGCTCGGAGCGCACACCACAGCACCCTCTCTCCCCCTCCGCCGGCATTGCAGTAGGGGTGGAAGAATGCAACCGCAGGGCCTTTGTCCTGAGACCTCCGAGCACTCCTCATACTCTGCAGCCATGAGCGAACACCCAGGAGGAGCAGCAGGAGCAGCAGAGAGAGGACCAGAGAGAGGAACAGACAGGGCACTATCAGGGCCCAGAGTAACCTGTAACAGACCACAGAGAGAAGTGAGGCCAGGGCACCACCAGGGGGCAGCGTAATCTGTAACAGAACAAAGAGAGAAGTGAAGACCTCTGTTGGTCTGTGATAACTTATCCTCTTTGACTCGGGATATCACAATATAACAGAGGGTTATGATGATTGTGAGAAAAAGCAAATGACACAATTCAACAATTATTGGGAAATCAAACTTTTAACATCATTCTTAAACTATATTACTTTTTTTTTATGTAAACAACGCATTTGATTTTTTGGAGCTGATAACGATTAAGCTCAACCAATTTACACTTTTATCTGTGCTCATGTCTGTTTTAGATATTAAGAAAACAAACACATTATATATTGTAATGTTTGTAAGTAAATAATGTCCAGCAAATAAATAAATAAAAATTAAATGTACTGTCTGTTAAACAAATGAAGCAAAGCTGAAGTTAGAGTAATATTGGGGCATGTGGAAAAGTAATCTCAATAAAACCAGGCTTTGTTATCGCATCGTATCGGTCTGCATAAACCAGGTGGTTCAGTAACTAACTACATTTGATGACATCTATCTGAGGTAGCGTTAGTTCTTAATTCTTGGGGCGTGAGACAAATGCCCACAACAATTGCTAAGCGCTGTAATTGACAGGCGATACATAAAGAGTACTCCCTCACTTACCTACAACGTTACTACAACATACTTTAGTAAACAGTAACGCTAAAGTCAGCGATAGCAGCATGTTGTCGATATATTCATTCCAAAACAAAAAGCTTCCCTCTTCTGCTGCAAAGCATACATTAAAGTTCAATCTTCAGAATCAGATTGTTATTGTAGATCCACGCTGTCAGAGCATTGCATCCTCATCACATCATCTTTCCCGAGAGCTCGTTAGCGGCTAAAGTTAGCTCGCTGCTTCAAAGCGGTTCACCGTCTCTTACGTTCACACTCTCACTGTATGTCCTGCTATCAACGGACTTAAAATGTAGATACATAGGTTTAAAATGTGTAGTTTACCTGATTAAATCGCACAAACATAAGGAAAGGTGCTGGATGTGTTCGTGTTCCGCCATTTTGTCAACACTGACGCCAACGCGGAAGTAGATGTCAGCAGCTCACGTCTGATTGGCTGAGGGTTTGTTGACAATGACGTAATCGGCACATGATTTTTATTTTTCAAATTTATTTCACTTATTGCACATGAGAGTGATTACAGACACTCTTTTTCAGTTGTCTGTGTTGAACTCATTTTGTCTTTGCACATACGAAGCATTCTTTTAGGAATATCCCCTTTGGCATTTCATATTTGAGAATGTAAACGTAATTTCTTAACCCTTGGGCTATCCTCGGATCGAATCGACCCACTACAGTGTTTGGAAAATACCCTAAACTGAATATTTATGATTATTCCTAACTTGACCAGCCCTGGTTCATGTAGACCCTTTAGTACCAGTGGTAACAGTGCCCAAGACACCACGGGGTGACTTCAGGCCAGTGGCTCTAACATCCCACTACATGAAGACACTGGAGAGACTGGTCCTGGGACACCTCCGCTGCACTCTGACCTCAGCGATGGACCCGCTGCAGTTTGCCTACCGGCCGGGCATCGGAGTTGAGGACGCCATCATCTCCCTCCTCCATCGCTCGCTGTCCCACCTTGAGAAAACAGGTGTTCTGTCGAGTTGGTCTGTCCGTCGAGATGATCTGGCTCAGCTGTTAATGATGTAATGCAAACCAGCGCTGCACGTCTCACGGCAGCCGAAGCAATCAAAGATGGCGGACATGTAGTCCGCGAATTACTTTAAAAGTTAAATATGAACGAATTAAGACACGAATGTCACTTTTAATGCAACTTGAGGCGAGATGTTGATGGTTCCGCGTTGTGATATGTGTGTTTTAAGAGGAAGAGTTTCGTGTAAAGTTTGTTTTAAGCAGTCCACTGCTCCTGTGAAACTACACTGCTAGTGTGCCCAAATCTGATTTGCGCATGCGCACAAACCCGCCAGATTGGGGAAAAAACTCGATCTAATTAAATATTTTGTTTGAACACACTATTGTTAATCATATTGAATTCAGGGACAGCGATCACACAGCAGCAGTGTAGTTTCACAGGAGCAGTGGACTGCTTAAAACAAACTTTACACGAAACTCTTACTCTTAAAACACACATATCACAACGCGGAACCATCAACATCTCGCCTCAAATTGCATTAAAAGTGACATTCTTGAAAGCAATTCGCGGACTACATGTCCGCCATCTTGGATTGCTTCGGCTGCCGTGAGACGCGCATGGGCAGGTTTGCGTCACGTCATTAACAGCTGAGCCAGATCATCTCGACGGGCAGACCAACTTGACAGAACACAGGGACTGATAAGAGCGGAGGCCAGTGGGGAGGAACGAGTGGACTGCGGGGTTTTTATCATCTTTTATCGATCCTTTTTGTATATATTTTATTAAATTGTATCCCCTTTTTATTCCCTTCTGCTTTTTTATTGATCACACCCCCTCAACAGACACTTTTAAACCTGTGACATTTGTGCAGAAAGAGGAAACATCCTCGTTCACATCCTGAAGTTTTATCTGTTAAACCAGTTTCAGTCTTAAAGCAAAACAGATCAGAGGAAATACACACTTTTACTTCCTGATATCTGGTGTCTTTTAGCTCTGCTTTGCACAAAAATCTGATCAAGGAAACAAATCATTCTTTTAACCTTACAACTTAGTTCCTCATCAGTTGGATCCCCGGAGTTGTTTTTCGATCCATCGACTCTGGTATCAGGAACTTCAGGCCATTGTTGCCAACTCCTCAGTAAGGAAAGTAGCTATTGGCTGTCCCAAAAGTCGCTAGAAGTCGCTAAATGACGCCATCGCCTAATTTGCATAATTGGCAATTTGCAAATAACTGTAACGACGCTGTAGGAGAGAGGAATAACGTCGTGGGAGAGACAAAAATGAGTAAAAAACACCCTAAATATGTTTAGAACTACAAATGTACAAAAATAATTTCAACATTAACAACATATTAACATATTAATGCTTTGTCTAGATCTGTCGCTAGTCGCTTTTTTGAAAAAAAGTCGCTATAGGGTCTGAAAAGTCGCTAAATCGCTAAGTTGGCAACACTGCTTCAGGCACAGACCTGTAGCTCCGCCCCTTCTGTCTGAAAGCTCTTGTCTCCTGTTGTGTTCATGTGATTTCAGAAACTCAGAGAGATACTAAGTCCATAAACTCTCTGACCACAGCCCGTCTCCACCACAACATAAACACGTATATTATCCGCAGCGCTGCAGGCTGCATGGTTCAAAGAAATTCTGAAACATATACCGGTAGTTACGAGTGATAAACGCGTTATCTTTTTGACCAAGCAAATATTTCAGTTTTTCACATAATGTTGCAACAACCAGTAATGTTAGAAAAACTACAACACAGCTCTGGATGTATAGCTTTAGCTGGACCAGATCAAAACAAAGACTTGGAGAGCATAAACATGGACAGTGAGCACAAAACCGCTGCTGTGTGTGTTTGTCCACATGGTCTGTGTCAGATGTGTTTGTCCACATGGTCTGTGTCAGATGTGTTTGTCCACATGGTCTGTGTCAGATGTGTTTGTCCACATGGTATCATGTTAGGAGTCACTGGTATTAACAGAAGGGAGCACATCACCCCTGTTTTAGCGTCCCTCCACATTTTAATAATTACTTTTAAAGCTCGTTTAGGTCTGGCACCAAGCTATATTTATGAACTTTATGAACTTATATTTATAACGCTCATTACTCAACGTCCATCAGGAAACAACTATCTCCAGGTCTTAGCCCAAATCAAGGGACAGTTAGAGAAAAAGTATGACATTAACCGCAATAAAATATTTAAATTTTTAAACCCACATCTTTGACCTTCATGCTTGATAAATTTCAAATGGGTAGGTGTGTATGCATGGCTTTTGACAGCTGCAGCAGCTCAGACCTACAACCAATAGGTCTGATATGAGATAAGATGAGATAAGATAGACTTTATTGACCTCACACAGGAGAAATGTATATGTCACATCTGGCATGGATAGAATCACTCAAGAAAGAAGTCTGCAAACAAGTTAAATGAAGGATGTATGGACAATAAAAAGTGGAAATCAAAGAAACTACAATAGTGGTGCAGGTTTTTTTTTCGTCCTAGTGCAAGTGACTTAAAGTGACTTATTGTTCAGACTGACAGCAATGGGGATAAAGGCCCTGCGGTAGCGCTCTCTGGTCCCGCTCTCTGGTCCCTCTCTCTGGTCTCTCTGGTCCCTCTCTCTGGTCCCTCTCTCTGGTCCCTCTCTCTGGTCCCTCTCTCTGGTCCCTCTTTCTGGTCCCTCTTTCTGGTCTCTCTGGTCCCTCTCTCTGGTCCCTCTGGTCCCTCTCTCTGGTCCCTCTTTCTGGTCCCTCTCTCTGGTCCCTCTTTCTGGTCCCTCTTTCTGGTCTCTCTGGTCCCTCTCTCTGGTCCCTCTGGTCCCTCTCTCTGGTCCCTCTCTCTGGTTCCTCTGGTCCCTCTCTCTGGTCCCTCTCTCTAGTCCCTCTTTCTGGTCTCTCTCAGGTGGTCAGAAAAGTGTTTTAATTGTGAGGTTATTAAAGCCTTAAATAACATAACATTAGGATAAACCGGGGACCAGTGCTAAGTTAAAAACAAAAGAAAAGTCAATTGTTGCAATATGTTTTAGCTCCATGTTGAAACTTCCCTCTTGGACACTTCCTCAAACTGTCCTCTGTGTCTCCTGCCACTGCACAGAACACATGTTATTATCACATTAGTATTTATAAACCAGGACGAGGATAATAATGCTCCTCAAATGGGGCACATGCGTGGGTTTCAGAATCATCAATGTTGTCAATGAAAAGAACCTTTTATTGCACAAACCAAATGAGTCCGTCAGAAAACCAGCTGTTCTGTTTCACACTCAACATTTTCCATTTATGGGCATTGGTCTCTGCCCCTTATGGACTAATGGCCATTAATGTGTTTTTAATCTTTGCATTTCCTGTTTGATTCTCTGATCTGTATCGGTGAATCAACAGTTTTGTAAAGTCCTCTGATATAACTACTATTGTGATTTATGCAGTAGTAGAAATTAAAGAATAAATTGAATTGAGAGAGTTTGTGAGTGTGACGCAATCTACCGGCAGTTTATTTAAATGTATTAAATTATTATATATAATTCTGAGTCCGAATATCACATGCATTTTGCTCTATCAGGTCAACTTTTTGAGATACAGCCATAGTGTTACGGATTACGTAGGTCTACGTTATTATGAATTCTGCTTATCAAATTTGATGGAGTAAATACAAACTGAATGACTTCGGATACGTTGACTTTTATTTCTTGAGGAAAACGGAAAAAACGTCAAGGGGTTCTCAGCTGATGATCCGCAGAAATTAGTTTTTTACGCAAAATCGATTAAAACAAATATTTCTGTAGCAAATAATCCTGACTTGATTGAGCAAAACCAAGGTCATTTTCGGACTCAGAGCACCAACATTAGTCTAATTCAGCTGGAAAACCCTGGACTATTTTCAAAAAAAAAATTTGTTGTCACCCAGTGTTATTATGTTATAACTGAAAGAGGAGATGTTGAGATTCTGCCTGTTTTATTGATCATTTGTGACGTGTTTCATGGTTTTGTTTTTTGTTGCGTGATACAGAAGCATAAATCTCTAGTTTAATATCAATAAGTTTTTGGACACTTAAAGTCATTTTTCATTCAGTGATTCTATATTTTCTTTTTGATGCATGATAGTGGATTAAACAACAATGAATTCGAACACGGCCCTGCACCTTTCTCATCTCCCCGTCATTTAGAAACTTCAGGACGTGGCCAGAGTTCAAAGCTAATTCCGACCGCTCACTCAGTTTTTTCGTCCCAGAGACAATTTTGATGTGTCCAAAACAACACCAAAAAATCCATTAGGGAGGAAGAGGGCGGCGATCCCAGCACAACTGGCACGTGTGGTTTGTTTGTATCCGCGGGTGGAAATCTTGCACTTCCGCTTTCCAGCCCTATTTCCTAATGTCTGGATGTCAGATCGACTAAACTCCTGCAGCTGATATTTAGTGACCGCACGTCCATGCATCTGCGGTGGGAACACGGCTTGAAGTGGTTTCGCTTTCAACTGCATCTTTAGATCATATTTTTCAGACAGAAAAAGTGAAAAAGACGACCACCCTCATTTAGCCAATCAGCTCTTAGCCCAAAGAGTTGAATGGTGACTCAAAGGCCTATTTCTTACTTACAAATATGCAAAAATACAACTACTGTCTGCTATAAGATGAAGGAAGCATGCTTTGGTCTGATTTTTTCACAATACTTTTTTCTCGTTGGACAAGTTTTACCAAGTACCTCGGCTTCATCGTGAAGACTTAAACCTGTAACATTGCTGTTTCTCGTGGTTTGGTTCGTAGCTCTGTGACCTGTGTCTTGTTCCTCTCAATAACAGTGAATGTTGCTATCTTCTGATTTGACATTTGAATGGTTAATAACAGGTCTTTTGTGTTCGGATATACTTCTGGTCACCTTGCAGCGATTGCCTTATAAAGTCATACATGTAACAAGAGCCGCCGTGTCATTTCCTTCCTCGTTGAGCTGTATCCATGCTTTCAAACTTCTTCTGCTTTTCATTCTCTTGCTTCACAGAAGAACACACACAGGTGAGTCTGATTTTACTACATTCATTTGGAGCAAGATTAAGATTTAGATTCGTCCCACAGTGGGGAAATGTCATGCATACTTACTGTAGGTCTGTGACTAGTGGAATTTTTTATTCACCGATTGTAATTCACTTGCGATTATCCATGCGGCAAGTCTTTATTGTCAAGTTTGTTTGTATGGCACAGTTTATACACTGCACAACTCAAAGTGCTGAACAAAACAAGATAAAGACAATCACACAAGGCATGAGCATCATAAATAATCACGTACATTAAAAAGAATGAAAATATAATCCCTCAGTTTTTAACCTGGATTTGAACATTGTCAGAGACAAAGGCTCACATTTTCTCAGTCTCACATTTTCAGGAAGACTCTTTCAGATTTTAGCTGCGTCAATCTGAAATGCTGCCTCCCCATTTAGTCCTAACTCTGGGCACCTGCAGAAGGCCAGTCCATGTGCTCCTCATAGTCCTAGCAGGAGGCCAGTCCCTGTGGTCCTCAGAGTCGGTTCATTTGACACTAACATGTCACAGATGTACTTTGGTGCGAGGCCATGGCGAGCCTTGTAACAAACAGAGCTGATTTCAAGTCTATTCTCTGAGCCACAGGAAGCAGAGACCTGAGACCAGGACTAATGTGAGAGGACTTCCTGGTTCAAGTCAGGACTTGAGCTGCAGTGTTTTGAATATACTGCAGATGCTTGTGACCAGTGAGCAGTTAAAATGATCTTGTCAATCGTACACTAACTTGGATTGAGATTGTGTATTTATTTGAAAACAGTGTCACGTCTAAATGACTTCTGAGACTGAGGTGTTGCAGCGAGAAGGCGAACAGGAAGTCTGTGGTCTCAACTGTGGAACAGTGTTCCTTCTCTTGGTGTTCCTGTTTCTACTCATTTCAGCACAATGAAAACTGATGATTTTTCTGTGTAAGAACATACGACTCAGACAATAGACTCACAAGAACTGGAGAGAGACCCATCAGACTTTTAATTACATTATGTTCACTGAAACCTTTATGAGCTGAGATACAGACCAGAGTCTCACTGGGGCGGGTCAGAGCGAGAGGGACTTTCGACAACAGTATCACCATCTGTATCCATCCATCCATTTTTTTCCCGCTTCATTCATGGCCGGGTCGCGGGGGCAGCGGTCTAAGCAGAGACACAGACTTCCCTATCCACACACACTTCCTCCAACTCATCCAGGGCGACCCCAAGGCATTCCCAGGCCAGCTGAGAGACTTGGGTCTTCCCCGGGGCCTCCTCCCGGTGGGATGTGCCCGGAACAACTCCCCAGGGAGGCATCCAGGAGGCATCCGGAACAGATGCCCGAGCCACCTCAACTGGTTCCTCTCGACGTGGAGAAGCAGCGGCTCTAGTCCGAGCTCCTCCCGTGTGACTGAGCTCCTCACCCTATCTCTAAGGGAGCGCCCAGCCACTCTGCGGAGGAAGCTCATTTCGACCGCTTGTATCCGCGATCTCGTTCTTTCGGTCATTACCCAAAGCTCATGACCATAGGTGAGGGAGGGAACGAAGATTGACCGGTAAATCGAGAGCTTTCAGCTCAGGTCCCTCTTTACTACAACAGTCTGATACAGCTCTGACAGCAGACGCTGCTCCCTCTTTACTACAACAGTCTGATACAGCTCTGACTGCAGACGCTGCTCCCTCTTTACTACAACAGTCTGATACAGCTCTGACAGCAGACGCTGCTCCCTCTTTACTACAACAGTCTGATACAGCTCTGACTGCAGACGCTGCTCCCTCTTTACTACAACAGTCTGATACAGCTCTGACTGCAGACGCTGCTCCCTCTTTACTACAACAGTCTGATACAGCTCTGACTGCAGACGCTGCTCCCTCTTTACTACAACAGTCTGATACAGCTCTGACTGCAGACGCTGCTCCCTCTTTACTACAACAGTCTGATACAGCTCTGACAGCAGACGCTGCTCCCTCTTTACTACAACAGTCTGATACAGCTCTGACTGCAGACGCTGCTCCCTCTTTACTTCAACAGTCTGATACAGCTCTGACAGCAGACGCTGCTCCCTCTTTACTACAACAGTCTGATACAGCTCTGACTGCAGACGCTGCACCGATCCCATTGTCAATCTCACGTTCCATCCTTCCCTCAGTGAGAACATGACCTCGAAATACTTGAACTCCTCCACTAGGACAGAACCAGGACCTAGAGAAGAGCAGGACCTGGAGAGAACCAGGACCAGGAGAGAACCAGGACCTGGAGAGAACCAGGACCTGAAGTGATTTGGAGGTGCTGATTCTCATCCCAGCAGCTTCACACTCGCAAACCGTCCCAGTGCATGTTGAAATAAGCTTGTTGCTTCCATCACTCCTCTGCTGAGTCATGTGCAGTGTTTATCTAATCACATACAAAGATTTTTTTCCCAAGGCCCCGCCTTTTGAGATACGATCCCAGATCCAGGGATGTGATACAGGGATCGAGAGTCAACTTATGAAACAAGTTCATAGATCTAAAATATTTGTCTCTTTACATCTGTTATATCTTTGGATCAGCTTTTCAGGTCTCTCTCCGGGGTTTCTCTTTCTCTCTGGTCTCTCTGTAGTCCCTCTCTCTCTGGTCTCTCTCTCTCTGGTCTCTCTCTCTCTGGTCTCTCTCTCTCTAGTCTCTCTCTCTCTGGTCTCTCTCTCTCTGGTCTCTCTCTCTCTGGTCTCTCTCTCTCTAGTCTCTCTCTCTCTGGTCTCTCTCTAGTCTCTCTCTCTCTCTGGTCTCTCTCTGATCTCTCTCTCTCTCTCTCTCTCTCTCTGGTCTCTCTCTGGTCTCTCTCTCTGATCTCTCTCTCTCTCTCTGGTGTCTCTCTGATCTCTCTCTCTCTGGTCTCTCTCTGGTCCCTCTCTGGTCTCTCTCTGGTTTCTCTCTAGTCTCTCTCTCTCTGGTCTCTCTCTGGTCCCTCTCTGGTCTCTCTCTGGTCTCTCTCTAGTCTCTCTCTCTCTGGTCTCTCTCTGGCCTCTCTCTCTCTAGTCTCTCTCTCTCTCTCTCTGGTCTCTCTCTGGTCTCTCTCTAGTCTCTCTCTCTTTGGTCTCTCTCTGGTCTCTCTCTCTCTGGTCTCTCTCTCTCTAGTCTCTCTCTCTCTCTCTCTGGTCTCTCTCTGGTCTCTCTCTAGTCTCTCTCTCTTTGGTCTCTCTCTGGTCTCTCTCTCTCTGGTCTCTCTCTCTCTAGTCTCTCTCTCTCTCTCTCTCTCTAGTCTCTCTCTCTCTGGTCTCTCTCTCTCTGGTCTCTCTCTCTCTGGTCTCTCTCTGGTCTCTCTCTGGTCTCTCTCTGGTCTCTCTCTGGTCTCTCTCTCTCTAGTCTCTCTCTCTCTCTCTCTAGTCTCTCTCTCTCTCTCTCTAGTCTCTCTCATGTATTTTTGGCTTCTTCTGTCACATCTTTAGATAGAAAAGTGACACCGAGAGGACCAACCTCTCTCGGCCAATCAGACACCAAAGATAACATGTTTAAAAAGATGAAGACTTTATATCTGATTATTGATAATCTGGAAATAAAAACATCTGGAATTTAATAAATTAGAATTTTTACAAAAGTTAGATTTATTTTAGACTTGTTTCTTTATTGTGCTTAAGTTAGATATGTTTTTTTAATTGTCGTAAAGAGGTATTGTTCAGTTATCTTGTGCTGTGCGCTCCTCATTCCTAATGTTCTGTAACTGGTGATGCAACACTGACATTTCACTGTGGGAAGGATCTCTTCATCTTCATTTGAATTAAACAAAGAAACATATAGATACAAGTCTCTTTTAGAAAGATTTTGGAAATGAGAGAGAAGCGAAACAGAGAAACCAGCACCGCACAGACATGAAGGTGCACAGGAGGTGATGCTTTTAACTCTTGACTCATTTAACGACATCTATGTTCAGCGTTGTGATGTCACATGCGGCTGTTTCACTTCTGCAAGAAATATATAAACTCAAAGCTGCTTTTCACACTTTTTACTTTCACAGTAAAACCGTAGTCTGCATATATGTACTTTTCACACAACAACGACTTCAATTTCTTCTACTCTAAGAAATGATATCCTGCATCTTAAGTTTTATTTGTTTTGACAAACAAGTGCTTTTTAGGTCTTGCTCTATGTTTCCATCATAAATCAAAACATATATCCCTAAACGTTCTGGTGTTCTTGATGTAGTTATTCATTTAGCAACAGAGACAATCCTAAACTGATTTAGTTTTGCGAGTGCAGAAAGCCTTCCGTTATTCCAACAGTATATATGCCCATATAAGGGTAAGTCCACATGTGTATATATACTGAATATACTATATACTGTATATATAGATATATACGCAGGTGTGCACTGACCAAGTGTATATATATATATACTGTATATACACAAGTGTGGACTGACTGAGTGTGACATCACAATTCAATTTGATGTCAAATTAACGTCTGTTCAAATGAAAACATTGGAACCTCTTGTTCTGATGCTGAGCAGAAGTCTCCATCCCCCAGTTTCTTTTACACTTGGACTTGGAGTCTTCTGTGGTCGTTGTGGAGGAGGTTCTCTATCGTCTGAGGGAAAAGCTCAACATTCTTCTTGGCTTAAATACTCGAGTTTCTTTAAATTCCTGGGCTGCCTTACATGAACAGCTCAGTTGAGATATCCAGAGCAGCTCAAAGATGGTATTGGAATAAAATCTGTCAAAATTCAGATTTTGACAGATTTGAATATATATATATATATATATATATATATATATATATAGCCAAAATGAGCCCTCTGAACTTATACATGACAGAAAAGGTGTTTGTTTAACCGTCAGTGTGTACATCAGGTGTTTGTGGATTCAGAATCTTTCTAACAATGATTCTCTGCCCGGGAGTGTAAACTTTCAGACAGTCGATCTGTGTTTCCAAAAGGAGGATATAATGTTCGAGCTTCTGTCACATGACCCAACACTTCTGCAGACAGTGACAGAAGTACAACTCTTGTTATAATACTGACTTCTGCAAAGAGCATGTATTTCTGATCCTCTTGTGAGTCAGAGAAAGATATGGCATTGTTATTAATACCAGTGTTGTGCCAGTTCACAGCTTTTCTGAACTAGTTCAAGTTCAGTTCATACATGTTCAAAGTGAACAGTTCACGTTCAAAGTTCACATTTTTAAATCTGAACTAGTTCAAGTTCAGTTCATACATGTTCAAAGTGAACAGTTCACGTTCAAAGTTCACATTTTTAATTCTGAACTAGTTCAAAGTTCAGTTCATTTTACTTTTTTCGAAAAAAGTAAAATGAACTGAACTTCATTCACTCAGCAGAGATGGAGCAAAACGGAGTTGCTTCATCTCTGCTCATAAACTACAGACAGTAATGCGCTGCAGTGCGTGTGTCTATACTTTATGTCAAATGTAAACGGTGTAAACTTTGTCGCTAACTCACCCTGTGTTTTCATCACGACTCGGGCACATGTGACAAGCACCAGCTCACAGCGCAACCATAGACTGTATATACAGTTCCTTGCGAAAGTATTCGGCCCCCTTGAACTTTTCAACATTTCGCCACACTTAAGGCTTCAAACATAAAGATATAAAAATAAATTTTTTTGTCAGGAATCAACAACAAGTGGGACACAATCGTGAAGTGGAACAAAATTTATTGGATAATTTAAACTTTTTTAACAAATAAAAAACTGAAAAGTGGGGCGTGCAATGTTATTCGGCCCCCTTGCGCTAATACTTTGTAGCGCCACCTTTGGCTGCAATTACAGCTGCAAGTTGCTTGGGGTATGTCTCTATCAGTTTTTCACATCGAGAGACTGGAATTCTTGCCCATTCTTCCTTGCAAAACAGCTCAAGCTCAGTGAGGTTGGATGGAGAGCGTTTGTGAACAGCAGTCTTCAGCTCTTTCCACAGATTCTCGATTGGATTCAGGTCTGGACTTTGACTTGGCCATTCTAACACCTGGATACGTCTATTTGTGAACCATTCCATTGTAGATTTGGCTTTATGTTTTGGATCATTGTCCTGTTGGAAGATAAATCTCCGTCCCAGTCTCAGGTCTTTTGCAGACTCCAACAGGTTTTCTTCCACAATGGTCCTGTATTTGGCTCCATCCATCTTCCCATCAATTTTAGCCATCTTCCCTGTCCCTGCTGAAGAAAAGCAGGCCCAAACCATGATGCTGCCACCACCATGTTTGACAGTGGGGATGGTGTGTTCAGGGTGATGTGCTGTGTTGCTTTTACGGCAAACATATCGTTTTGCATTGTGGCCAAAAAGTTCGATTTTGGTTTCATCTGACCAGAGCACCTTCTTCCACATGTTTGGTGTGTCTCCCAGGTGGCTTGTGGCAAACTTTAAACGAGACTTTTTATGGATATCTTTGAGAAATGGCTTTTATTCTTGCCACTCTTCCATAAAGGCCAGATTTGTGCAGTGCACGACTGATTGTTGTCCTATGGACAGACTCTCCCACCTCAGCTGTAATTATCTACAGTTCATCCAGAGTGATCATGGGCCTCTTGTCTGCATCTCTGATCAGTCTTCTCCTTGTTTGAGACGAAAGTTTGGAGGGACGGCCGGGTCTTGGTAGATTTGAAGTGGTCTGATACTCCTTCCATTTCAATATATTTGCTTGCACAGTGCTCCTTGAGATGTTTAAAGCTTGGGAAATCTTTTTGTATCCAAATCTCGGACCTGCCTGGTGTGTTTCTTTGTCTTCATGGTTCTCTCTGCGCTTTAAACAGAACCCTGAGACTATCAAAGAGCAGGTGCATTTATACGGAGACTTGATTACACACAGGTCATTTAGGACAACATTGGATCATTCAAAGATCCTCACTGAACTTCTGGAGTGAGTTTGCTGCACTGAAAGTAAAGGGGCCCAATAATATTGCACGCCCCACTTTTCAGTTTTTTATTTGTTAAAAAAGTTTAAATTATCCAATCAATTTCGTTTCACTTCACGATTGTGTCCCACTTGTTGTTGATTCATGACAAAAAATTAAAATTTTATATCTTTATGTTTGAAGCCTGAAATGTGGCGAAATGTTGAAAGGTTCAAGGGGGCCGAATACTGTATTAATGGACACGCCATTAATGAGTCACGCCTATCTCCCCCGTTCTAACTAATCGGCCAAAAAATTTGCTCTACTGGAGCAATCCAAAATGGCCGCGAGCGGTCCCGCCCACAGGAAAATTGTGAAAAAACGCATCTGCGCATGCGTCAGCCGGCGCAACTCCATTCATTTGAACGAGAGACTTCAAAAATTCACAGCAAGTAAACTAGAGTGGACCAAAAAAATCACCCCCCTCAGCATTGACACACATGTGGAACGGAGCTTTGGGCCAAGAGCCAACTTTTGGTCCATCCTGTAAAGACGTTTTTGAGAGGTCTGCCAATGCTATATGTTAGCATTGGCTAATTCTACTTCTGGGTCCACCCCCATCGGCCCAGGGTGGTATTGCAAGCATGTCAGCGCACGTCATTTTGGCCACTTTTGAGCTGGGACCCTCCCCCACTGACCGCAACACGGAGTCAAGGTGCGTTCACAGACGGTGGAAACCGTAGGAATTTTTAGATTTCGGCGGAAAAAGTGCGAGAATACAGGAGGGAGGAACTTTCTCTCGTTGCGTTTCAAAAGAGAAAACAGATTCCAACGTTCATAGTGATGTCTGCCGTTCATGACACATAAAATGAACTAATTCACGTTCAAGTTCTTTTTTTAAAAATGTGTTGCGTTCAGTTCAACGTTCACGAAAAAATGAGCGAGTTCTTTAACTCGTTCACGCACAACACTGATTAATACTACTACTATTTTTACATTGTTTTGATTACTACTATTTTAATTACATTTTTATTACTACTGCTATTCTGACCATATTTTTTATCAACAGCAGTGTTGGCAAGCGTGCTACTACAATATTACTGTCTCTGAATTGTAAAGAATTACACTAGTACTGCATTACTTTGAAGTTACTTTCACCAAATCTGGGCAAATACTATTGGACATGTGTTTTCCTGCAGATCTCGCGGTTCATAAAAACAAAACACTGTTTCATTTCAGTTAAAATACAATGTAAAGTTACTGACCTGTAAACTGTATCACATGTTTATTTCAAAGTGTTACTTTTGTCTTTTTATCTCTGTGCAGCACTTTGGAAATTTGTTTTATGATTAAATAAAGTGGATTGGATTGAAATGAAGGTGCGGCTTATACACAGGTGTGGGTTATACACAGGTGTGGGTTATACACAGGTGTTGCTTATACACAGGTGTGGGTTATACACAGGTGCGGCTTATACACAGGTGTGGGTTATACACAGGTGCGGCTTATACACAGGTGTGGGTTGTACACAGGTGCTTCATAGTCCAGGGACTGCATGTATTTTACTGTTTGTTTGTGTTCCCAGTTGTCGTGATGGAGAGCGGAACACCCATCTCTCAGGAGGAGCTGGAGGAGCTCAGAGAAGCTTTCACTAAAATCGGTAACATCCGTTTTTTTACACAACTGTCTCCTCAATCATTTTTATTGTATTATTCTTTTAAACGAAAAGTTAAATTACACACTCACATTAGGAAGTAAAAATAAATGACCAAAAATACTCAAATAAAACTAAAACGTAAAGTGCCCAGCAGTAAAAGTAATACAAATGCACACAAACACAAAAACCAAAAGTGGGAACCATGAAGCTCAGAAACATAAAGGGGAAGATTCTAGCATAGCAAAACAGAACACTTTTTACCCTGGATTTGAACAAACTCAGAGTGCCAGCCGGTCTCACATTCTCAGGAAGACTGTTCCATGTTTTCAGACGTGGACAATAACGGCTTCATCAGTAAAGAGGAGCTGAACGAGCTGTTCCGAGCCGCTAACCTCTCTCTGCCCGGATACCGCATCCGAGAGATGGTCCAGGAGATGACGCAGGACAGCAACCAGCTCTCCTTCCAGCAGTTCACACAGGTATGAGAGACAGGAACACGGTTTAATAGTATAGCACAGCACACAACAAGACATAAGAAGAGAAGAGAAAGCATTTAGATCTACAGATAAACATGTTTCTATGTGTGTCAAACATTCGCACTGCTGAAAAGACACAGTCACAGCAGGAGCTTGGTCCAGGTCCAGGACTCTTCTAGATTGTTGTATCAAGCTCTTTTCTGGACTCTCAAGAAAACATATTCATTCACTTTGTACTCGGTGGTGGCAACAGCCTTCTGTAGCCACAGCTGCCTTTGGGCAGAGTGACAGAAGAGAGGCTGTCTTGCCCAAAGACACACCTCAACAATGGGGTGAGATTTGTCTCAATGATTCATCAATGATTCATCAATGCAAGGATTTATTCAACATATCCCTAACTTATAACTATGTTACATTAAAATGTTTTTAGTAAAACATATCTTTGAAAGTCTGTAGCAGTCTGTTAGCATGCAGCTAATTGTGAATGTATAAACCACCATCATTTTGCATTCTCCTTCTTTGTGGGGATCACACGATACAAACATGACTCCACAGGATTTGATTCACAAAAACTCAATATGCATTCAAAATGTTTTGCAAAGATTTGCAAAACGTTTTACAAAGTACAAAATACAATAGGAAATAAATCTAAACCGGACACCTGTGTTTGCAGATGGTGCACGGCCTGAAGAGCACAGAGGTGGCCAAGACCTTCAGGAAAGCCATCAACAAGAAGGAGGGAATCTGCTCCGTGCGAGGGACCTCAGAGCAGTCAGGGACCCAGCACTCATACTCAGGTAACATATATATACAGAACGTGTGTGCGTGTGTCTGTGTGTGTCTAAAGTGTGTGTGCGTCTGTGTTTCCAGAGGAGGAGAAGGTGGCGTTTGTGAACTGGGTGAACAAGGCTCTGGAGAAAGATGGCGACTGTGACCACGTTCTGCCCATGGACCCCTGCACCAACCAGCTGTTCAGTGCAGTGGGAGACGGCATCGTGCTCTGGTCAGACCTTCACTGTTTTATATGATCTACACACAGACACACAGGGTCAGAATACACACAGGGACACACAATATACACAAAGTGACACATGAATCCATGACCTCAGACACAGTTCTCACATGGTTCAGAACATGTTGATAGTTCTAACCTGGAGTACGACCATTAAATAGATATAAACGCTTGAATCCAGTGTTTTTCTCTCTCTCTCATTTCTTTTGGGCAACAATATGAATGAAGAATGAAATAAACGAGGAAATCAGTAATAAGTTTACATTTTTTATCAAATCAGAATGAAATTTTTAAAAAAGAAATCCATCAAACAGCTTGACACAGTTTGGCCTTGGTCTTTCAGATGGAACTTTCATTTCAATGTCAATGTCAGATTTATTTGTATCACACTTTGACAACATCACCAGCTGCCCAAAGTGCTTCACAGGCGCAAAAGACAGAAAAAGAAAAGAAAACAGTCTTTAGCAGGGGATGTCTTGCTCAGGGACACAACAACAGCAGTCAGTGGGTGGGAGTAGGCACATGTCTGGTGGGGGATCGAACCACAGACCACTCCTCCTATAACAATGATGTAATGTCTGTCTCTGGTTTGAAACGCTGACGTCTGGTCCACAGTAAGATGATAAACCTGTCTGTCCCTGACACCATCGATGAACGAACCATCAACAAGAAGAAGCTGACTCCCTTCACTATCCAGGTCAGAACTCATACTTTTATTAATATCACATAAACGAGATGAAACATGGAATCTCACCTCGACCACTAAACACTAGAACTATTATAGCCCCATTTCCACTGAGCAAAAACACAAAGAGAAGGTTAGAGAACTACGTAGAAGTCACAGGTCTGAGGATGACAGAGAGAAGCAGTAGCTACCAGAGAGAAGCAGTAGCTACCAGAGAGAAGCAGTAGCTACCAGAGAAAAGCAGTAGCTACCAGAGAGAAGCAGTAGCTACCAGAGAGAAGCAGTAGCTACCAGAGAGAAGCAGTAGCTACCAGAGAGAAGCAGTAGCTACCAGAGAGAAGCAGTAGCTACCAGAGAGAAGCAGTAGCTACCAGAGAGAAGCAGTAGCTACCAGAGAGAAGCAGTAGCTACCAGAGAGAAGCAGTAGCTACCAGGAAAAAGCAGAGGGTCTACTTTGAGAACCGCTGCACATTTCACATACTGTACCACCTGAAGGAGAATGTTGAGGGAAAGGCTTTTATCGTCCGCGGTGAGAAGCCAAACAGTGTCCGCTGTTCTTTCTGAACTGGAGACTGTTGTAGAAGTTTTTACTCACATAATAATGTGGAGCTGCTGATTGGCCGATGGGGATGTGGTCGTTGTGACGGGAAATGTCTGTTTTCAGTTCTTTTACAAGTATCAATCACAAAGTATTGAGAGGAAGAGGGGTAGTGTGCATGGTTATTTCTTTAGCTAAAAACTGTTCTTCACAGGTTCTTCACAGGTTTCAAAAATGATCAGTTTCAGTGATTTAATATAAATATGTAATATAATATATTATTCATATTAAATGTTATAATCTGGTTAAATATGAGTTTATTCAAAGATTATTATAAGAACAATGTGGTTCCATGAGGAAAGCTTCAACCTGTTGCATATGTTTGTATGTGGCCTCCTCAACTCTCACCTCCTCTCTCTCACCTCTCCTCTCTCTCACCTCCTCTCTCCTCTGTCTCCTCTCCTCACCTCTCTTCTGTCTCCTCACCTCTCCTCACCTCCTCTTGGTTTCTGCAGGAGAACCTGAACCTGGCCCTGAACTCTGCGTCTGCCATCGGCTGTCATGTGGTGAACATTGGGGCTGAGGACCTGAAAGAGGGCAGGCAGCACCTGGTGCTGGGGCTGCTGTGGCAGGTCATCAAGATCGGACTGTTCGCCGACATTGAGCTGAGCCGCAACGAAGGTCTGTGATGTCACATTAATGTTTCAGTGATGTCTGTGATGTTGAAGACACAGATCTGTCGTAGTTAATTCCCACCAGAGTGTGCACACCTGTGGAATCAAGAAAGTCTGTGTTTGATTGGACAAAACAATTATCAAAAATACTAAAAGATTTAGAAGAGATTGATCATAACAGATTATGGATTACGTGTAAAGATTGGTGCTAAACTCTTTACAAAAAGATTTCTCCATCTCGTGGCCAGAATCTTGAGTCTCATCTTGAAAAATATTTCTGCTAAAGCTGATGCAGACTAAAGTCTATAATTCAGTCTTGTGTGGCTGAGTTTCCGTGTTCAAGCATGGGTCAAAAGCAGAGTGAGACCTTCATCACAGTGAGTGCTGTAATGATGCCCGAGGCATCCCTGTGCTTCCTCTGCTCTGATCGCTCTGTCCCTGTGCTTCCTCTGCTCTGATCGCTCTGTCCCTGTGCTTCCTCTGCTCTGATCGCTCTGTCCCTGTGCTTCCTCTGCTCTGATCGCTCTGTCCCTGTGCTTCCTCTGCTCTGATCGCTCTGTCCCTGTGCTTCCTCTGCTCTGATCGCTCTGTCCCTGTGCTTCCTCTGCTCTGATCGCTCTGTCCCTGTGCTTCCTCTGCTCTGATCGCTCTGTCCCTGTGCTTCCTCTGCTCTGATCGCTCTGTCCCTGTGCTTCCTCTGCTCTGATCGCTCTGTCCCTGTGCTTCCTCAGCTCTGATCGCTCTGTCCCTGTGCTTCCTCAGCTCTGATCGCTCTGTCCCTGTGCTTCCTCAGCTCTGATCGCTCTGTCCCTGTGCTTCCTCAGCTCTGATCGCTCTGTCCCTGTGCTTCCTCAGCTCTGATCGCTCTGTCCCTGTGCTTCCTCTGCTCTGATCGCTCTGTCCCTGTGCTTCCTCTGCTCTGATCGCTCTGTCCCTGTGCTTCCTCAGCTCTGATCGCTCTGTCCCTGTGCTTCCTCAGCTCTGATCGCTCTGTCCCTGTGCTTCCTCAGCTCTGATCGCTCTGTCCCTGTGCTTCCTCTGCTCTGATCGCTCTGTCCCTGTGCTTCCTCAGCTCTGATCGCTCTGTCCCTGTGCTTCCTCAGCTCTGATCGCTCTGTCCCTGTGCTTCCTCAGCTCTGATCGCTCCGTCCCTGTGCTTCCTCAGCTCTGATCGCTCTGTCCCTGTGCTTCCTCTGCTCTGATCGCTCTGTCCCTGTGCTTCCTCAGCTCTGATCGCTCTGTCCCTGTGCTTCCTCAGCTCTGATCGCTCTGTCCCTGTGCTTCCTCTGCTCTGATCGCTCTGTCCCTGTGCTTCCTCAGCTCTGATCGCTCTGTCCCTGTGCTTCCTCAGCTCTGATCGCTCTGCTGAGGGACGGTGAGAGTCTGGAGGACCTGATGAAACTGTCCCCAGAGGAACTGCTGCTGCGCTGGGCCAACCACCACCTGCAGGAGGCCGGCTGCTCCAGGATCAACAACTTCAGCTCCGATATCAAGGTACTACTGCGACGACTACTACTACTACTACTACTACTACTACTACTATTGCTGCTGCTGCTACTGCTACTGCTACTGCAACTGCTACTAATACTACTTACTTACTTACGTACTTACTACTGCTACTGCTACTTCTACTACTGCTGCTACTGCTACTGCTACTGCAACTGCAACTGCTACCAATACCGCTTAATTACTTACTCACTTACTGCTACTGCTGCTGCTGCTACAACTGCTACTGCTACTACTGCTACTGCTGCTGCTGCTACTACTGCTACTGCTACTGCTACAACTACAGCTATTGCTACTTCTGCTACTGCTACTACTACTACTTCTACAGCTATTGCTACTACTACTTCTACAGCTATTGCTACAGGTACTACTAGTACTGCTTCTGCTGCTGCTACTACTAAACGTCTTGTTCTGAATCCAAGTCCGAGTCCGAGTCTGAGTCTGTGATGGTTTTGCAGGACTCTAGAGCGTACTACAACCTGCTGAACCAGGTTTCTCCGAAGGGCGATGAGGACGGAGTTCCCCCAGTGGCCATCGACATGTCCGGGCTCAAGGTAATATACCAGTACAATACATACCAGTATAATCACACCAGTACAGAACATACCAGTCTAATGATACCAGGACACCAGCACAGACAACAATGAAGAAGCACTAAACGTACAGTAAGCAGAGGTTGTAGACTGAACTTTTCTGTAGTTGACCACGTTCCAGGTGGAACATTTTACTTTTATAGAAATACAGAAGGAAACCTCAAAGTTCTACAGCAGGTGCATCTCAATAAAAACAAGTAGGTTTTCTGATGATGTTTTTATCCTGATCATTCCAGTAGGACCTGGTTCCTCTTCACACATTGTCACAGGGGTCAGTTCTCTTTCTGTAGGAGCCGGTGTCTAATCTCTGGTCTCTGTCTCACTGGTCTCTGTCTCAGCTGCAGGAGTCTCTGGTCTCTGCTCTAGTCTCTGTCTCTCTGGTCTCTGTCTCACTGGTCTCTCTAGTCTCTGCCTCACTGGTCTCTCTAGTCTCTGCCTCACTGGTCTCTCTAGTCTCTGTCTCACTGATCTCTATGGTCTCTGTCTCACTGGTCTCTGGTATTTGTCTCACTGATTAATGGTCTGGTCTCTGTCTCTCTGGTCTTCGGTTTCTAGTCTCTGTCTCACTACTTCACTGTCTCTGCTGCAGGCGTCTCTGGTCTCTGTCTCTTTGGTCTCTGTCTCACTGATCACTGGTCTCTGGTTTGTGTCTTACTGGTATCTGTCTCTCTGGTCTCTGTCTCACTGGTCTCTGGTCTGCGTCTCACTCCTTCCCCGTCTCTGCTGCAGGAGAAGGATGACCTGAAGCGTGCGGAGCAGATGTTGGAGCAGGCCGAACGTCTGGGCTGCAGACAGTTCGTGATGCCTCCAGACGTGGTCCGAGGAAACCCCAAACTCAACCTCGCCTTCGTGGCCAACCTGTTCAACAAGTACCCGGCGCTGAAGAAGCCCGAGAACCAGGACATCGACTGGAGCTCCGTGGAGGGTGAGGAGCTGGTCATGAACGGTCTCACTCTAATCCTACTCAGTGTTATGTTAGAGACCAAATATAGTCGATGAAGGCTACGCAATCTTCAATAAATTCTGATACACTTAAGAAGAAGGTCCTTTATTAGTCCCACAGTGGGGAATTTTAAGTTGATGAATACACACATACACATCACGGCATGCAGCAAACACTACTTCCACGCTCCTTAGATAGATAGATAGATAGATAGATACTTTATTGATCCCTGTAGGAAAAATTCAGGGGTCCAGTGGCAGCAAAAAAGCTAACATAAGTAATAATCAGCAACAGCGTTTCAGGTGACAGCAGCAGAGATGGAGTAGCCTCTGAGTGGGTTAAGTGTCTTGCCCATGGACACAACAACAGCAGACATCAGTGGAGTTAAGGAGCAAAATATAACATTAATAATAATAATAATACATCAAACTTGTATAGTGCTTTTTTGGACACTCAAAGACGCTTCACATGGGGAGTAGAATACAATAATAAAAAGGGGTTTACGGAAAAGCTTGTTTGAAAAGATGGGTTTTGAGTACTGATTTAAAGTTTGATAGTGAGTCAGAGTTTCTAATGGGCAGTGGGAGTGAGTTCCAGAGGGTTGGGGCGCCAATGGCAAAAGCTCTGTCCCCCAAGGTTCGGCGGTTAGTGCGGGTGATGGGGGTGAGGAGGTTGGAATTGGCTGAGCGAAGGCGGCGGGTGGGTTGGTGCTGTTGTAGGAGCTCAGTAAGGTAGGGTGGGGCCAGGTTATGGAGGGACTTGTAGGTAAGGAAGGAGGAGCTTGTAATGGATGCGGTATTGAACGGGGAGCCAGTGGAGCTGCTGGAGGACAGGGGTGACGTGTTCTCTGGAACGGGTGTCGGTGAGGAGGCGGGCTGCAGAGTTCTGGATGTATTGCAGTTTTTGGAGATGAGTGGTGGGAAGTCCGTAGAGGAGGCTGTTGCAGTAGTAGCCTCCTCTGAACATTGTAAATAAAAAGTGAAAACAACAAATTAGTAGCGTATGTTCAGACAATCTTCCCAGTGATGCTGCAGTAGAGTACATAAGTATGCAGCACAGTAACCTTATAGAATCTCTGTGACTTTACTTTGAAAATGATCAGAATAGAAACATAAAAGTGGACACATTATTGTAGCATTTACAGGTGAATGTACAGGAGGTCCGTGTATGTCTAATAGTAGAAATGTAGCCACAGCTGCCCTGGGGCACACTGACAGACACAAGGCAACCAGTCTGTGCCATTGGCCCCTCCCACAACCACCAACCATTCACACACATATCAGACTCATTCAAATGTGGTTGAAGTGTCTTGCCTAAGGACACAACCACAGTTTGGCACTGTACAGCCGCAGCCGCCCCACTGCTGGTGTTCCCTGAGGTCTCCCATCACAGTACTAACCAGACCCTGCCCTGCTTAGCTACAAAGATACTAACAAGGAAAGACACATTTGGAGACTGTCATAGCTCAAATGGTCCAGCTGGTTCTCTGTTCTCTCGTCCTGAACTCCAAGTAAATCTATCTTGCCTTCATCCCAACTGCATGTTTGAATTAGTCTACCCTGGGTTGTGATTCCCACTGGTGCCACAAGATGGGGCTGTTTCCTTCCTCTTTGCTGCTGATATACAACATTAAACATATTTTCTGCAAATTGATTCAAGTTTTAAAACATGAAACGCAAATGCAGATATCTCAAGATCAGGTTTAAATGAATGATAACGTTCAGAATATAGCATAACTGTGTTGTGTTGTCGTCAGGGGAGACGCGTGAGGAGCGGATGTTCAGAAACTGGATGAATTCTCTGGGAGTGAACCCTCGAGTGAACCGCCTCTACACGTGAGAACCAGCTCCATCAGTCTTTGGTCACATGACACTCTGCCCTCATTCAACTCAGACCTGGAGCAGTGTTTAGCTGCACTCACGCTTCAGAAGGAGCTTTTCCAATTCAGTTTATTTGTGTATTGCCCTAAATCACAACATTAGTAGTAGGACTTTACAAAACCACTGATGCGCTAACACAGATCAGAGAATCAAACAATTCAAACACAAGAAATGTAATGATGAAAAACACAAAGAGCCATTGGTCCATAAGGGTCTGGATCATCACCTCTGTCCTTAGACTCAGATTAGACTGTTATTAGTTGTTCCACATTGAGATCCAGGACTGGGGCTGTAGGTCCAGGACTGGGGCTGTAGATCCAGGACTGGGGCTGTAGGTCCAGGACTGGGGCTGTAGATCCAGGACTGAGGCTGTAGATCCAGGACTGAGGCTGTAGATCCAGGACTGAGGAGGCTCCCAGGTGGGGAGGGAGTGCACAGGGCCGGGGAGGACAGTCCACAGTTGCAGATGGAGGAGGCCGGGTTCAGGGGTCTCTTCATCACGCGATGAAACAGACAGATCTTGTGTGTGTAACATGTATTTGAGCGTGTTACTGCTGCTGTTGCAGAGACATCAACGACGCCTTGGTGATCTTCCAGCTGTATGAACAGATCAAAGTTCCTGTGAACTGGGACAAAGTGAACAAACCTCCCTACAGCAAACTGGGCAGCAACATGAAGAAGGTGCGTCACAAAAGAAACATATCAACAACTTTATTCTGCTGTTGGTTTGAGCTCCATCCACTGTGATGTCACATGCCCCTCCCTCTGACTGAGCTCTGACCTCATACTCTGGACTTGCTCTGGTTTTCACCTGCACATGAAAACACATGATTTAGAACAAACACAAAAGTGTCCAGGCCCTACTGTATAGATGTATGTATGTGTGTGTCGAGGTGAATACACCAATGCCAAAGGGTTGTTCTGATTCTCAAAACTTGTGTTGAGAAACCACAGCCCCAGGGGAAAGTAGGTCTAAGTCTGAGATCATGTCTAAGATAATGTCTAAGATCATGTTTAAGGCCCATGTGTGGTTCACAGCTGGAGAACTGTAACTACGCCGTGGAGCTGGGGAAGAACGAGGCCAAGTTTTCTCTGGTTGGAATCGCAGGACAAGATCTGAACTCAGGGAATCGCACCCTCACCCAGGCGTTACTATGGCAACTCATGAGGAGGTGACCTCTCTCACACACACTCACACACACATACACACACACAGAAGAACTAAGAGACCAAAGACTTCAGAATTCCCAAGAGACCAAAGAGTAAAGAAGTACCACATCTCTCTTGATCTTTGGGGAATCTATAAAATGCTGTAAATCAGTTTTGGCTGCAGTTGATGCAGAGCAGTTTTCTTTGTTTCCATTTTGTTTCAGACACAATGTTATTGCTATACATTGTATGTAGCTATGGTAACCCTCTGGGCAGTCCAAAATGGCACGATTACATTGATTAGAGTGATTTGATTAGATGTTTGAGGCATTTCTTCCTGGTCCAGTCTAGTTACCATGACAATGTCCCTCCCTCAGATACACTCTGAAAATCCTGGAGGACCTGGGCGACGGGCAGAAGGTCACCGACGACACCATTGTCTCCTGGGTCAATCAGACTCTGACACAAGCTGGAAAAACCTCCATCTCCAGCTTCAAGGTACTTCTCCAGAACAATGTTTCACTATCCTGTATCATCCAGTATCATCCAGTATCCTCCAGTATCCTCCAGTATCCTCCAGTATCCTCCAGTATCATCCAGTATCCTCCAGTATCCTCCAGTATCATCCAGTATCCTCCAGTATCCTCCAGTATCCTCCAGTATCATCCAGTATCCTCCAGTATCATCCAGTATCCTCCAGTATCCTCCAGTATCCTCCAGTATCCTCCAGTATCATCCAGTATCCTCCAGTATCCTCCAGTATCCTCCAGCATCATCCAGTATCCTCCAGTATCATCCAGTATCCTCCAGTATCCTCCAGTATCCTCCAGTATCATCCAGTATCCTCCAGTATCCTCCAGTATCATCCAGTATCCTCCAGTATCCGTCTTAGTCCTGCCTTGTATCTCTTTCCAACCCCATTGTTGACTTTTATAGTAGTGTGTAGTAGGTGTAGTAGTAGGAGTAGGTGTAGGAGTAGTAGCAGTTGTTATAGGAGTAGGTGTAGTAGGAGTAGGAGTAGTTGTAGGAGTAGGTGTAGCATTTGGTGGTGTAAGTGTAGTATTTAGTGGTGGTAGGTGTTGCAGCAGTAGTAAGTAAGTGAGAGCTGATTGGCTGAGTGAAGCTCTCATTTTCTACTGTACTGCCTGAAAAAAAATCTAAAAATATGGCCAAAATTAGTGACAGAAGCGTTTTATTGCCAGTGGATTGTACACAGACATGGGTTCTTTTTACAGTACATAGTGTTGATCCTTGTTGTACCATGTGGCCTCCTGCTGGTGTGTGTGTGCTCAGGACCTGTCCATCAGCAGCAGTATCCCTGTGATTGACCTGATCGATGCCATCAGACCTGGATCCATCCGCTACGAGCTCCTGAAGACAGAGGACCTCACTGACGAAGAGAAACTCAACAACGCCAAGTATAAACCATGTCTATACGATCGCTGAGAGACTTTCTAATGTGTTGTGTCCAAAACCTCATTCACACTGAGAGAAAAAAAACACATGGATATTTCATAATGATCCATGGAAACAGAGGTGTATTTTGTGTATCATTTTTCGGATTTTAAATTGGTGAGATTCATACTCTGGAGCAACTTATGTGTGTAAAATTGTAGCATGTTCTTTATGATAAAGTCACATTCTCAGTTTGTTGTTTATGCGTCATATAATGTAAACTTAGGGTTCAGTTGGTAGAGCATTGGTCTTAGAAACTAATGGTTTCTAAGACCCATATCATCTGCTCCCACTGAGATCTGCTGTTTTTGTGTCCTTGGGCAAGACACTTAACCCCATGTTGCCGGAAGCCCCTGCTGAAACACAAAGGCTGTATCTTTGTCAAAGCAGCATCTTCCGTGGACCCAACAGCTGTAGGAGGATCTGCGAGGGGCGGGTGCTGCAGTTTGGGTGGCAGCTCTGATTGCCGCCACTCCCCAACCCAAAAATGGAATAAAAAAGGGGATGACATGACATACACTTATTCAGCCTGTTGTTCTCTATTCTATTTTTATTCTAAATTAAACAATGTTGATTGTAAGTAAATAAACTCCGCCGTGCAGCAGTGTTTATGTTGTTAGCCAGAGTCAGTGTTTCTAAAGCCTCAGTTATCCATTTTTAGTTTTAGTGTGTGCTGAATTACAAATATATAGATTTATATTTTAATAAACCCTGAAAAAAACAGAACTACTTGATTTTGCATCCAATTAAAAAGTAATATATATCTAATAATGTTTTCAGTATAATGTTTATGAGTTTCAAAGCAGGACGTAAAATGCTTCAAATAAAAGGTCCGTCAAATTTGCACACAAAAAATCTTGAACCACTCCTGCTTCATTCACAGATACGCCATTTCAATGGCGAGAAAAATCGGCGCCAGAGTCTACGCTCTGCCCGAGGATCTGGTGGAAGTCAAGCCCAAGATGGTGATGACGGTCTTCGCCTGCCTGATGGCCAGAGGACTCTAGGAGGATAAACACCAGAGAGAATCCACTCAAGAAGAAGCAGCGGGGAATAACGGCAGCAGGGAGCTATGGTTTGACTGGTTTGGTTATGGACCAGTACAGGTTTGACTGGTTTGGTTATGGACCAGTACGGGTCTGACTGGTTTGGTTCTTAAAAGGTTCCTATACAAACACAAATGGACAGTTCAACAATAAAATCACTAGAAAATAAAAATGTGAAAACAGGATCAAAAAGCGGGCGCCTCTTTTAAAAACTGCTTCAACTTCTCCATTTGTGATTTCAATAAAACAATCTCAAACAGTCTTTTGTTGGCTCTGAATTATATCTGTGTTTTTAGTCCCTCTTGGTCCTGGTTTTATCCAGGCACTAAATACTAAAGTGTAATGGAAACACAAACAGGAAGAGTGTGGAGCAGAGTAGGGCTGGTGGAAACGGGGCTTTAGATCACTGGACATTCTACATTTATTTGAAGGGAGTTTATAACACTCCTGGTGTTTTTATTTTCATATCGTCTTTACAAATCCACACAGAGGCGCACACTCAACTAGAGCAGACAGACACACACTTCACAGCCCAAGGATCAGATATAGGCTCGATGACCCGTACCAACTGACCAATCAGGAGCCTTGTCCTCATCGCGACTTTGCAGAGAATGGAGCCCGTCCGAGCTGTATTGTGCTTCACTTTAAAAGGTGCCATCTATGACACTGATACATACATTTATACAGAGTAAAAGTAGAAATAAATTCTTACAGGGACAGTCTGAATCACGGAGCTCCTAAGCACTGATCACTGATGCAATCCACCTGCTGGAGATCAGCTACAATCAGGACAAACTCTGTATTATAAATTATTATTTTTATATCTGCTTTCTTAAGTGTGTGGTGGCCTTTGATTGGGAATAGTGTATAACAATAACTACCATAAAGACATAACGACCTGTTATCTGGAGACACATAAAAACGTAGATGTCTTTTTTTGAATTAAATTATGACAGTGTCCTTTTTTTAACTACTAAAACATTGTCCTGTTAAAGAACTGCTGCAGCCTCCAACGTTTAACTGAAAATATTTAATGAAATTCAAACATTTCAACAGAGAAAAAGCAAGTGTTAAAAAGCCCATGTAGTGAGGGGCCTCAGTCTGTGGTGGCTCCTGGTCTAGTTTCAGCTCCAGCCCTGGATTAGCCCTGGTCCAGCCCTGGTCCAGTCCTGGTCCTCATGTCTTGGTGATCTTGGCGTCTGCTGGCGTCTCCCCAGTGTCCAGCGTCTTGAGGAGCCTGAAGAGGCCGGCTGCCTCCCTGATGCGGCTGAACTCGATGCAGAAGGCCTGGACCTCGATGAACAAATCCTGGACGTTTATGATCTTGTTACGGATCAGAGACTGGAGGAAGACGCACACCAGCCGCACCAAGCGATTCTGAGGAACACACATGGTTTTAATGTTCAGGCAGAGGATGATAATTTAGAACGACAGTGTGTGAAAGGAGCTGGATACATGTCTCACGGATCAGACGCAAAACAAATCAACTTCAGACTATTTCATTTCAACATATGGAAACACAGAGAGAATGAACACTTCCATCTAGTGGTGGAAGTGGGGAATTAGAGATTCTAATTGAAGTAACGCTTCATGAGTTACCTGCATGTATTTGTCCTTGATCTGCTCACACGTGGAGATGCAGTTGGAGATGTAGAGATGAATGAACTCTGGAGGCAGATCCACCGCCGTCGTGAGTCTGAGGACACACACACCAGTGTTACAGAGGCTCACACAGAACCAGACCAGACCGGAGTTACAGTGGTTCACACAGAACCAGACCAGAACCAGGCTAAGGTTCAGGCCCGGCCCAGTCTCAGGCGCTAAATTATTACAAGTATATGTCAGATTTTCAGCAAAAGAGATTTGTAAACAGGCAGGCGCGAGGGCAGCTATGTGCGCAGCGAGGTCCTTTGGAGACTTTACGGAGTTGTAAAATAACTTTAGTAGTGTCTAAATCAGACACCTCCTGAGTCAGGAGGAAAGAGACGGGAGTTATGTTCACCTGCTCAGACGAGAGCGCATTGTGTGTGAGGCTATGAGCAAAGGAGCAGACCTGTGTGTGCGCTGCTATTGCCACAGGGAATTAGAATTCATCAAGTCACAATTTGATAGTGAATTTTATTTTTAAAAATTCCATGCTGAAGGGGGGCACTTTGCGTGCATTGGCTGATATTTCAGACTTTTTTTGAAATCTCCCATTCTCATCCCTGTATGATTCTTGGCAGCTTCAGTTTTCCGTTTTTCTTTCGTTGGGTTAAATGATTTTCTAACAGCTCTTGAAATGTCATTGGTACATGTGCAAACTGCATCACGCTGATCTTTTTCTGATACTGTAAATGTTGCCACACGACAGCCACCCTCTTCTTTGTTTCTACTAAGGATGTGCGTAGACGCCCTCTCCCAGTATCTCTTCGCACGTACCTACTGTCGGCGAATGTCATTTTGTTTGCTGATGGTAGTTAACCCTATATGCCCGCGTGCATCGGCGCCGATGCACATGTTTTACAAATGATCAATTTACTCGCGAACGGTAAAACTTTTTTTCCTCTGTGAAGTACGTATTCAGGGCTTTCCGATTTGTCTGTGCGATGCACGGAGGATAAACTACGTTTGTCTGAAAGTCCGTGTCCAAAGCGTGACCCGTGAGGTACAAACAGCTGTGAGATACAAACACACGGGGACTGCCAAAGATCGTCAGAGAGTGGGATCTCTCACTCCTCTGCGTTTACTTGTTCTCCCACAGTTGAAACTACAGCTGCGATTGCAATAACCGGCTGAAGAGTGCGCATTATTGATAAAGACGATAATAAATACAGTAAAATTACATTATGTGTATATGATGTATATAAATATATGTATTATATAAATAATTGACGTTTTTTTTTTTTTTGGCTCAGTTTCTTATGTTTTACGTTTTTTACAGCTGTACTACAGAAGCAACCCCAGCATTATAGACAAACTGCTTCAGGAAGGGCATCAGGAGTACAGAGTTTTTTGCTTTTATAGTGGAATTTTGTAAAAAGTATAATAGTTAGAGATTCAATTTTTTTCCCCATTATCCCCAAGACCATAAATAACATTTCTATGCAGTGTAAAAAGTTGTTTATAGCATTTCATTGTGTTTTTTCAATACATTTTTGTTAAATTGATTTTCCGTTTGATTTTTTTCTTTGTCTTCATGATTCCATAATTTTTATATAATTCATATGACAGCTTTACAATATGAATATTCTAAAACCCCAGGTTGTACTGAAAAAAACAAAGTATACTGCTTGACTCTGCATCAAAAGATGACTGTTTTATGAACAATTATACACAAAGAAAACCAGGCGAGGAAAGTTCCCCAAAATGAACCATGTGCATAGAGGGTTAACCCTCTGGGGTCCAGAGCGTCGGATCCGACTCCTGCGCACATGTTTTATAAATGTTCAATTTTCTCATGAACGGCAAAACGTAGCGACTTACTTTTTTTTTCTCCGTGAAGTACACATTTCAGGCATTACAGCGCTAGTTTTGTTTTGTCTGTGTGACTTTTGGGGAATTTTCTACGTGTGTTTGAAAGTTGGTGTCCAATCGGATCTTCGAGCGGTCTCCCGTGAGGTAAAACAGCCAAAACAGTAAAGTTATTTTGCTTACACGCTGACACAGGGACTGCCAAAGATTGTCAGAGAGTAGGATGATCCACTCTCCTGTGTGTATTTATTGTCCCATAGTTGAAATTACAGCTGCGATTGCAATTACTGATGCGTAAAAGACGCATTATTTTAGCGGAATGTTACACAAATGCGTCCCCGACACAGCTAATGTAGCTTTTGATCACTGATCTACGTGATCTACGAGTGATGTGTGTGTTCAGAGTCTGGGCTTGAAAGTGCATTACACAAAGATAGGAGGAGACGCAGATGCAGCGCTCACAAGAGCCAGCACCTGGCTGAACAGTGCGCATTATTGATGTAATTATATTATATATTTATTATTGACATTGATAAATACATTATAATGATATGATGTATATGAATATAAGATGTTGTTTTTCTTTCTTTGTTTTCTTAGTTTTTTTTGTTTTACATATCTTACAGCTGTGATACTGAAGCAATATATAGACATAGACAAACTGCTTCAGGAAGGGCATCAGGAGTACAGCGTTTTTTTCACTTGTAGTGGAATTTTGTAAAAATTATAATAGTCACAGGTTCAATTTTTTTCCCCATCAACCCCAAGACCCTAAATAACATTTCTATACAGTGTAAAAAGTTAGCAATAGCATTTCATTGTGTTTTTCAAAACATTTTGGTGAAATTGAATTTCCGTTTCATTTTTTTCTTTGTCTTCATGATTCCATATTTTTTATATAATTCATATGACAGCTGTACACTATGAATATTCTAAATCCACAGGTTGTACTGAAAAAAACAAAGTTTACTGCTTGACTCTGCATCACAAGATGACTGTTTTATGAGCAATTATACACAAAGAAAACCAGGCGAGGAAAGTTCCCCAAAATGAGCTTAGACCTTGAAGGGTTAAGGAAATCATCGGCCGATACCTATGTTCAGCCGATGCATCCCTAGTTTTGTGCATTCAGTGTGCACTGCATATTTGATGCTTGCAAACGTTTTGAATAATTTTTTCCCCCACATTAATACTCAGAACCAGGTCAGAATATCCATTTTAAATCGGACCAATATATCCATCTCTACTGATTACTATGTGCTTGTTGATACTTTTGACCCCATGCTGACCCTGTAGTAACCCTGGTCCTCTGCGGACAGATGTACCTGTTGACCACCTCCATGCTGTGCAGAGACATGTCCATGTTGACGAGGACAGAGAAGTACTCTGTGATCTGGCTGCTGGGCATCAGCTTCAGCAGCATCTCAATGGCCACCAGAGGGTTGTTCTCCACCAGGTCTGGGAGCTTAGAGGGGGACAGACCGATGTGGTACACCAGCTTAGGGTCCTTCTCCAGCTCCAGCAGCAACTGACACAGACACAAGATTAAAACGCTATTTACTGCAGCCTTTTTCTCTATCTGTGAAAACTAGTGATAGAAGCAAACTTAAGAGCCAGGAACTATATTCTGACCAGAGTTCTATCATCAGAGTTAGGGACATGAACTGAAGGTTGAAAGATTGTTAAGACTCTACTCACAGAAGTGTGTAAAAGAGAAAAGAGGGAGGGCCACAGATGTGTTAACATGTCGAGCAGTAATCCTTAGAAAAACCTATTTCCGGGCTTTAGTTAAAGTTGATTTGAATAGGCTGTCACATTTGAGTTGTGTCTTATTTTCCTCCAAGTTTGTAATGTGGGGGGGAACATGAGGGACATGAATCGCATTATATCACAGAATTGAATCACAATACTTTCTGTATCGTAATATATTAAGAATCCCGATAATATTGAACTGTGGCCCAAACATTGCAATACTATCGAATCCTCACATTTGTGTTTTAGAGGGCGTTAACTCTTCTTGTTAACTCCCTCTAAAGCAGATCACCATCACAGGTGACAGACAGGTGGCGTGTTCGTGGCGTGTTTGTGGTGTACCGGTGGCGGGCTGGAGCCTCACCTGGGACTGCTGCTGGGCGGACAGCGGGCTCTTGAAGGCTTTGGCCATGATGCGTTTGATCTCCAGCCCAGTGCTGTTCTTCACACACATGGAACGGTCCCACTGCACACTGTGCTCTGGCTCTGTGGGGTTCAACCAGGAGAGCTCGTCTTCACACAGGTGCAGAGGAGGCGCAGGGCGGATCAGCTCAGGGCGGAAGTGACCTGAGGAGGAGAGGAAGATGATGAGAGGAGGGGAGGAGGAGCAGGAGAGGAGGAGCATGAGAGGAGAGCTCATCCTCACACAGGTGTAGAGGAGGAGCAGGATGGATCAGCTCAGGCCGGAAGTGATAAAGATCATGAGAAGAGGAGACTGAGAAAAGAGGAGACAAGAGGAGAGGAGGAGAAAATAGGAAGAGGGGAGGAAGAGGAGGAGAGAATAGGAAAAGGAGGTGTGAGGAAGTAGAGGAGAAGAAGTGGAGGAGCAAGAAAAGAGGAGAGGAGGAGGAGAGCGCATCCTCACAGGTGCAGGACACATCAGCTCCAGGGCAGAAGTGACCTGAGGAGAAGCGTGTGGAGGAGAAGAGGAGAAGCATGAGGAGCCTCTTTGGGCGCCCTCCAGTTCAGACAGAAGGGGCATGGATGAGGACCAGTCAAATAGCTTGTGTGTAACATTGCAGAGCCCTTACTCTCCAGGGGGGGGCGTGGTCCGGTCACCAGGGACTCGATGATCTGATTGGCTACCGAGCTGTCGAAGCCGGAGTTGGAGGAGTCTGGATCGGGGTCGTTCAGGACACTGGGGAAACTGGCTTTGCTCTGAGTGGGCAGCTCCGACTGCCGCTCTGCTCACACAAAAACACAGACACGCAACACACCACAAAGACAAACTTCAGTTTAAGACACGCAACGCACTTCTGTGACAATTTGTTTGAACTTAGAGCCCAGATCAAGTCCAAGAAGCAATTTCACTAATGGCAAATCTCAGTCTAGAGCTAAAAGCCACTTCTACGATTTAGACCAGATTAGCTTTATTGATTCCCGTAGGAGAAATTCAGGAGTCCAGCAGCAGAAACACGTTCATTAAACACATAACATAAGTACTTCAATTATAAACATTTCTAACAATCGTGCACATTTTTAACTCAAACAGGTCTGTTGTACAGTCTGACAGCCCAAGGAACAAAGGATCTCTTATAACGTTCCGTTCGGCAGCTCATATAAGCCTGTTGTTACGGTTACTCCTCTGAGCGGCCATAGTGTCATGCAGGGGGTGTCCGGAGTAACCCAGGATGCCCTGCATTAGAGCCCTCATCCTTCTCCCCATCACAGAGACACATTTCCTGATCAGCCTGTCGAGCCGGTTACCGTCTCTCGAGGTCAGACTGCTGCCCCAACACTAGCTACAACAGACTGGTAAAATATGTGCAACATTTGACAGCTCACATCAAAGGACCTCAGCCTCCCCAGGAAGAAGAGTCTGCTCTGACCTTTCTTATAGGCGTCTAATGAATCTCATCAATTTGTAAAGAGAAAACAGCAAGAATATCTTGCACGTTCATACAAAGGAACTGGGGGGGGGGGGGGGGGCCAGTGATGATCCCGCTCCCGCTGGACCAATGGCTCTTGTTTGAGTCATTATTGTATTTACAGAGTCTCTGTTGTTGAGAAATCGACAACTTTGCAAAGTCCTCCGAGAAAACTGCTGCAGTGATTTAGGGCAGCATAGAAATAGAATTAATAAAATTGAACCACCCTCAACCAGTTCTTACCCAAATTAGTCAACTCATAGGACTCTCTTACAATGAAAACAATAAAATGCTTTGAGTTGTTAAAATTACGTTAAAAAATGATCAATAATCTACAACATTAGGACAACTTAGTAATTACAATCATCTGCATTTTCAGACCCCAACACATGTAGGTGCTGTGAGATGTGATTTTAGGAACAGAACAACAAAAAATAATGGAAAAGGCATATATGTTTCAATTTAATGATAATATCCTTTTGTCCTCAGTGGCTTCACTTCAGCTCCACATCGGCGTCTGAACCACTCCATTAATCAATCAGATACCCCAGCTTTAATAACATGTTATAAAGTCAGGAACCCCAGCTTTAACAACATGAGTCAGCGGACCTGCCAGAGCGAGCTGGAGCCCACTGATGTCGATGCTCTGAGGCGCCGAGCCCACGTCCAAACACGACACCTGCCGCGGAGTCTTCTTGAACAGATCCCGAGGAGGAGCCAGCATCAGCTGCGACAGGAAGAACTTCTCTGCCTGCGTGATGGGCGGCAGGAAGCCTGCGGGGAACATAGGGTAGATTATAATAGACTGACTTAATCATTCATCTTGACCATAGACCAGGGGTCTCAAACCGGTTCCAGAAAGGGCCATGTGGCTGCAGGTTTTACTTCAGCACAAATGACTCCACCCATTTCCTCAAATCTTCAGGTTAAAACTGGACTCACCTGGCCCTTTGTGGAACCCGGTTTGAGACCCCTGCCATAGACTGTAAATATTAACGTAGTGATGCCTATGTGCCACCACGGCTGCATTCTATGAGCAGTTTCAGAATGTGAAAAAAAACAAACTTATTTGCGCATGCCTTAACCTGCACTAGTCCACAGCGGCTAAACTAGACTGGTCCAAAACAAAAATTACCCCCCTCAAACTTGACACACATGTGGAACCTAGCGTTGGGCCAAGAGCCGACTTTTGGACCATCCTGTAAAGACGTTTTCCAGAGGAAGAAGACACCATACAAAAACATTGGATAATTCCCTTTCTGGGTACACCGCAATTGACGTGCGCTGACATGCTTACAATACCACCCCGGGCCGATGGTGGTGGACCCGGAATAAGAATTTGCCAATGCTTTACAGGATGGACCAAAAGTTGGTTCTCGGCCCAAAGCTCCGTTCCACATGTGTGTCAATGCTGAGGGGAGTGAATTTTTTTGGACCACTCTAGATTACTCACTGTGAATTTTTGAAGTCATTCGTTTAAATGAATGGGGCTCATGCCGGCTGATGCATGCGCAGATGCGTTTTTCCACATTTTCTAGCCCCCGCGGCCATTTTGAATCACTCCATGAGACACCAATTTTTGATCCATTAGTTAGAATAGATAGGCGTCGCTACGTCCGTTAATACAGTCTATGGTACAACCCCACAGGCCCGGAGTGAGATTGCAGCATGTCAGCGCACATGCTCATGGACCTTTTTGAGCCGGGACTGCTCTTGACTGAGTTTCATTGACTTAATAATCCACAACTACCTTCATGAAAACTAGTGGTGGGAAGTGGTAATAATGTGAGGATTTGATAGTACTGCATTATTTAGGCCACAATTCAATATTGAAATTCTTCACATATTGTGTCTCATGTCCCTCATATTATTCAAAGACATTACAAACATGGAGGAAAATGCTGAACTCTTCTGTGACATTTATTATTGTTTGCACATGAACTGAGGCAAACACTGAGGAGGGTAGTGCAAAAGCGTTATCCTTGAACATTCAGGACACAGGACCTTATTACAGACGACATCATAATTCTCTGAAAAGACAACCTCTCAAATGAACGGTGAGCTCCCATCACTTACATAATTCAATTAAAAGCACAATGTCACAATAGTGAACGGATTCGATTTTCCCCACAACTAACAAATAAGCTCACTTTCCCTGAGAGATTTTACCACAATACAAAGAAGGACTGGGGCTGGTGCTATGTGAGCTGGGTGCAGCTCTGACTGCCACTTTCTAAATGTATCAGAATTGATTAAAGCTGTTGAATACAGCTGAGGTGCACTGGCCGCCTGGGAGTCTCTCCAGCCTCCGTCCTGGATCTAGGGCCTCCGTCCTGGATCTAGGGCCTCCGTCCTGGATCTACATCCTCCGTCCTGGATCTACGGCCTCAGTCTTATTGTTGTTGTTCTTGACAGTGATGAACCAGGATTTGGAAGGACAATTCTGGACAGTGGTCATCCCCCTCCCTATGAACCAATGGCTTTAAATATTTGTTATTGTATTTTCTGTGTTTGAATTGTGTGATTCTCTGATCTGTTGTGAAAGGGATCAACTTTACAAAGTCCTCTGAGACGACTGGTTCTGTTTAGGTCTGTATACAAATAAATTGAATTTAGCCGAATTTTGACACAACCCTTATCTCACCTAATGGACTGTAACAAGTCTTTCTCTATAACTGCCCTAAGCTGGCGACCTTTCCCACCTGACATCTCACCTGACAGGACCTTCTCGTGTTCCTCTCCATGCGGTGCAGGGTTGAGCAGATGTGCAAACACCGCGGCGAACGGGTTAGCGGCCATGGGCTCCGTACGGTACATCTCCCACAGCAGATAGAGCGCCGTGAGCCTCTGGGCGGAGCTGGGCAGGAGGTCCGGCTGCTGGAGAAGCATCACCAACACGGAGCCCACTCTGAAGTGCTCCCCCTTCCCGAAGTAATGATGGAAATGTGTGGACAAACTTTCAAAAGTGTTGGTGCACGCCTCTTCCGAGATGATGCTCAGCAGATTCGACAATTCTTTGGGGGCTAGACTCATTTTTCACGTCTGTTTTAGTCATAAATTAGTGACTTGAAATGTGTGCAGATGCGGTGCAGAGGTAGCTCCCCAGTCGTGGTCAAAACACCGCATTTAAGTCAGTTCTTTCCCATCAGTGTGTGAATGGGTTAGCTTAGCAGGTTAGCTTAGCATGTTAGCACACAATGACAACACGCAGAGATTCGTGAATAAAACATATTTCTAAACTAAAAATACGCTCAAAATGGATTGAAAAACTACGCCAAAGGTAAAAGATTCCTCTGGGAAAGCGTGGTAAATGATGCGTTAGCGGAGGTTTCTGGCAAGTTTTGGAAAGCAGCTTAAGCCGTTGTAGGTTCGGTTCAAAAGGTACTTCCTGGAAAGTGCATCCTGGGAAATGTAGTCTCGCGGGTTATTGTAGGATTCTGCGACTTATTTGCATTTCAAATCGTTTCAATGTTTTTAAATGACTGATATATATTTTTTTTTTTTTTACCAAAACCAACATCAAAGAGTCGTGTCTAAACTAAATCAAGTTCTGCCTTTTTGAAAAGTAATTTAGTTAGTAATCTTAGTTCATGTATATCTCCTTTCACAAATAGTCAAAAAGAGCTTTACAATTGTTGTGGGCATTTGTCTTCTCCACACAGAGATGGGAGCTGGGTCACCATACAGGAGGCGCAGGAGCACCCGGCCGGAGGAAATGTACTCTGACACGGAGAGAACATGCAAACTCCACACAGAGAGGCCCTGTCTGGAGGTGGAATTGAAACACAGGTGCTAACCACTGCACCACTGTGCTGCTCAAAAAGAAGCAATTCCCTCATTAGAATACCATAAATGCTTCATGGAAATTCCTCTCCTTTTTGATGACCCTGAAGTCGGCGTTCCGGTCACCATGACAACAGTAAGGAAAGGAACCTCCAGGTTTCCCTTTTTAGATTTGGAGCCTTGTCTGCATCCACGATAATTGGCTAAAATCCTTGTACTTCCTAGTCCTCATTGCTCCCAACGAAGCTGGCAGGAAATAGAAACAGTAAAGAGACCATCTCCTCCTTGTTCTTAAGGACTCAAGCGGTACTAGTGCTGTTGTTGACCCTCATCTGCCTGAATTGTACCATGACGCAGATGTATTACAAATAATATAATATATATATTATATAATATTATATAATATATAATATAATAAAGACGAGATGTAGTGATGCTGATGGATATAGAGCTGCACTAACATGTTTAAATGTTAAATTCTTATATGTAACATGTTTAATGCTTACATTCAAATGACAAAGATAATTTACTATAGATCAAATGGCCCTGAACTGTGGAGTACCACAAGGGTCGATCCTGGGACCTCTTCTTTTCAATCTTGACATACTGCCGTTAGGTCAATTAATGCACAGAAACAAAGTGTTCCATCACAACTATGGAGACTGCAGGAGAACATGGACTCACTCCTTCATTGTATCCAACAGATCAGTGAGTGGATGCAAAATAACTTTCTCCAGCTAAACACAAACAAAACTGAAATGATTGTCGTTGGTCCTCAGAAACAAAGAGACCGTCATCAAAACTAACCATGGGGAGGCTGCATTTCAAATTCATGCATCTAAAATCTGGAACAATCTTATTGAAAGTGTGAGAAAGGCCTCTTTTCAGACAATGTTTAAATCCATGTTAAAAACAGTACTGTTTAGCTGTGCATATAACTGACAGAGTTTTTATTTTTAGAATTTATTTTCAATGTACTGTGATTATTTATGATTTTAATGCCATCTTGTTCAGCACTTAGAGGTGCCTTGTGTTGAAATTGTGCTATACAAATAAACTGGCCTTATCTTGCCTATATCTAACTTGTTTCATGTTTACATTATTAGTAGAGGAAAGTGTTGTTACAGTGCATTGACCTCATTTTCAGTCTTTCACATCATTGCAGCTCTCATCAGAATCATTACACTGAGTTTGTGTTAGTTTCTGTTGTGTTGTCGCCAGAGGAGGGCGCTCATTGTTCAGGGATCAACAACAGCACTAGTTCACCTTGAGTAGAAAAGTCCAACATTTTTAAGAACAAGGAGATGCTCTTAGTAAGTAGTAGTAATCTTTATTTATATACCGCCTTTTCACTGCAGATCTGAGTCTCAAAGCGGTTTACAATTGTTAATTGTTAATTCTTACTGTTCCTATCTCCTGCCAGCTCCTTTAAGGTAGGAGCGATAAGAACTAAGAAGGACGAGGAAGGAGGTGTTTTTGGATGCAGCCCATGTCTAAATGTTGCACAATCACTAAATGTAAGCCAAGCAGGGCAGGTTCGGGTTAGTGGTGTGATGGGAGACAGTAACATCAAGTTCCACTGTGACTTATATGCTGTGAAGTGCTAACTTGCCATTTCACTTCACCCACTCATACTAGGAGTCAGGTGTGAAGGATTCGTGGTGGTCAAATTGGGAGTCCTACCCCAGGGCAGCTGTGGCCACACTGTTGGGTTTGTGAAAGTCTTTCAGGACCAGAGCCCACTTTAACCATGAATGACTTCTGAGACTCCAGGACCAGTCTGCAGTTTGGTTGTTTCTCCACAGAAGACTGTAAGCATATGTTGGTACAGTATATAAAACCAATGCATTGTTATTTTATGTAAACATCTAAAGAGGGGAAAAAACACAAACTTTTAAAAACATTTTATTCATATTGATTTGTAGCAGTTTTGTGCTTTGTCTGAACACTTTGGCTCAAGGGAAAATTCTCCAGGATCAACACACAAGGAAAAATATATATCAACAATCTCAGGTATTCAATATTACAACATTATCACACTGACCCAACGACATATGGCTTGTTTTAGTATGCTTGTAGTAGAAGTAGTAATACCACTACTAGTAGTAGTGGCAGTAGGAGTAGTATAGTAGTAGCAGTAGTAGTAGTAGTAGTAGTAGTAGCAGACATAGTACCTAAATTGTTAGTAGATCTGGTAATGCTCAATATAACTCAATATACTGCTACTCAGGAATTATACATTTTTGTTTACAAAAAATACTGTTACTCAAAAATATATGCAGTCACAAAACTAGCCCTAACTCACATCATACGTAAAGTGTCATAGTAGCAGTAGTAGAAGTCACATTTATTGAGGTTGTGAGGTTTGATTGTTATTAGCTCACATTTGTTTAAGACTTGGTTTGTAAATGGGTAATTTATTCAAAAACTACACTCAGAGGTTTAAAGGGAGACTGCAGAGGAGGCCAGTGTTCCAAACACTCAGACCCTGACTGGAGCCGTCATATTTTAATTTTAATTTTTTTGTTTTTCAGACAGCTGCCAATGTCTACTATAGACAAGAGAAGGCCATTTAAGATTTAAGGTTAAGATTAGAGTTCGTCGGTAATATCTGAAATGGATTTGAAAAGTTATGTGATAAAAGTTTCGTGTGTTGATTTTATGGCTGTTTGGGCCAATACCGAATATTTAGAAATTTACAAACAAAACCTAAAACACTTTTGTGTGGGTCAAAAAGAAAAGTTCTGGATTTACCACTCGGTTTGTGTATAATTGACACAATTCCATGTCATAAAAGATATGTCACAGACAGAAACCCAGACTCATGGAACAACTTCACTTCAGACTCTGTTATATAATGACTTGGATAAAGACATGGACTTTATGACGGTCGAACGAGGAAATGGAAAAATGAGGAAAGGCACCTCAAAACAACATACACTACCAAAACAATATCATTTTAAAAACAGGACAATGGCTGCTTCTGATTGGACGAACACAGCAGAATGTAAACATCACACAAACATCTTATCAAAATGTAAACAGCGTTTGAACTATAGCTATTGTCAGAATACCATGTGTTTGAAACTATATTTCTGTTCCAAAAATAGCACCATGGGAAATGGAGTCTTTAGGTCCTCTTTTAGTCAATGATCAAAGATCAAAGGCTGCAGATGTTCAGGGGTTTTACAAATGTACCAACTGCTATAACCATTGTGTGTTAACAATAGATCTCCCAGAGCCGTCATTTTGACTGCTTCCAAAGGAATGTGCAGAATGTGTCTGAAGGTCGTTAGTTCGAGCCCACCATAAGACTTACTTCACAACTCCCACTGATGACTGCTGTTGTTGTGGGCAAGACACTTAACCCCACTTTGCCCGAAGCCTCCGCTGAAAGATCTCAGCTCCTGTGGACTCACCACCTGCAGGAGGATCAGTGAGGGGCTGGTGCTAAGTGTACTGGGTGCAGCTCTGACTGCCACCCCCCGACCCAGAAATGGATTAAGGGGAAGAAAATAGATGGGTCGATGAAACTTGAAATACATAAAAAAAGCTGTTTTTTAAAGGCTAACAGTAAACAGTGTGTTGCCATGGTAACTCACCTCAGACCAGGACCAGACCAAGCCCGGTCCAAAACCAGTCTGGAACCAGCAAAAGAGGCATGTAACTGCCACTGGCAACTTTGAATGTAACATGCAAATGAATGTTGAAGTCGAAATGACTGCTCTGGGAGTTAAAGTTCAAACTACATTTCCAATGTAATGACATAAGAATAAACTACATGGAGAATAGTCGACACTGTGAGAGGGATAGAGGTGAGAGGATTATAAGTAATAACAACTCTTCCAAAACTAAAAACCGTCAAACTGACTGCTGTGAGTTCTGGTGTTGTTAATTGTATGTTGTTTCTCAAAGGCACATGTGTCTCCAGCTGTTGGATCTATCCCACTGCTTTTATCTGCCGTACAAAGACACAAAACTATAATAAATGTAGCGCCATTCCTGAAACTACAGCATATATTTCCTGACGCAGTGTTCTAAGGTCATTGCACTTTGAGTTTGGCTCAGTATGAACAGGACTTGATCATGATCTCTCCTCTTCCTCAGGTGTACTTCAGCTCAACAGTGACCGCTGCCCAACTGCGAGAAAGTCACTGACATTGTGCTTTCGACCACTGTATTGGTTCATATTCTAATTCACAGCTTTTAACTAGTTCGGGCACGAGGAAACTTCTCCTCCTGAGGCCACACTGGATTACCAGCTGCTCTCAGGCCTGGACCAAATTTCCACACACTCTGTGGCTTAATATTGGACACATAAATATATTATTGCACATATCATAATAAATGTTTTGAGATTTATTGCAGCAGAGAAAGAAGAACCACAGCAGATACTGAAATATTTCCTAATCTTTAAGCTGTATCTACATAAACTGACGAGGGCTAAGGGGCCTGATAAAAAACGTCCAAAGGGCCACATCTGGTCCTCGGGCCAGGGTTTGCCCACCAATGCACTAGATCCATTTAAAGCTGGGGTATGTTACTTTCAAACAACAAAAATATAACAAAATTCATGTCACTAGTTCTGGCTTTAAAACAGTTGCTTCTATCACTGGTTTCATTTTTGTTTGGCTTTTTAAGTGAAAAAGAGAGGACTACCCTCAGTCAGCCTCAATCACCTCTCGGCCCAAAGAGTCAAATAGTGACTCACAAGGATCATTCTAACGTATGTAAAAATATCTGTTTTCTGAGGATGAAGACTTGGAGAATAGTTTTTTGGTGATGATCCAAAACACCCGACATTTATCAACATTTATGGACATTGGTCTCTGCCCCTAATGGACCAATAGCTCTATGTTTTTGATTCTCTGATCTGTGTTGGCAAATTGACAACTTTGTAAGGTCCTCCGAGATAAACACATTGAATTTAATTTAACTTAATTGAGAGCTGGGAACTACCAGAACAATGTAAATATTTTTTTGTTGTGTTGTGTTTGAAAGTTAGATACCCCAGCTTTAATTTCGGTTTCGGTCTGGTCAGTGCTGCGCTCAGAGCCCCACTGCGCCCCCTGTCTCTCAGTCGTTGTAGTGCATGATGGACTCCACGTAGTTCCCGGGGAAGAGTCCGGTGGTGGCGTTCATGACCCCCTCGTACCATCCGTCCTCGTTCTTCTTCACCACGTATATGATGGCTCCCTCCTGGAACGACAGCTCGTCCTCCTTGTCTGCGCTGTAGTCGTAGATGGCCACCACTAGAGGGAGACACACACCAGCTCACATTCACAAACAGGTCATCACCATAGGCACGTGACGTCACGGTCACGCCCACTCTGCAGGACAGACGGCGGAAGTCTCTTCCAAGACCGCAGACCGTTTCACTGCAGAGCAGCCAAAATGGTCATATCCTGCAGTGCGCTGGATTGTACGAACAGACAAGGACAGAAGCCAAATCTTTCCTTCTACCTGATTCCTGCCCGTGATGTAGACCGGAGACGGCGATGGCTGGCTGCGATCAACCGCAAGGACTGGGAGCCATCCAAGTACTCCCGAATTTGCAGTGATCACTTTTTAAAAGGTAAATAAATTATGATGTTGTATTTATTGTCTTTCCATTCATTCATTTGGAGGACAATGACACAACGAACGGCTGTTGCTGTAGTTAGCTAAAGCCTGAAGTCACTATTTTAGTATGTTTGGCTGTAGACAGAAAAACCACAGAAAAGTGAACATTTGCTAATGTGCTAATGCTACCAGCAAAATGTACACTGTGTAGATGTAACCACACATCATACGTGTGTGAATTACTACTTTGTTGTAAATAAGGAACCCATGTCTCTTTTCCAGGACAAAAGAGTGATGATCCCTCGTCACCTGATTATGTACCTTCAGTTTTTGCACTTTCAAAGTCCCCTGCAAAAAGACGGGGGAGAAAGAAGTCCAAGGTGAGACAGAATATGAAGAAGAAGAAACTCCTGCAGTCTTCAAGAAGCCAGACGGCATCGGCACTCCTGGATTTCTCATCAGAGATGAGCAAGATGACCACTCGGCTCACTGAGAATGACATGCCTGAAGGTGAAACAGTGTGCCAAACTGACCTGACCTCAAAACATACAGAGTCTTTACAACTAGAGTTTCAGATTCTTCGAACGGACACATTTGAACTTAAAGAGTGGCTACATGTTGACATCGTTGAACAGAATGGTTTGAAAAATAAGGACAAGCTAAAGTCCCTTACAGGACTACACAGCTATGAAGTGTTCATGACAGTGTTCCACCTTGTTAGTCCAGCTCTCAAAGACACTACACATTTGACAAGTTTTCAACAGCTGCTAATTACATTAATGAGAGTCAAACTTAATGTACCAAATTCATTTTTATCATATCTCTTTGAAGTTCACTCTTCAGCTATTTCCAAGGTTTTTTCAAATGTTATTAATATTCTCAATGATTTATTAATGCCTTTGTGTGTAATATGGCCCCAGAGAAAACAAGTTCAAGTGTCTATGCCCATGTGTTTAAGAAAGTCTTTTCAACATTGCATGGCGGTCATTGACTGTTTTAAGATACGCATGGATAAACCTAAAGATTTGAAGGCAAGGGCACAGACATATTTGCAATATAAATCCCACAACATGATGAAATACCTTATAAGTGTCACTCCACAAGGCACAATCTCCTTCATCTCAAGGGGCTGGGGCGGCCGGACAACAAATGCATACATCACAGAGCACAGTGGCTTTTTGGACAATCTTTTACCAGGTGACTTAATCCTTGCTGATCGAGGCTTTACAATTCAGAGTCCATCTGGTCTGTATTGTGCCAAAGTTGAAACCCCTGCCTCTACACGAGGAAAAAAACAGCTGGGAGCAGTTGAACTGGAAGACACTGAAAGACTTGGTGCTGTGCGCACACATGTGGAGAGGGTGATTGGACAAGCTCGCTCCAAGTACAAGATGTTGCATGGACCTGTGCCTATCGGGCTCCTGTCCACTGATGATCCAGAGTACACAACTCTGGACAAAATAGTGCATGTAGCCTGTGCACTCACAAATTTGTGCCCCTCTGTTGTGCCAATCAATTAATGTAAAATACATGTTAACTACTAATAAGTAATCGGTTCTATCTTTTTAAGTTGTAGTTTTGCTGTTTAACTGATTAAATGACTCAACCCTGACCAATGTCTGATTGTATTGAAATGGTAATGTGTATGACAAAAATAAACATTTAATGTTGGCAACTATAACTTTAAGCCTCTTTATTACATTTGAATTGACTTAAACAGAATTGTTTCAACAAATGAATGTAAGGCCCTATAAAACAATAGGACTTATTTCTGATTCAGTGGAAAGCAAAAACACAGATTTATCAGGCCACATTACTCTTCACTTCCTTCCAGTGTGTTGGAGCTGACTCTGGTTGTGGGCCAGGGCATGTGTATTTCTTGGCCAATAGCTCTGGAAGAATAGTGGACCTAAACATTTGTTCTACTTGGGGCATTGTTTCTCTTCCAGGCAGCATCAGGTAAGATCCTCTGTATAAAAGAATCTGATTTGGACCACATGTTTCTAATGTAAAAAATGGGACTCTCTGTGGCACTGAGGAGTATTGGCGCTGTGTGGGCATTTTATCTCTGAAACACCATCGCCGCAGCAGCGACAGGAGAACAAGGCATCTGGAGGTAGGGCCAGCTGGGGTGGATGTGCAGACCAGAGTCAGACTTTCAGGTCCTGATGCGGTGATGAGGCCAAGGCTTCATATGTCTGCCTTTCTGTTTTTTCTTGTTGACATCACCATCTGAAAGACTGATCGTTCATTATATCAATATCAGAGTTAATGAGAGAATGTATTACACAAACATATACATTAGAAATATATAATTTGAACACTAATGTGAAAAACCAATCATAATTGTATCTCAAATTGACATAATTGCAAAACAATCTTAATATTGAACTTGAGCCAGAATTTGAAACAAAGACTCTTCATTTAAAGCTGGAGTATCTAACTTAGAAAATACCAAAAATAACTAATACAATCCATGAAACTTGTTTCCTAATCCCTAATCTGAAAAAGTGTTTTAACATGCATAATGTCACATATTTATTCTAATTTTTGTGTGAAAAAAGAACCATCCAATCAGTTCTCACTGTTAACATAAAATGTTTGAATGTGGAATAAGATATATCTTTAACCTTAAAGCTGGACAGCCTTACTTTATTTTTGTATTAATTATGAAAATTCAATCCATGTGTCATTATATTTTAGATGGAGTTTTTGCGCAACACGGAAGAGAATTTATTTTGGGACCAGATTGTGACCAATCACAGCGGACCACTGGCCCCCACTTTTTTGAGATCCATGATCCGTAAACAACAAACGAGCACGCGCATGAGTGTGAGGGGGTAGACACAAATGTGACATGTAAGTTTCTCTATTGTGAGATCAATCAAGTCTATCTTAGCTTAAGATTCTTTCTGTTCTGAAAAACATGTGTTTGTGAAACAATAACTAAGACATACTCCAGCTTTAATATAATCAAAAACATCTGTGTTTGAGTCGTAGCACACACGCCTTGTAGCAGCAGTAGAAAAACCACACTGGCTCGGGCAGCAGCATATCTGCCTGATTAGTGACTTGGAAGGATTTGTTGGATCTGTTCTTGCTGCTGTCCCCCCACCAGCCTCATGTCAAGCCATAGCTTTGACTGTCCCTGTTGTCGTGTCTCTTCCTCCACTTGTACTGCCTACAACATTCAGAATGCAAAAACATAAATCATATTTTGTCGTACATTCAATGAATAGGCTTAATTGATTCATTTGTACCTGTTCGGGTGTGACCTGTGTCGATGAAAGCATCCTCACATCTCACCATTCGCTCAGAAGCAGACTTACGGTGTCGAGGGTCGTACAGCTCTGTTAGGGGCATAACGATAACACTCTGGGTTGGAACTGTTCACAGAACTTTGGTAACACTCGCAGGAGACCACTCTTCTCTGAAAGACTTTGGAAAGCACTATCCAGATCTTTCTAGAATTTGGCATCTTCTGACACACTCGCTGTATTTTTCTGTTTTGCTTTTTTCCCTTGGATACTCCAGCTTGCTTTTTGGACGGATTTGTGAAGTTGATTCCTAACCCTTCTTCATGGAGTGCTTTGCCTGCTTTCACTGGAAGATGCCCCCATCGTCTTGGTCCATCAGTGCAACTTTGATCTTGAAGATATTTTACAGCAGACTCAAGGGCACAGAGCAGGGCTGTGATGTGTGAGCAGTGAGCACACCTCTCCCAGGCCTGCTTCACATGTGCAGTGGCCACACAACACTGTACCATCCCTCTGTAGAGACACCCAGGGCTTTAGAGGAGGTTCAGACAGTGCTTGGCTGTGGTGAACCTGAAATCACATGTTATAACATGAATAAAAAGGGAATCTGTATTATTTACATAACAACAGATCACCATCATTTAGAAAGTACAATCTACTATGACCATCTAGCTCCAACCTAAATGTAACTGAAAGGGGCATTGTTCTATCTTTCGAATTGAGGAAAAAAAAGTTATGAATGTTACTTGTACTACTTTGTATTTTCATCAAAAGAATAAAATAATCTATACCTGAAAAACTGGTGTAAGTGTACACATTGTAATAAGCCATGACAGTGTCCCAGAATAAATATCTAAATGATACAAAATATACTTAATAATTATTCTATATATTTACACATGATAAATAATGCAAAAATGCAATCAAAATGACTTACCTTTGCCATTATGATAAACCATGTCCCCCTTTCTTGACAATCCGTCCCAGTGACCCAGCCAGCAACTAAAAACTGGTATGCATCCCATATTACGCTTTGTGACTTTTTTCTGGTTTAAACATGATTCCAGTGCTATTTGGCCTCATACACATGCCCAGAGTAGTCTTTTCATTGATTCTCTCAAGCTTTAGTTAGAGTGCGATCTTTCTCTTTCATTCTCGAGAGGCACAGAAACGATATTGTTACGTGCAGCTATTTGTGACGTCAAAAGCCCGCCTCCAAGAGATGATTGACAGCGGGGAGAAATGGAACCAGCGAATCAGCGTCGTCTATGATCAGCTGCAGCCTCTCTCCAAGTCCAGTGTGTGATCCATAGACAGTGAATAAGTGTCTGTGCTTTTCTGTGTTAGCTTCATGTCAACTTTAAGAAAATGTGTTGTTGGTATAAATATGTAACGACTTAGTTCACGGGGATCCGCCTCGTATCCGTGAGTCTGAAATCCGCAACGAAACTTGCAGATGTTTTTTTGCGAGTGACGGTGACACCCCCAAAGACTGTTCCAGAACTCCAGTTCGGCGATCCGTAACTTCTACCGCGCTTTGTGAACCCCGACAAGATGTCCTACTTCCATTGATAACTTTATCGAACATTCAGCCATTTCTCCATTTAGGACAGGAGTCTCAGTTTTTAGGAGTTGGAGTCAGTTTTGCTCTCGCCGCAATGCTAGCTTCCACTACTTCCGACGTTAGCTCATGCAGAATCACGTGACTGGATGACGTCGATGCCTCTGGTCAATAAAGCAGTGGTTCCTAGTGATGGCAATATGAAGCCCCATGAAGCCTTGAGGGTTTGCAGCCTATTACTCGGCCCATGAGTCGAAGGCTCGAGGTGAATCATGCTCCACTACGCCATCATGTGGACAAAGAAATACATAACACTCTTAAGTACTTACAATGAATGGTGAGATCTAATGTTAAAATGTATATTTACAATCTATGGTCTAACGTGTTGTGTTTGAAATGATGCTTCATGAACTATGAACTATTTGAGTCTTTCAGTCAATTGTGTTGATACAACAAACACATCCAAAGTAATACAGTTCTACAGAAAGTGATTAATGGAGGAAAAACTACCAAGAGGTGGATTAATTAAACACAACAAACCATTTATTCCAAATAAATAAATACATTTACTTTGCAACACAAAATTTATTATGGGTAGACCAGGATTCGAACGCTATATCTTCTGCTTCGGAGTCAGTCATATACCGACTGCGCCACACAGCTGTTGTGAAATGTATTATCCAGCGTATTATTACTAAGCCTTGATATGTGAGGTTTTACTAAATTGAAAAGTTTTTCATTGTATTTCATATGAAGTAGTTTCTCTATTGAGAATGAGGAGTCACGTGCCGAGTTGGGGTGATTTGGGGGGGCTCTGAGCCTGTCGGACATATTGGCTGCGCAACGGGGGCACGCCCCCAGAATTTCACGCGCTCCTCATATTCCAGAGCACTTTAAATTATACGCATTTACGTTTTCGGCGAGACAGAGACGGATCTACTGATACAACAAGGGAAAGGAAGACAGTAAAACAATGCTTAGAGATAAGGCGAAAGAGAAGGGACCGTACAGGAACAAGCTCATACCAAGCGCAAAACAGAGGTATTTGGAGAAGCTTGCGGACATCAAAAACATCGACCCATACGAGCTCCCTGCAGCGGAATGGCACAGAAACCTGGACCATTTACCTCCGTGCACATACATGGACATAGTAAACTACCTATTACCTTATTATTTATGTTATAATTTATTTTATTATGTTGTGCATGTTTACATGCTGGAAACAGTACTTTGAATGCACACGTTGTTTTGCAGTGTTTTGTGTCCCTTTGCACTAAGAAAAGTATGACTCTTATGATCATTTTTGCCTATGCTGTGCATGTTTACATGCTGGAAACAGTACTTTGAATGCACGTTGTTTAGCAGTGTTTTGTGTCCCTTTGCACTAAGAAAAGTATGACTCTTATTATCATTTTTACCTATGTTGGGCATGTTTACATGCTGGAAACAGTACTTTGACTGCACACGTTTGTAACAAAAAAAATATTAATTTCTCAATAAATATTGGTAAACCATATCAAGTTGTTTCATGCATTTATTTAAAAATAAAAGATACAGTAAAGAATAAGGTACTCAAACAACACTTTTGCACATGTTCGTTAAGGCACAGCAAACAATGACAATCTTATCCAAAGGCATTAGGTTTTCACCCTCACATTTGACAAGCATGTGCACAGGTACAGTTGAGTGTAAGAATTTGAATTTGTTGCGCACAACACCGATCACCCTCTCCACGTGAATTCTGAGATGTGCTATGGCCCTAGTCTCCTCCACATCTTTCGCCTCAAGCTGAGCACGACCCCTGGTGAATGTAGGTATTTTCACTTCAGCACACATCATGCCCACATGTTCTCTTATATTAAAGCCTCTATCTGCCAGCACAATGTCACCTGGTAACAGCTTGTTCAGGAAACCACTTTGCTCGGTTATATGCTTGTCGCTTGTGCGCCCACCCCACCCGTTCGATATGAAGGAAATTACACCCTGGGGCGTGATCACGATTAGGTATTTCATAGTGTATGCGTGTTTGTATTGAGAAAAAGTCTGTGCCCTTGCTAGTACATTGGAAGGTTTCTCGATGAACACCTCGAAGCAGTCCACAATGGCAGCCACATTGTTCCCAAATGACTCCACAAACTGGTGTGGCATACTGGTCAATAAGCATTCCCTACTTGGCCAGTGCACCAATGGACACAGCTGTGCGTACATCACACCAAGGGTATGGTGAAAGGCATCGGCGACTGTTGTCCTATGTACTCTAAACAGATGGCTGAGGTGCTGTATTGGAAGGTCCAGTCTGAGGCGCATTAAAGTCAATAGGACAAGCTGGAAGGGTGAGAGCTTCTTCATTCTACCTTGAGGCAGATCTGGAGTTAGGTAGAGTAGAAGTGTCTGGAACAATGCAAAGTTTGGAAGCCCCGTGTAATACTTCACTGTGTTATCATCACCACTCAGAAAGTTCTCATTCATCCGGTACGTATCAAGCTCACGCTTCAGCTGTCTGTTTTCTTCAAGAAGATTGTTGATAACATCTCGTCTAGATGTGCAGAGTCCACATTCCATGTCCGGGTCAGCTGGCGGCTGGTCTAGGGCTGGCGGCGGCGGCGCCTGCGGCTGGTCTAGGGCTGGCGGCGGCGGCGCCTGCGGCTGGTCTAGGGCTGGTGGCGGCGGCGCCTGCGGCTGGTCTAGGGCTGGTGGCGGCGGCGCCTGCGGCTGGTCTAGGGCTGGTGGCGGCGGCGCCTGCGGCTGGTCTAGGGCTGGTGGCGGCGGCGCCTGCGGCTGGTCTAGGGCTGGTGGCGGCTGCAGCTGGTCTAGGGCTGGTGGCGGCTGCAGCTGGTCTAGGGCTGGTGGCGGCTGCAGCTGGTCTAGGGCTGGTGGCGGCTGCAGCTGGTCTAGGGCTGGAGGCGGCGGCGCCTGCGGCTGGTGTTGGGCTGGAGGTGGCTGCCGCTCCAGTGGCAGGGACCTGCGCCTTACTTGCCGCTGATATCTCGCTTCATCTGTTTTTTGTACATCATTGTGGCCTAACAACAGGGATGGTGTCCAGTCAGGGTGGTTCTCCAACATCTCATATGCTGGTTTACCTACACGAGAATAATAACAACATATAATTAAAGGCGCTATACCCGTTTCTGCAATGTTTGAATGTTTAGCACCGCCCCCCAACTCGCTCAATGGCTTCTTATTTCCCCTACGCTCTCATAACACAGAGCCACCTAGTTTTATTTGCGATCTGATAAATATGCTAACATTAGCATTAGCGCAACTTCTTGTAAGCTGTGCAACAATCACTGATGAAATGGCACTAAAGCAACGCACTGCTAACACAATATATAAGTAAAAGAATACCGCTAGTTTTGCGTCCGAATGTATTAATTTAAAACCTTAGAATATATTCTAATATTGAATTATAATTTGTTATAGAGCTTCTCAAAGCAGCAGCAGCAATTCTCCCGATCATTTTTTCTTGATAACAGAACTCTCAAACCAATAATGACCGAAGCCCCAATGCAACCTCTGTTTGTAATTCAGGTGTGTAAAATACTAACATTACTCTGCAAGTACAAAACGCTATCAGCGCCTGTCACTACACACTTGTCTGTGTAGAGAAGCCAACGGAGCAAGCCACGCTCAATAAACAACTACATATCTATAAATCAACACCATTAAACGTCAATCGGACAATACAGTACACATATACATCCTTAACACACATGCACGGATGATTTCAGAATTTGCTGTTAACGTTTTCATAACAAAAATACTGTTTCAAAGTGACAAAAAGCGATTGCGAAAAACCCGGAAGTTACCACGAAACAGCTAGCTAGCTTAGCTGTTACCTGCCTAGCACGTCCCGGTGAAACCTTTGGGAGCTAACTATTTTATTTGCAGTCATTAAATACATTTCGAATTACAAGGGTTGTCTAATATTTGTTCACATTTTTTTATTCAATTATTTTGTTCATCATTTTTTATTTTAGAATTTATATTCGAATTTTGAAGTCCTGGTGTTAAGCAGCGCTGTAGAGGCTAGAGGACGCAGGCTGTTCGCTGCTCGTTCTGTGAGCGGAGGAGAAAGAGCGGCCCGCTCAGACTCTACTCAGCACTTTTCACTGCTTGTAATTCTTACACAGCTGAATCAATTACCTCAAGTTTTCAATTAAATGATGTATTATGATACAACTTGTATGTAGTAAAAAGCATTTTTATGAACTACTTAGAAAAAAAATCGGGTATAGCTTCTTTAATATAATAATTTGCACAATCTATGTAATCAATGCTTTAAACTGGCAACTATGTCATGAACAGCATCTCAAGTACTTTTTAGGTCACCTCATAATGTCATATGAAGGTTTATGTACAACAGAATAATTAGATTATGTGTACAATCTATGTAATCTATGCTTTACACTGGCAAAGACCTCGCAGAACACGTGCTAAGTAAGAAACAGCCTGAGAGGGTAACAAAGACACAGAGACAAAGGCACTACAGAAACCATAATAACATATGCTAACCTACACTTCCTAGCTTTAAGAGACAACTACATAAATACATTTTTAGAGAACGTACCAGAGTGAAAATGCAGAGAACACACTCTCGTCAACAGGGGTGTGTGATCGAAAGTAAGGTCCTTTCTTCTAATTGCAGCCAACCAAGCAATCCGACGTCTCCTTGTCAGGTCAGAGAATTGCTCCCCTTGATGCTTTTTCCATTTCGGTAACCTAAAAAACTGTATCCCGTTGTTACTAGGTTTTCCATATCCATCGTGGGAGGTATTGGAGCAGTTTTTAACGCAGCAGTTATTTCCAGGCATGATAAAACAGTGCAGAATAGCAAGAACCTCCGCTACTACCGCGTTCACAACACACGTAAACAAACTGTACTGCCGCCACCGGTGCGCAGCCAATATGTCGGCAAAGGGGGGATGGGGAGGGGGGACTCTGTGCCGTGACGTCAACTCCTCATTCTCAATACTTAGTACAGGACTGCTCCACATCACGCACACACACACGTACGCACACACACACACACGTACGCACACAGAGGCAGACGGGGACAGCCAATACAGTCTATGGTACAGCCGCGGATCACAAAGCACCTGTCAAAGCAATGCACTCTCCGAACTATATGAAGCACTATATGAACCGTCACGTGGTGCGGCCGCTACGCGAGGCTTCGAACGTCACCACACACGTGACCAATACACGCCTCGACCCACACTTCACAAGAAACGCCCCCAGATTACTCGGTCCACGCTTCGAAGACTCGGTCCGCTCAGCACATCACTAGTGGTTCCCAACTTTTCTGCCATATTCCCCTCGCCAGTAACAAAAGTGCAGATCTATAAATAATATTCACACACCTAGCACACTGACAGAAGCGACAAAACCAATCAGTACCTCAACCATTTACACACACCACACTCATTCTAATGTGGGTGAAGTGTCTTGCCTAAGGGCACGACCACAGTTTGTTACTTTATAACTGCAGCAACCCCACTGTTGCACCTGGTGTTCCTAGAGGTCTCCCATCAGAGCACTAACCAGGCCCTGCCCTGCTTATATTAGGAGGTCTGACAGGATCTGGCTTTCACCTGCAGGTATGGCTACAGTACATTATAGCATTTGCCCTTTAACGTGGTCTTTAATTTACTTTGGTATTTCCGTCACACTTTAGTTTATCCCTCACTAATCAACATCTAATTAAGTGCTAACCAGTGTGTAATTTATGGTTAATTAGCTCCTAATTATTAAGCACTGTTTAGTCAATATTCTACATGGCCCTATTCAACATTTATCTGTTGAATATATATACCTATTTATTATCTACTTACTGACACTTAAGGTTAGAGTTATAGTTACATGATTTAACATTTAATTAGCTGTTAATTAGTTAGGGCTAAAGTTTTACCAGTATTTAATTTTGTATCACTTGAAAACATTTTTTAGGAGAGATCATATGTAAAAAGTACCACTAGATTGTAACAGGAGCACATTCAACCACATTTAAGGACTTTATCAACATTTATAGACATCATCTGCCTCTTATGGACCAATGGCTCTATGTGTTTTTTTATAAATATATATTTGATTCTCTGATTTGTTTTGGAGAATCAACAGCTTTATAAAGTCCTCTGAGATAACTACTGTTGCGATTCAGGGCAATACATTGATTTGAATTGAACTGTGCCATGTGCCTCAGATGGGGGTGAGACGGTACCTTTCTCCAGGTAGCTCCGCGGGGCCCAGCTCGGCTCCTGGTCGGTGTAGGGGTCTGCATACTCTGGATCCTGCTCAGGTCTGTCCACCAGAGGGCGCTGTGGAGAGGTGAGTGGCTCTCCAGACTGAGGAGGAGGAGGGTGCGGAGCTCCTTCTGAGACTGAGCAACAACATCACAATCAAAGTCATGAGGTTTTTACACTACAGTATTTCACTATTTACACCTGGTTAACCTTTAAAGCCTGGGTACCTAACTTTCACACCACAAAACATGGAAGTGCTATAGCTCATTTCCACCAACCACACACTACTCCCTGTTATGAGTCGACTTATTTAAATTACAAAAACAATTCTGAAGATTATTGTAAATATTTAACATTCAAGTTGAATCAATCTTTCCTTCCTAATATGCACTGGAAGGAAATATGGATTCAACTCCCACTGGAGTCTTCACTCGACTCCAGTGGGAATATTTTCAAAGTATATTTTCAATGTTTTGCTCTGCTGCTGTTACTTTCTATCATAAGAATCTATAGTTAAAAAAGAAATTACCAAACTTTTCTGGATGAACAGGAAATGCACTCACTGGATTCCTGGACACGAGCGACGAAACCCATGAGAGGAAGCTGAGGAGAGAACTGCAGCAGAGACGGAGGAGGAGGGGAGGCTGAGGACAGAGAAAACCAGGAGTTAGACAGATCCACCTGAGGCTAAGAACAGACGGAAACCAGGAGTTAGACAGATCCACCATGAGGCTAAGGACAGAGGAAACCAAGAGTTAGACAGATCCACCTGAGGCTAAGAACAGACGGAAACCAGGAGTTAGACAGATCCATATGAGGCTGAGAACAGAGGAAACCAGGAGTTAGACAGATCCACCTGAGGCTAAGAACAGAGGAAACCAGGAGTTAGACAGGTCCATCTGAGGGTGAGCACAACGTCACCAAGGGCGTTGCTATGGGGTTATTTCGATTTGGGGGGATCAGACAAAAAAAACAACTGATTTTGAAACCTTTAGTAGTTCTCTTCTAATATAAAATGGTATTAAAACTGTATTTCTAAATAAATCAAACCCGGCATAAGGTCTTTAAGCTAATGTGGCCTCCTGGGAGTTTCCCTTTCACAAAACATTTACGGACGTTGGAAATATTTATGAAGTTTTGTGAATAAAAAGAATTTAGAGTTACCTGGGCTGTGGTTGTAGTACGTTCCACCGTTGGCCGCGCTGTGGGCTGTGATAGGCAGTGCTATAGAGCTGGGGGAGGGACTAAGGCCGGTTTGGTTCTCTGTGATTGGCTGGCCAGTGACAGAGGGGGGACGGCGGTACGGCAGAGACCCGCCCACTTGAGGCGCCTGGTGTCGAGGCTGCGGGCGGTTCATACTGAAGAACTGAGGCACGATGGCTCCTGTGAAAGAGCAGAGATTTGTTTGAGCTTACAGAAGGGAGCAGAGACACGCTAGAGTCCCTCCAGGCGCTCCATTGTCCCCTACCACTAAGAACCTGTACAATAGGTCTGGCCTGTGCCTCCTGTATAACGACCTGCTCCCATCTCTATGTGGAGCGAGAGACAATAAATAAACATTACTTACTTACTTAGAGCTCCTGGGAGAGAACCAAGACATGTTAAAGCTAGGGTATTCAATTATGATATATAATCCATGACACTAGTATCGTGGATAGATAGCTATTTGTCCTACGTGCAGGACAAGCTCAAGACACTATGCAGACTCTGATTGTGTATCCATGTTATGACTATGATATGCTCTGACTGTATCTGATTTGACACTTATGTGTCTTTCGATGTGTGACGTAACAATGACTATAAAAGCATGTCTTGACTTTTGTTCTGTCTGAAAAAACCTGAAAGAACTGAGACAACTGCTCTGTCTGAATCAACTGCCATTTTTAAGAATAAACAACCACGCTAGATGCACAAGATCCCTTTTTGTATGAGTTTGATTCTCAACAAGTGAGAGGAGTTGGAGTCAAGTACATGTCTTTTTCGTCCAACCCTCAAACTGCAAATTGCTTTTTGTTTTAGATACATGACTGCTACTGCATGTCCTTCTCAATGCTTTGTTGGACTCACCTTGGCCTTTGGACGGAGAGGACACATAGAACAGAGTAGGCGGAGGAGCAGGGGAGAGCAGAGGGGACCGGCCCGGGACAGAAGCTCCAGGCTGGGGAGGAGAGTCCGCATATTCCCCAGAATGAGCAGGGGAGCTGGGGTGTGAGGAGCTGGGGTGTGAAGAGCTGGGGTGTGGAGAGGAGGTGGAAGAGGCGTGGGACAGGGTGGAGGAGGACGAGGAGGGGGAAGGTGCAGCACCAGGGGAAACTTAAAGAGAAGGAGACAAGTGAAACCCAGAGGAATGCAGACACTGGTATGGCCACTATTTCTTTAATTGCCACTTTGCATTGTCCATAATATATCCTGCACTATCCGAGTGATCGATGCCAAATGTGACATGTAAAATACTCCAGTGTGAGATCAATAAAGTCTATCTAAAGTCTTATCTTGTTTATAGACTACAGAAAGACCTTGACAATCAGGACCACTGTTGGGTTAGTGTGTTGACAAAACAAAACTTATACATTTCAAAGTACTTCTACTAAAGGCAGTGCACCCAGGACCAGAGGGAATCACATCATAATTGACCACTGCGGTTTCTCATTCTCGAGAAGCAATATAGACAATTTCAAACACATCTTTTATAAAAACAACTTATTAAAGGGAAGAACAGCGCATGCAGCAGTCCCAACTCTGAGGTCCTTGCTTCACTCACCCAAACATGGCTCCACGGCTCGTTACGCTGTCGTTATGCAAAGTATTGTCTGTGACTTCTGTGTACTATTAGAACCTTCTCCACCTGAGCTTTCGAGTTACGGGCTCAACAACAGTTTCGTTTGGTTCAACAAGTTCAAAATAAGGGTAGTTATTGAGAGGAACCCCAAAGGAATAGACAGACTCAAATGAAGGGTTCAGAGAGAGACTGTTAAAACACACTCAATGCTACATCTCTCTGGCCTCCAAGGGGAAATTAAAACACCGGCTTGCCCTAGCAATCACGTTAGCAACACATCTGCCCCTGTTGCAGCGCAAAGATAATGCCATCGGAACAAAGGCCCATACATGAAAATTGGCCCCAGCTTATGTTTAAATCAGTCTTTTCTGCACTCTGGTGATGTCACACTGTGATGATGTCACACTTTGTCAATCTACTCCTTATACGCGGTTTAGGGTCAGAGGTTACCTGGGTATGTGACCGGTGGGGAGGGAGTTGGAACAGCGATGGGCAGCCCCACACTCCCACTGCCGCTGTTCTCTCTGCTGCTGCTGCTGCTGCCCCTGAAACACATGAAACAATTCATTAACCCTTCACTTAACTAGGAAAGTCTCATGGAGTTTCACAGGAAGCACAGTGGACCTGAAGTGCTTTGGAGATTGTTCAGAGATGAGAGAGGGGTGTCTGCACTGGTTCTGGTTTTTGATGTCCACATTGATGCACGTTTGATGTTTATCATGTCACTAGCTTTATTAGACCCATATTCAGAATGTTGTGGACAATCAAAAATGGATTCCAGAGCTTTACAATTCAGAATAGTGTGGCAAAAAGTATTTAGTCTGACACCAATCGTGCAAGTCCTCCCACATAAATGAATCACTGTGTTGAAGATGAACTGGTAAACACTTTAGACAGTATATTTCTGACAGATAAAGAACAAGGACGGTTTTTTCACTGTTTCCACAATACTGCTTTTCCCTTGTGTACAATTCGTTGGTCGTAGTGGAGAGTGGAGCAGCCGGTGTCTCAGCAGCACTGAACCAAAACACCAGATGGACCTGATCATGAGACCAACCCACAGCAGGAAGGGAGAGTGAAATGTGTGATGAGAGATTTCTACTGCATGTGTCCTCTCAGTTTACAGGGTTAGAGCCAAGCCCCGGTGATCCAAGATGGCGCCCTATTCAAATGAATGGCTTGTGCTCAGTAGTGGGCATCGTCTGGTCCTCCCGGTTCTGCGCAGTGAACGAGCTCCCATGAAGCTTTACGCCATGTCGTGTGTGTGGCTCTCATGCACGTGCACAGAGGGGCTCGGCCACGCTCTGACCAATCAGAGCTGCAGATCAGAGCTGAGCTAGAGCGGGAAGGAAACGAGCAGTTTGTGGCAGTATAGTGTGGATTTAAAGAAAAGCGAACGATTTAAGAAGAAAAAAAGTTCAGAATGACAAGGGACAACAAAATAGATGTTCTGTCAGAGGGAAAATATCTGGGAGCTTACGTGAATTTAGTCTTGTTTTGTCTGCAGTACCGCGAGACACCCGCGAGCACATGGGTCCTTCAGCTCCAAGCTAGTTATACCCTATCCAGCAGTGTTGTGCAAAAGAACGCTTTCATTGAACACACTCATTTTTTTGTTGAACTGAACGCAACACATTTTTTAAATAAAGAACTTGAACGTGAATTAGTTCACATTATGTGTCATGAACGGCAGACATCACTGTAAATGGATGTTGGAATTTGTTTTCCATTGAAAACTGAGTGACAACTGTTTTCTCTTTTGAAACTAAACAAGAGAAAGTTCCTCCCTCCTGTATTCTCGCTGGCGCCTCTTAAATCATGTATCACCAGACAGAAATGGTTTTGTGCATTGCGGGTGTAGTGTGGACAGTTTATCCGCCCACCAGCTGGGGGCGCCAGACGGCACACTATAAAAACCTTCAAAATATTGACGTTGTCCGTCTGTGCTTCCGGGTGCTGGTCGCTCGGCTTGTGTTTGGGTGTCGCCGTGTAGCAGGTAGTGGCACTGATGGCTCTGGAGGCGCTTTTAATGTGCAGCTGGGGGCGCTTCTCTGTAGACCTGGTGTGTGGTCCTCTGAAGCTGGAGTCATTCCCTCCCCAGTAGAACTCCAGAGAATGTCCTACCTGAAGTTTGGAACAGCCTGAGAGAGCTGGGTGCGCAGCACAACCACCGCTGTCTTTACCATCATTTTTTCACTGTCTTGTATTGTTTTCTTTTACTGCTGTCTTCCTGTTATACTCGAACAATACTATTCTGTACTACAACGGATTTGAATAACAAATGCAAACATACAAAATAAGCTGAACGTGAATAATAAAATGTGCTTGGCCTCCTTCAATCCCCTTATCTGTGTCCTTATAGTTTGTTTTATTATTTTAATGTAGAACACTCATACAAACCTTCGGTTTGTCACACGGGCAACGTAGTATCCGGCTGAGAATGGGCTCTATGCACGCACCACTTCCGAGTTTTAGCTACAACCCCACCTCACTTCCTGTTCGCGGGAAATGGCTTGAGTTTCACTGGAGTTTAGCAGTGGTTTACACGAGTTTCCCAAATAATGCTCAAACGGGAATTTAACTGTGAGGATACTGGGCATTTTTGGGACACAGCAGTGCTCTTTGATTGTGCTGTCATTGTGTTTTTATAAAGTTAACTAATCACACTGAGTGGCCACAGTCAAAGCTCAGAGAGAAAGCACAGCGACACTTTTGGGTCAGTCTCACAGCTGAATGTATCAATCTAATTACTAAAAAACGTTACTAAAACTCACCTAAACGCCATAGGATAGCATAGGCAGGAAGTGAACGGGCTGTGCTTTGTTAACAGGAAATGATGTCACGCCTCCCCGTGCATATAGCCCATAGTTGAATAGCATTCTTGGGTTTCATTAAACTGGCCTGTAGGGGGCGAATGAGCAGAGATGGGACAACCCAGTTTTGCTCCCATTGATAACCATATATCTTGTCTGTTTTGGAGTCAAAAGGCTCTCATCCTGTGCGGTGTACGGGATATATATACAGTGGGGCAAAAAAGTATTTAGTCAGCCACCGATTGTGCAAGTTCTCCCACTTAAAATAATGACAGAGGTCTGTAATTTTCATCATAGGTACACTTCAACTGTGAGAGACAGAATGTGAAAGAAAAATCCAGGAATTCACATTGTAGGATTTTTAAAGAATTTATTTGTAAATTATGGTGGAAAGTAAGTATTTGGTCACTTCAAACAAGGAAGATCTCTGGCTCTCACAGACCAGTAACTTCTTTAAGACGCTCTTCTGTCCTCCACTCGTTACCTGTATTAATGGCACCTGTTTGAACGCATTATCTGTATAAAAGATAGCCCAAATGTAGCCCAAATGTAACCCAAAATGATATTTCAACCACTGATAATTTCCCTTGATCTGGGGCTCCATGCAAGATCTCATCCCGTGGGGTCAAAATGATCATGAGAACGGTGATCAAAAATCCCAGAACCACACGGGGGGACCTGGTGAATGACCTGCAGAGAGCTGGGACCAAAGTAACAAAGGTTACCATCAGTAACACACTACGACGACAGGGAATCAAATCCTGCAGTGCCAGACGTGTCCCCCTGCTGAAGCCAGTGCATGTCCAGGCCCGTCTGAAGTTTGCCAGAGAGCACATGGATGATACAGCAGAGGATTGGGAGAATGTCATGTGTTCAGATGAAACCAAAGTAAAACTGTTTGGTATAAACTCAACTCGTCGTGTTTGGAGGAAGAAGAATACTGAGTTGCATCCCAAGAACACCATACCTACTGTGAAGCATGGGGGTGGAAACGTCATGCTTTTGGGCTGTTTTTCTGCTAAGGGGACAGGACGACTGATCCGTGTTAAGGAAAGAATGAATGGGGCCATGTATCGTGAGATTTTGAGCCAAAACCTCCTTCCATTGACTTGAATTTCTGTTATTGACCAAATACTTTTTTTCCACCATAATTTACAAATACATTCTTTAAAAATCCTACAATGTGAATTCCTGGATTTTTTTTTCACATTCTGTCTCTCACAGTTGATGTGTCTCACACTATGATGAAAATTACAGACCTCTGTCATTATTTTAAGTGGGAGAACTTGCACAATCGGTGGGCTGACTAAATACTTTTTTGCCCCACTGATATATATATATATATATATATATATATATATATATATATATATATATATACATATATACATATATATATATACAGTGCCTTGCGAAAGTATTTTGCCACATTTCAGGCTTCAAACATAAAGATATGAAAATTAAATCTTTTGTCAAGAATCAACAACAAGTGGGACACAATCGTGAAGTGGAACAAAATTTAAAAATTTATTGGATAATTTAAAAAAATTTAACAAATAAAAAACTGAAAAGTGGGGCGTGCAATATTATTCGGCCCCCTTGGGCTAATACTTTGTAGCGCCACTTTTTGCTGCAATTACAGCTGCAAGTCACTTGGGGTGTGTCTCTATTAGTTTTGCACATCGAGAGACTGGAATTCTTTCCCATTCTTCCTTGCAAAACAGCTCGAGCTCAGTGAGGTTGGATGGAGAGCGTTTGTGAACAGCAGTCTTCAGCTCTTTCCACAGATTCTCGATTGGATTCAGGTCTGGACTTTGACTTGGCCATTCTAACACCTGGATACGTCTATTTGTGAACCATTCCATTGTAGATTTGGCTTTATGTTTTGGATCATTGTCCTGTTGGAAGATAAATCTCCGTCCCAGTCTCAGGTCTTTTGCAGACTCCAACAGGTTTTCTTCCAGAATGGTCCTGTATTTGGCTCCATCCATCTTCCCATCATTTTTAGCCATCTTCCCTATCCCTGCTGAAGAAAAGCAGGCCCAAACCATGATGCTGCCACCACCATGTTTGACAGTGGGGATGGTCTGTTCAGGGTGATGAGCTGTGTTGCTTTTACGCCAAACATATCGTTTTGCATTGTGGCCAAAAAGTTCGATTTTGGTTTCATCTGACCAGAGCACCTTCTTCCACATGTTTGGTGTGTCTCCCAGGTGGCTTGTGGCAAACTTTAAACGAGACTTTTTATGGATATCTTTGAGAAATGGCTTTCTTCTTGCCACTCTTCCATAAAGGCCAGATTTGTGCAGTGCACGACTGATTGTTGTCCTATGGACAGACTCTCCCACCTCAGCTGTAGTTATCTGCAGTTCATCTAGAGTGATCATGGGCCTCTTGGCTGCATCTCTGATCAGTCTTCTCCTTGTTGGACGGCCGGATCTTGGTAGATTTGCAGTGGTCTGGCTTGCACAGTGCTCCTTGAGATGTTTAAAGCTTGGGAAATCTTTTTGTATCCAAATCCGGCTTTAAATTTCTCCACAACAGTATCTCAGACCTGCCTGGTGTGTTCCTTTGTCTTCATGGTTCTCTCTGCGCTTCAAACAGAACCCTGAGACTATCAAAGAGCAGGTGCATTTATACGGAGACTTGTTCACACACAGGTGCATTCTATTTATCATCATCAGTCATTTAGGACAACATTGGATCATTCAAAGATCCTCACTGAACTTCTGGAGTGAGTTTGCTGCACTGAAAGTAAAGGGGCCGAATAATATTGCACGCCCCACTTTTCAGTTTTTTATTTGTTAAAAAAGGTTAAATTATCCAATACATTTTGTTCCACTTCACGATTGTGTCCCACTTGATGTTGATTCATGACAAATAATCAAAATTGTATATCTTTATGTTTGAAGTGTGAAATGAGGCGAAATGTTGAAAGGTTCAAGGGGGCCAAATACTTTCGCAAGGCACTGTATATATATATATATATATATATATATATATATATATATATACCGAGAGCACATTAACACCAACATCCAGTGTGGGTCCTTGGGCAAGACCTTTAATGCTACTGCCTAACTCATAACCATGAAGGTACAAATAAGCAATGAGATGCCGGCTCAGACGTCGCCCGGCCAAACAAGGTCTGCGTCAGGTGCTGGGGAACCAGAGCACCTTGATGAAAAGTGGGCTACTGGAACAAGGCGAAAGTGGGCGAGATCCAAGAAGATACTGCGCAGAACCCTCAAGCTCCCAGGCCTCTGGTAGAGGACCCGAGCTTAGAGAGGGATAACCGCCCGCGGAGGGCCAAAAGTGAGTGGAGAATTTTTATATATATATATATATACAGTGCCTTGCGAAAGTATTCGGCTCCCTTGAACCTTTCAACATTTCGCCACATTTCAGGCTTCAAACATAAAGATATAAAAATTTAATTTTTTTTGTCAAGAATCAACAACAAGTGGGACACAATCGTGAAGTGGAACAAAATATATTGGATAATTGAAACTTTTTTAACAAATAAAAAACTGAAAAGTGGGGCGTGCAATATGATTTGGCCCCCTAGCGCCACCTTTTGCGGCAATTACAGCTGCAAGTCGCTTGGGGTATGTCTCTATCAGTTTTGCACATCGAGAGACTGGAATTCTTGCCCATTCTTCCTTGCAAAACAACTCGAGCTCAGTGAGGTTGGATGGAGAGCGTTTGTGAACAGCAGTCTTCAGCTCTTTCCACAGATTCTCGATTGGATTCAGGTCTGGACTTTGACTTGGCCATTCTAACACCTGGACACGTCTATTTGTGAACCATTCCATTGTAGATTTGGCTTTATGTTTTGGATCATTGTTCTGTTGGAAGATAAATCTCCATCCCAGTCTCAGGTCTTTTGCAGACTCCAACAGGTTTTCTTCCAGAATGGTCCTGTATTTGGCTCCATCCATCTTCCCATCAATTTTAGCCATCCTCCCTGTCCCTGCTGAAGAAACGCAGGCCCAAACCATGATGCTGCCACCACCATGTTTGACAGTGGGGATGGTGTGTTCAGGGTGATGAGCTGTGTTGCTTTAACGCCAAACATATCGTTTTGCATTGTGGCCAAAAAGTTCGATTTTGGTTTTATCTGACCAGAGCACCTTCTTCCACATGTTTGGTGTGTCTCCCAGGTGGCTTGTGGCAAACTTTAAACGAGACTTTTTATGGATATCTTTGAGAAATGGCTTTCTTCTTGCCACTCTTCCATAAAGGCCAGATTTGTGCAGTGCACGACTGATTGTTGTCCTATGGACAGACTCTCCCACCTCAGCTGTAGTTATCTGAAGTTCATCCAGAGTGATCATGGGCCTCTTGGCTGCATCTCTGATCAGTCTTCTCCTTGTTTGAGATGAAAGTTTGGAGGGAAGGCCGGGTCTTGGTAGATTTGCAGTGGTCTGATACTCCTTCCATTTCAATAAAATTGCTTGCACAGTGCTCCTTGAGATGTTTAAAGCTTGGGAAATCTTTTTGTATCCAAATCCGCTCCTTCACACAACAGTATCTGAGACCTGCCTGGTGTGTTCCTTTGTCTTCATGGTTCTCTCTGCGCTTTAAACAGAACCCTGAGACTATCAAAGAGCAGGTGCATTTATACGGAGACTTGATTACACACAGATGCATTCTATTTATCATCATCAGTCATTTAGGATAACATTGGATCATTCAAAGATCCTCACTGAACTTCTGGAGTGAGTTTGCTGCACTGAAAGTAAAGGGGCCGAATAATATTGCACGCCCCAATTTTCAGTTTTTTATTTGTAAAAAAAGTTTAAATTATCCTATAAATTTTGTTCCACTTCACGATTGTGTCCCACTTGTTGTTGATTCACGACAAAAAATTAAAATTTTATATCTTTATGTTTGAAGCCTGAAATGTGGCGAAATGTTGAAAGGTTCTGTATATGGTGGATGGATAGATACTTTATTCATTGATTTACTTGTGGGGGACTCACGAGCACTCGCGAGCTGGACCTTCAGGCCAACAATCTTGAACACCTTATACAAACATTGATCTGGAACTCCCCTGAAGCCAACTTCCACTGGCAGGTTCCAAGATTTCCAACTTCTGCTGGACTTCCAAGACCAGGGACTGGACTGGAGCCTCCTCCATCCTCTGCTCCAATGGGACAGAGAGCTCCACTAGATGAGATTCACATAAAGCATTGTCTAATACAAAGATATATCCCATGGATTAAACCATGAGGCACAGGTGTCAGACACCCCAGGAAGAGGAGATGCTCTGAAGAATCAGTCTTAGGTCCTGGTCTCGCTGACAGGTCCTGGACAAGCAGCTGTGGACTTCTAGCTGGAGTGATGTCCCTCAAAGGTGAGGGTTCTCATTCTGTTGGTTCTCCTGTGATTCTCTTGTGGTTCTCTTGTGGTTTTACAGCTCCTGTGGTTCTCCTGTGGTTCTCTTACTCCTGTGGTTCTTCTGTGGTTCTCCTGTGGTTCTCCTGCTCCTGCTCCAGTGGTGACCTTGTGACATGCAGCTCCTTCTCTGCTCTGATCAGAGGGAAACCCTGAATACTGCTCTGTAGTAAATGAGTGAAATGATATGTAAAGGCTGTGAAATGTATTTTGTCCTACAAAAGCAGAACTTGAAATCTATGCACACACATGTGAAAATAATAATAATCTTAAATAATGTGTGGAATTTGTGGTTGTGTGTGTGTCTCCTGGGGTCTGGAGTGTGTGGTTGTGTGTGTGTCTCCTGGGGTCTGGAGTGTGTGGTTGTGTGTGTGTTTGTGTTATCTCCTGAGGCCTCTGTACAGATGTGAACTGGCAGTGCGTGTGCATATATAGTGTCATCTGTTCTGAAGCATGTTTCACATTTAGGTCACTGCTCGCCTCCCATTTATCAGACCACAGAGGGGCAGGAGAGAGAGCCACGCGGTGAACTGGAGTTATGCCATTCTCCATATGGAGGAGAACAAAGAATGGTTTTTCTTATGCAGTATGTGGTATTGTGGTCTACAGTCCACATTAAGTGGCAGAAGTGAGCACTAATACTGACAGTCTGTGAAGAGTTTCTGTTATGCATCAACATCTGTCTCAAATTCAAGTGTGGTTTATGTGTTTACAATGTGCTTTTTGTGTTGTTTGCAATGATCTTTGTTGGGTTGCTGGTCATCTGCATCTGCTGAAGATCAAGACTGACTGTACTGTTTCCAGCCCAACTCATGGGCTGGATCTACAACCTCAATCCTGGATCTATAGCCTCATTCCTGGATTTATATCCTCAGCCTTCAATTCCATCTCCATAGTTTCCATGTTCTCCCCGTGTCTGCATAGGTTCCCCCTAACACCAAAAACATGTATAATATACTGTAGGTGAAGGTTGAACAGGTGTGTGTTTGTTAGTGTGGGACAGATACAATCTGGTGTATTTACAGCTCCTGCTGTTCATGAATACACCCTGTTCCATCCAAATAAATACAAGTACCAACTCACAATGGTGGTGGCTCATGGTGAACATTATGGGTGTGTGAGGAGCCAGGAGAGAGCAATGGTGCTTCTGGTGTAAACGTATAAAGATTCTCTTGTAAAACAACAAGGAAACTATATTGTCTAAAACAGTCAAACGCTGTGAAAAGTCAATGTGACATCACTGACCCGACCAGGATGCCTCTGGGAGGACTGGGAAGCTGCTGGTGTGGAGCCATGGCTCGAGAGTGGCCTTTCTGTTCCCCATTCACCTGAACAAACAGACTCTGGTTTAGGTCAAAACTTTTGGATCTAAATGTTGTGGACGAGTCTCTTACCTTGAATCGCAGCAGCCACTGTGCACCGCCAGAGAGAGGGCAGGAGAGAAGGACACAGTTTAGTTTGAGGTTGAATTAAAATCAGAGTACGTGTAGCAGGGATTATTTGAACCAAACTTTAATGGTGTAAAACATAATTCCATATGTCGCTCTGAAGTCTCTCTCCAGGAAGAGCAGAGACCGAGGAGAGGTTCACGTCTTCAGGATCAGCGCTGGAGGGTTTTACCTGAGCTGCATGTTTTGAGGGTAACCCATAGACTGTATATTGATAGACAATGCTTACCCCAAGCTCAATAGAGACCAATAGGGAAGTGCTCATGGACAAAGTTTTTCCTCCAGCTCATTCTGGCTTCTATTGACTTACATTGAAAAGTAATTAACTCATCCATACAACTTTATACTGTAGTTCTTGCACTAGAATATACAACATTTTATACTTTTATATTGCACCAGGATCCACACTGTACATTCTGCCATGATTGCGCAGTATTGCACCTTGACTCCGTGGCCGATGTCGTCCAGGCCGCTGTAGTCGATGTTCTTCCTCACGTATCGCACCGGGCGCTCAGGGTTGGATGGAGCCACGATCTTGTGAGAGCGACACGTGTTTTTGTTGGTGGTCAGGATCCCGATCTCCCGCCGAGCCACCTTCTCTTTGTGGATGTCCACCGTCTGCAACACAACAGAGATCAGAGATAGTTCTGCACCTTATTAAAAAAAACACAAGAATGATCGCTGGAAGGTTATACTCCAGACCGGGAAGGTGAGCGTTGATGATATGTGCATCAGGCTAATCGTAGCTTTTGTTACTTAAAGGTACATAGGATTTTCACAAGTTTTAGGAAATAAATGCCCTCTACTCTTTTTTTAACAAAACTTTCTGGTCTTATTTGACGAGCATGTATCACCAGAATGATTGACAAAGGAGCCTGTTGCTACGGTTACTCCTCTGAGCGGCCATAGTGTCATGCAGAGTGTGTCTGGAGCTACCCAGGATGCCCTGCATTAGAGCCCTCATCCTTCTCTCCAGCACAGCTCCCACAGAGTCCACACTTCTCCCCATCAAAGAGACACATTTCTTGATCAGCCTGTCGAGCCGGTTACTATCTCTCGAGGTCAGACTGCCCCCGACATGCGACCCCAAAGAACACGGCACTAGCTTCAACAGACTGGAAAAATATGTGCAACAATTGACTGCTCACATCGAAGGACCTCAGTCTACACAGAAAGAAAAGTCTGCTCTGACCTTTCTCATAGACAGCATTGGCCGGAGCTGACCAGTCCAGTCTGTGGTCCAGGTGGACTCCCAGATATTTGTAGGGCTTAACCACTTCGATGTTCTGTCCATTTACTGTGACCGGTCGATGGGAAGGGCTCCTGTGAAAGTTGATGATCATCTTCTTGGTCTTGGACGCATTGAGAATCAGTCCATTTCTCCCACGCCAGTCTGAGAAGGCAGCCACCACCTCCCTGTACTCTGCTTCATCCGCCCTTCACACATGCCACAACAGCGGTATCGGCCGAGTATACAGCAGCAGTGACTGAGAAAACAGGTTTTTTTTAATGCATTTTACCCGTGTGTGTGTGTCAGTGTTTTAATGTGTACGTGTGTCAATGTGTGTGTGTGTGTGTGTGTGTCTCTCTGTGTGTGTCTCTTTGCGAGGGTGCATAGGTGTGTGTATGTGTGTGTGTCGCCTCCAGAACAGCTGTGTGGACAGGAGTGTGATTATTTTCTCTAATCTCGACACTGATGTAAGACCATTATAATAACGTCGACCTGGACTCAGACAGACTCATGTTTGATATGATTAGAAGATAAATGCAGAGTAGAACACCTCTTCCACCAGAACCAGAGGGAGTAATATTGCGAGGCTCCAGATCTAGTTTGAGAAGTCTGCATGGTCCACAGATCCTCTGGGACATACAGTGCCTTGCCAAAGTATTCAGGCTTCAAACATAAAGATATAAAAATAAAAATAAATCTCATGAATCAACAACAAGTGGGACACAATCGTGAAGTGGAACGAAATGTATTGGATAATTTAAACTTTTTTAACAAATAAAAAACTGAAAAGTGGGGCGTGCAATATTATTCGGCCCCTTTACTTTCAGTGCAGCAAACTCACTCCAGAAGTTCAGTGAGGATCTTTGAATGATCCAATGTTGTCCTAAATGACTGATGATGATAAATAGAATGCACCTGTGTGTAATCAAGTCTCTGTATAAATGCACCTGCTCTTTGATAGTCTCAGGGTTCTGTTTAAAGCGCAGAGAGAACCATGAAGACAAAGGAACACACCAGGCAGGTCCGAGATACTGTTGTGGAGAAGTTTAATGCCGGATTTGGATACAAAAAGATTTCCCAAGCTTTAAACATCTTAAGGAGCACTGTGCAAGCAATTATATTGAAATGGAAGGAGTATCAGGCCACTGCAAATCTACCAAGACCCGGCCGTCCCTCCAAACTTTCATCTCAAACAAGGAGAAGACTGATCAGAGATGTAGCCGAGGCCCATGATCGCTCTGGATGAACTGCAGATAACTACAGCTGAGGTGGGAGAGACTGTCCATAGGACAACAATCAGTCGTGCACTGCACAAATCTGGCCTTTATGGAAGAGTGGCAAGAAGAAAGCCATTTCTCAAAGATGTCCATAAAAAGTCTCGTTTAAAGTTTGCGACAAGCCACCTGGGAGACACACCAAACATGTGGAAGAAGGTGCTCTGGTCAGATGAAACCAAAATCGAACTTTTTGGCCACAATGCAAAACGATATGTTTGGCGTAAAAGCAACACAGCTCATCACCCTGAACACACCATCCCCACTGTCAAACATGGTGGTGGCAGCATCATGGTTTGGGCCTGCTTTTCTTCAGCAGGGACAGGGAAGATGGCTAAAATTGATGGGAAGATGGATGGAGCCAAATACAGGACCTAACCTGTACTAACCCTAACCCTAACCTGACCTAACAAAACCGGTTGGAGTCTGCAAAAGACCTAAGACTGGGACGGAGATTTATCTTCCAACAGGACAATGATCCAAAACATAAAGCCAAATCTACAATGGAATGGTTCACAAATAGACGTATCCAGGTGTTAGAATGGCCAAGTCAAAGTCCAGACCTGAATCCAATCGAGAATCTGTGGAAAGAGCTGAAGACTGCTGTTCACAAACGCTCTCCATCCAACCTCACTGAGCTCGAGCTGTTTTGCAAGGAAGAATGGCCAAGAATTCCAGTCTCTGGATGTGCAAAAGTGATAGAGACATACCCCAAGCGACTTGCAGCTGTAATTGCAGCAAAAGGTGGCGATACAAAGTATTAGTGCAAGGGGGCCGAATAATATTGCACGCCCCACTTTTCAGTTTTTTATTTGTTAAAAAAGTTTAAATTATCCAATAAATTTCGTTCCACTTCACGATTCTGTCCTACTTGTTGTTGATTCTTGACAAAAAATAATGATTTTTATATCTTTATGTTTGAAGCCTGAAATGTGGCGAAATGTTGAAAGGTTCAAGGGGGCCGATTACTTTCGCAAGGCACTGTAGCAACACAGATACACTGCAACAAATGATCAAAAATGGGGTAATAAGTGCATAAATCAAGTGTTCTTTATCTTAATCTGAGCACATTCTGACTGTGTTAAAACAAGATTCTCCGATGGGACAAAACCATTCAGTCTTATTTCAAGAATTGTTTGTTTGACATTTTTTGTATCTTATTAAAACAAGATAATTTTCCTTGTCCCATTTGCAGATCTTGTTTTAAGGCAGCCAGAATGTGCATTAAGATATACAGTATTTTGCCAACAGTGTAGATGAGGAAGGTCATAACCAGGAAGGCAGCTGGACCAGACCACATCAGCACCAGTTTCCTTAGGTTCTGTGCAGATGAATTCTGTGGGGCTATGTCTTCAACCTGAGCCTCAGGCTGAGGTCAGTACCAAAGCTCCGGAAGACTGGTCCTCATGAAGACACTGGAGACTGGTCCTCATGAAGACACTGGAGACTGGTCCTCATGAAGACACTGGAGTGACTGGTCCTCATGAAGACAATGGAGAGACTGGTCCTCATGAAGACACTGGAGTGACTGGTCCTCATGAAGACAATGGAGAGACTGGTCCTCATGAAGACACTGGAGAGACTGGTCCTCATGAAGACACTGGAGAGACTGGTCATGAAGACAATGGAGAGACTGGTCCTCATGAAGACACTGGAGACTGGTCCTCATGAAGACACTGGAGAGACTGGTCCTCATGAAGACACTGGTCCTCATGAAGACACTGGAGAGACTGGTCCTCATGAAGACACTGGAGACTGGTCCTCATGAAGACACTGGAGAGACTGGTCCTGGGACACCTTCGCTCCACTCTGAGCTCAGCGATGGACTCGCTGCAGTTTGCGGACTGGCCGGGCATCGGAGTGAGGAATGCCATCATCTCCCTCCTCCACCGCTCCCACCTGGAGAAGCCCGTCTCCGCTATGAGGATCCTCTTCTTTGATTTCGCCTGCAGCTTCAACACCATCCAGCCGCAGCTTCACAGGGACAAGCTGCAGACAGCTGGAGTGGACTACAACCTGTCTGAGTGGATCCTGGACAGACCGCAGTTTGTGAGAACCAGGGACTTTGTGTCTGAGGTCCTGACCCGCAGTGTTGGGGCCCCCCAGAGGACCTTCCTCGCTCTGTTCCTCTTCATCCTCTACACCGCAGACTTCAGTTCTCTGACGACTCTGCCATCATCACACTCAACACTGAGGACGACAATGCAGAGTGCAGAGGAATAACACATGACTTTGTGGACTGGTGTCAGCGGAACCACCTCCTCATCAACAGATGAACCACCTCCTCATCAACAGATGAACCACCTCCTCATCAACAGATGAACCACCTCCTCATCAACAGATGAACCACCTCCTCATCAACAGATGAACCACCTCCTCATCAACAGATGAACCACATCCTCATCAACAGATGAACCACCTCCTCATCAACAAAAGAACCACCTCCTCATCAACAGATGAACCACCTCCTCATCAACAGATGAACCACATCCTCATCAACAGATGAACCACCTCCCCATCAACAAAAGAACCACCTCCTCATCAACAAAAGAACCACCTCCTCATCAACAGATGAACCACCTCCTCATCAACAGATTAACCACCTCCTCATCAACAGATTAACCACCTCCCCATCAACAAAAGAACCACCTCCTCATCAACAAAAGAACCACCTCCTCATCAACCGATTAACCACCTCCTCATCAACAGATGAACCACCTCCTCATCAACAGATTAACCACCTCCTCATCAACACGGGGAAGACCAATGAGATGGTGGTGGATTTCCTCAGATGTCACTCTGCCTCCAGCCCCAGTGAACATCCAGGGAAGGGACATTGAGAGAGTGGCCTGGGTACCGTTTGCGCTGGACCTGTGGTTGATTACACAGCCACAGTTTTTTGTATTATCGGGCCCACCCTCTTGTAGTTTTGAAGAGAATGTTGCAATCCCATGATGGCAATCTCACAGGAGTTGCTTGGGAAACCAAAGCAGTTCCATTATAAACGCTGGTACTTTCTCCTCTTCAGAACAAAATCAATGGCGAAACAAGCTGTTTGAGCTCATGAAATGTGTCTCTATGTGTAGGTTTATGTGACAGTTATAGACTCATTGTTTCATCACTCATTTCACTGTGATGCTGTGAATAAAGACACAGTTCTTGTTGGAAACATTTATTATTAACGTGTATTTGTGCACAAACAGCAAAACAATAAGTGATAAATATCTGAGACCAATGAACTATTGACAAGTGCAGGAGGAATGCAACAGACACAAACAGCTGCAAGTAAAGATTCAAACAAAGACACAAGAACAGTTCAAAAGAAACAACTGTACAGTTTTTTAAATGATCAAAATGCAACAAAATTCCAGCCCAGGCTCTAAGTCCTTAGCCCAAACTGCTTTTCCTTTGAAGCACAAAGCAATCTGCCACTCCATGCTTCTATCCAAAAAGTGCTGCTGGCTGTGTATTTAGAAAAACCTGAGGGTGCACGGGTCTTGCGTTCATCTTTGCGTTGGTCATGTGACGTCACCAGGGTCACCGAAAGCGCAGCGACTCGCAAATATATATAGGCCTTTAAGTACCTGGGTGTTCACCTCAACCACAAGCTGGACTGGACTCATAACACAGACGGGTCTTTTGGAGTGCAGGGCCATTCCTGAAGACCTTCTCCGACTCTGTGGTGGCATCAGCCTCTTGTACGTGTACGGTGTGGTCTGCTGGAGCAGCAGCATCACAGAGAGGGACAGGAAGAAGCTGGACAAGGTCATCAGGATCGCTCCACTTGGGGTCCTGGACAAACATCTATTCTGGCATCTATATAGCAGTCATGTCAAATCAGCTTCCACATTTTGCAAAATCTTTGCAGTTTCCATATACAGTCCATGTTTGTGACCTGTGACCTTTGAGCTGTGACCTCTGACCTGTGAGATGTGGTTGACGGAGCTCTCCATGCGCCGCAGCTGTGAGGCCTGGATGTCCATCATTTGCAGCAGGTTGTTAGCCAAAGTGTTGATGAGATACGCCACACTAGCTAACGACTGTGTGGTGTAGCACTTTGTCTCCTCCAGGGCGCGCTCTTTGTCTGCCGCCTGCAAACACAAACACACACACATATGCACACATATTTGAGTTTGAATGTCATTCAATGTCACTCAAACACCTCATTCCAACACCATTCCACCATGGATCTATTATAATAACTGGATAGGGTATTACTAGCTTGGAGCTGAAGGACCCTCCTGCTCCGGGGATTCTCGCGGTACTGCAGACTAAACCAGACTAAATTCACGAGGGCTACCCAGAAATTTTCCCCACAGAACTCAATGTAAACTAAAACAGCTCAACCACAGCTAACAGAGAACCTACAGCTTTTCATTTTGTGGGGATTTTGGTTTCCCTTGTCATCCAGAACTTTTTTTCTTCTTAAATCCGTCAATTCTCTTTAAATCCACACTTTACTGCCACAAACTCTGCTCGTTTGGCTCCGCTCTATGTCCCGCTCTGATCAGCAGCTCTGATTGGTCAGAGCGCGGCCGAGCCCCTCTGTGCACGTGCATGAGAGCCACACACGCGTATTTGGCGCAACCCATCATGGGAGATCATCCACTGCGCAGAACTGGGAGGACCAAATATAGTCCTACTGAGCACATGTGCTACTGAGCACAAACCATTCATTTGAATATGGTGCCACCTTGGATCATCGGGGCTTGATTTTGCATGTTCTCCCTGTGTCCGCTCTGGATTCCCCTACTACTAAAGACATACACACTGGGTTCAATCCTCCAGCTAGTCCTAACCAAGCCGAGCATCAACATCTGGAGATGGGTTCCCGGGCGCTGTTTTTCCGGGCCCACTGCTCCTGACGTAAGCCTTAGTGGCATCAGGATGGGTCAAATGCACATTTACATTTACTTTTATTATATCTACTTGATACATGTGGTATGAACTCAAATGTTATCAACAGCTGTATTCGAAAGACTGCAGCTCTAGTCCTGACTAGAAACAGGACGTACCATCACATCAGTCCTGGTCTCAGGACTCTGTTTGTTACAAGTCTCTCCATGACCTCTCACCAAAGTACATCTGGGACATCTTAGTGCAATATGAACTAACTGGGACTCTGAGGAGAACAGGGACTGGCCTTCTGCTGGGACTCTGAGGAGCACAGGGACTGGTCTTCTGCTGGGACTCTGAAGAGCACAGGGACTGGCCTTCTGCTGGGACTCTGAGGAGCACAGGGACTGGCCTTCTGCTGGGACTCTGAGGAGCACAGGGACAGGTCTTCTGCTGGGACTCTGAAGAGCACAGGGACTGGCCTTCTGCTGGGACTCTGAGGAGCACAGGGACTGGCCTTCTGCTGGGACTCTGAGGAGCACAGGGACTGGCCTTCTGCTGGGACTCTGAGGAGCACAGGGACTGGCCTTCTGCTGGGACTCTGAGGAGCACAGGGACTGGCCTTCTGCTGGGACTCTGAGGAGCACAGGGACTGGTCTTCTGCTGGGACTCTGAAGAGCACAGGGACTGGCCTTCTGGTGGGACCACTCTTATCTGGTCTCATTCAGACAGATCTGTGCTGACGTCTCCATGGCGACCGCAGCCATGTGCCTGGAGTAAAACCACGTGGTGCGCTTGCTTTGCTGCACATGTGCTGCTGACGGAGCACTCGGGCGGGAGGAGACAAAAGTAGGTCACGCTCAGGCTCTAACACTACAGCAGGCACTACACATGGAACCCTACACATACGCTTTAAAACTGATCCCCGACAAGAATGACCTATCGCAAGTTATTGATGGCCCATTGATCTGGTATTCTCAAACAGGCCAAATAGAATCACTGAACCCTACAACATGATTACAGGCCAATCATATCATAAGTTCATTCTGCAATTAAGGAAAAAAACTGTCAAGGCCATAAGTCAGTGAATTCTTTTGAGAGGTTAAAAATACTTAAAACTTAAATCAATAATTTAAAAATGGTACTGATCAACATCAATTGGTCAGGTCTTATCTAGCAAGATGTTTTGAACAATATTGGTGAGATATTCATAAAAAAAACATTCAAGATACTATAAGCCACTTGCAGAAAAAGATAAAAACCTGTCCCCAGAAAAAGCATCTGCCATGGCTGAATGAAGAGATTTGGTCCCTGACAAAACAATGTGAGCACGCACTTAAAACCTACTTAATAATAACAACATACAGACTTTCCTTTGTCACACTAAGAAACAAAGTCACAACAATAATCAGGACAGCTAAAGTTAACTTTATTTATCAAGACCATTAAGTGCCAGGAGTAATGCAAAACAAGTTTGGACCATGGATCTAAAATATCTGGATAGAGTATTGCTTATTGCTGTCCCACCCGGGCCACGGGCACAGGGGGCGCCCGTGGTACTGCAGACCAAATTCACGAGGGCTACCCAGAAAAAGGTTCCATAGAACTCAATGTAAATTATAACAGCACGACCTCAGCTGACAGAGGTCATCCTGAACTTTATTTCTTGTTAAATCCCTCAGTTTTCTTTAAATCTACACAGAGCTCCGCTCTGATTGGTTGGAACGCGGCAGAGTCACTCTGTGCAAGTACGTGAGAGCCACACACGGGTATTTGGCGCAATGCATCATGGGAGGTCATCCACTGCGCAGAACCGAGAGGACCAAACAAAATATGGGCGAGTTCCGCTAATCTGTCGGTCCCCTATAGGTCCCATGCGCTACTGAGCAGAAGCCATTGATTTGAATAGGGCGCCATCTTGGATCACCGGGGCTTGGTTTAGACACAAATAAAAGAGATAACGGGAAACTTGCCCACCAATGGCAACATAAATGAAATAAAAAGTCAAAATGAAATAATTACTGAGCCACCAGTAATGGCAAACACATTTAACTCATACTTAATTGACTCATGAAGTATCTTCAGCACAGTTAGACATAGTCTCCTCAGTCATGTCGACGAATGTATACACTTGACTTGAGCCCTGTACCACAATCTCAAATAGACAACAGAATTAGGGGTCTAAAAAACTCCCAAAGCCCAAGATGTTTATCAAAACAGTAGGAATCACTCTCATCCATAACAATATCGTAAATGAGTCACTGAGCTCAGGTAAATTTCCACACTTTTGTAAAATCTCAGCAGTGTACGCAAACAAGCAACTACAGCGCCATCGGCACACCGCCTGCTGTTTCAAAGATACTCAAAAAGTGTGTTACACATCTGACCTGTCGTCCATTTCATCTGCACCAAATGTATTTTGTCTTTAGGAAAAATGACTCCAAAAGCTGAATCTGAAAATCGATAAAGGAGGTATTGTCGAAGCTGTTGTCCTGGACCATTGACACTGTCAATTCCCAAAATGTTAGATTTTTTTCTTTAACCTTTTGACACACACTCTAATACTGGCTGGAAACAGATTCACCATCAGAAAAAACAACCTGGGACTACCTGAAGGTTCGTACCCACTATTCAGCCTGTGACCCGAAAGCTGCTAACCCAACGTACTGTGTGTCTGCGTGTCTGTGTGTCTGCGTGCCTGCGTGCGTGTGTGTGTGTGTGTGTGTGTGTCTGCATGTGTGTGTGTGTCCGTGTCTGTGTGCGTGCGTGTGTGCGCGCGTGCGTGCGTGTGTGTGTGTGTGTGTGTGTGTGTGTGTGTGTGTGTGTGTATTCACTGTTATGCGTTTTGTTGGAGGGTATTATATATAGGGTTCTGATTGTTTTTCATTTGTAGTATGTGTCTGAATGGATGGGAGGGGATTGGATTAAATATTTTTGATTCGACCAATCCTTTTTCAAACCATGCACAGGTTTTCTTGTTTTCTAAATAACTGTCGGTTTCTTGCGCATGTTTGAAATAAATAAACAAATGGAAAAATATGAATGACAAACCACTGAAGACAGTGAAAATGCAGTTGTACTCACAAATGGAACACCAACTTAACAACTTTAAGTTCTTAGGAGTCACTCTTGACTCACAACTTAACTTTAAACAGCAGCGAAGAGGGTCACCAACAAAGTGAAATTTAGCCTCTCAAACTTCAGACACATAAGAGACGACCTGACGTTGGAGGCGCCAGACTTTACTTCAAGGATTGTCTCTTCTATGACATGACATCGGCGGCTGCAGGTATCAGAATCAATCATTTTTATTGCCATGTAACTAACAGGAAGTCACAGACTAGGAAATTGCTTTGTCTCTCGGTGCAAGCAAAGTCAAAAGTACAAAAGAATAATAAAAAGCATTATAAAACATTTCTAAACATCTAAAGTGGCTTTATAAAGGGCAGTAAAGTGGCTTTATAAAGGGCAGTAAAGTGACTTTAAAAAGGGCAGTAAAGTGACTTTATAAAGGGCAGTAAAGTGGCTTTATAAAGGGCAGTAAAGTGACTTTAAAAAGGGCAGTAAAGTGACTTTATAAAGGGCAGTAAAGCGACTTTAAAAAGGGCAGTAAAGTGACTTTATAGAGGACAGTAAAGTGGCTTTATAAAGGGCAGTAAAGTGACTTTAAAGAGGGCAGTAAAGTGACTTTATAAAGGGCAGTAAAGTGGCTTTATAAAGGGCAGTAAAGTGACTTTAAAAAGGGCAGTAAAGTGACTTTATAGAGGACAGTAAAGTGGCTTTATAAAGGGCAGTAAAGTGACTTTATAAAGGGCAGTAAAGTGGCTTTATAAAGGGCAGTAAAGTGACTTTAAAAAGGGCATATTTACAAGATCCTACATCCTCGTGCACTTGTCCCACTGCAGAATTCTGTTTAGAAAAATCTAAACCGAATTACAAGAGTTCTTGGGGTGACTATTATTCCCCCGAGATTATTATTCTCTGTCACACCTCACAGACCTGGAACAAAATCCCAAACTCTGTACCTGAGCTGTCAACACTCAACTCTTTCACCAACTGAAGTCATGGCTCCGGGTTCTAAGCTGCCAACACAGCTGACCAGTGAATGGACATATGCAATGGACATGTGCAATGGACATGTGCAATAGACATGTGCAATAGACATGTGCAATAGACATGTGCAATGGACATGTGCAATAGACATGTGCAATAGACATGTGCAATAGACATGTGCAATGGACATGTGCAATGGACATGTGCAATAGACATGTGCAATGGACATGTGCAATAGACATGTGCAATGGACATGTGCAATAGACATGTGCAATGGACATGTGCAATAGACATGTGCAATGGACGTGTGCAATAGACATGTGCAATGGACGCGTGCAATAGACTTGTGCAATAGACGTGCAATGGACATGTGCAATAGACATGTGCAATGGACGTGTGCAATAGACATGTGCAATGGACGTGTGCCATAGACCTATGCAATAGACATGTGCAATAGACATGTGCAATGGACATGTGCAATGGACGTGTGCAATAGACATGTGCAATAGACATGTGCAATGGACATATGCAATAGACATGTGCAATAGACATGTGCAATGGACATGTGCAATGGACGTGTGCAATAGACATGTGCAATGGAAATGTTCATCCATTTCACAGATGTGCGCTTCTCTCACCAAGACGCAATCTAGAGCTCATACTTTCCAAGGAAACAGACTTCATTTAGAAGGACACTACACTGCTGCACTCTACGCTACGCTACTCTACACTACTCTACTCTACTCTACACTACGCTACTCTACACTACTCTACTCTACTCTACACTACGCTACTCTACACTACTCTACTCTACTCTACACTACTCTACACTGCTCTACTCTACTCTACTCTACACTACTCTACTCTACTCTACACTACGCTGCTCTACTCTACACTACTCTACACTACACTACTCTACACTACTCGAGGGTAGAGTATTGTAGTGTAGAGTAGGAAAAGAGACCATAGTTACACAAGCCTTTGCAGAATGACCTTTTTAACTATGATTCAGTCTGAGTGTATGAGGCTTGGGGTCATGTGGCTGGAGACTATAAGTTTCATTGTCAACACAAATAAACTCTTGCTAACACACACAAACACACACACACACACACACACACACATACACACACACACACACACACACACACACACACACACACACACACATACACACACACACCCACACCCACACACACACACACACACAAAGCACAGACTAAACATGGCCACATTAGTTCTATATTTACACCAATCAAATGAGGCGAAACACACGCTCCACTTCCTGCGTCCCACATTTCTGAGGCAGCAGATTACTCTGAGAAGGTTGTGAATATTCTGATGTGAAAGATGTTGTAATTCTGGGATTAAACATATGACGGCAGGATGTCTGAGGTCGTTCTCTGACCTACATTTGGTTTGTACCAAGTTGTCTGTGGTAATTACACACCAATATCATTGTTTATATACAGTGCATTAGTGTTCAGGTGGTATCCTCTTTGTATAATTATTATTATTATTAGCATTATTATTGTTATTGTTTGAATGTTTTACTTCAACTTTCACACACATGCAGGCACATTGTAAATTCCGGACATTGTTGCTTTTTTTCTAGTTCTTTGAACCTTGCGGTTTATAGAGACGTTGAAAATGTTTTATAACATAGTTCCATCTAAGTTTAGTTTGAAAATTAGGTACACCAGCTTTAAGCCCTGCAAGAAGCTTTTAAGACATGGAAAATATACAGATATATTTAGACGGTTTTCTTTGCGGCGGAATTACAAATCTGAGTGTGAACAGGTGCCAGGCGCAGACACCCACACTGTCTCCACACTCCTCCAGTCTGAAAATAACATTCTGTCAACATTCAGAGGAAAACCATCAGAAGAATTCATCTAAACGTGCACTGTCTTTATAGAGATTATCTTGTGCTATGTGCTCCTCATTCCTACTGTAACTGGTGATGCAACACTGACATTTCCCTGAGGGACGAAAAAAGAATCCCGTCATCTTAATTACAAGACTCTTGCTGGATAAACAATTTACAGGCATCTTTAAATGTAACTTCCTCTAGAGAGAGAAAGTAGAAGACCTCCATAGGACCAGGAGCGCGCACACGCGTACACACGCATGTGCACGCACACGCGTACACACGCATGCGCATGCACACACGCACACACGCGCTTTACAATTGATGGTAATTTCCTTTCACTCCACACAATGGCTCCAAACACACTGTTGCCTCCAACCATCACCATCAATCACACACTCATTACATTCAGAAACATTGAACCTGTTTTTTCGTAACAGGGCAAACCGGAGCACCCGGAGGAAACCAGAGCAGACACAGAGATAATATGCAAATTCCACTCAGAAAGGCCATGTCTGGATCGAACCCAGGACCTTCTTCTTGCTGTGAAGCTAAACCGTAATATGTATTGGAAATATGAGCAACACATTCCTTGGCACATTTGAATTATCAAGCATAATATTAATTATCAAAGAAACGTGTGATACAACACACACAAACACACACGGGAGATACACGCACGCAAACGCACACACACCTGCACATAGTTGGTTTCGCAGTAGTCCGCCACGCGCTCCAGGTTGGTGAAGCTGTCCAGCAGAGCCCGGCGCCCCGCGGGGATCTCCTCCTCCAGCAGCATCTGTAACTCCGCCATGGTCCCTTTGGGTCTGGGTTTGGGTCTTGGGTCTGTCTCTGACTCTGTCTCTGTGTGTTTAGCTCATGTTTCTGGGTCTGGGTCTAGGTCTTGGTCTGGGAGGCAGGCGTGTGTGATGGACCGGAGCGCGGGTCAAGCCTCTGATGTGACTGTGCGTCTGAGCGCGTGCGTCAGCGTCATCTGCTCCGTCACCACTGATGATGTTAAAATTGGCTGCTGTTATGTTCGGCAGTGCAATAGAACGCTAAAGAAGAATTATTGAAAAAGAAAATGTCCAAATGTTTTCCCAGATCATTATTGTTTGGAACCATGCCTCCGGGTCTGCACCCTGGGGCATGTCTCACCGAGAAGGGACCAGGGGAAGACCCAGGACAGAGTGTCTCTCAGCTGGGAACACCTCGGGAGATGAGCTGGAGGAAGTGTCTCAGGATCTCCGCTCAGAGAAAATGAATGGATGTTTAGATGCAGATGATCAGAATCAGAATTCTTTAGACTGCAAAGTGGAAATATGTATAAGGCATATATAAATGCTATAAAATCTATACACGTGCACTAAGTTCACACAATAGACCTTTATGAACCTTATGCTAGTAAATTATAGTTATTTGAAATTACTTAACAGTTCATAATTAAATATATTTACTAAATTTAATGGGCTGAAAAAAATCTTTATTTCTGAAAAAACAGCATAGAACAAATATAGAACCGTAAACATATCAACACTCATTGTTAATGAGGGACGATATTGACCCATGATCGAGGCCTTTTCCTCCAGCTGCAGTGATGGAGCTGTTTCACTTCAGAAACCAAAAAACAGTTTGAGTGAAGCTTCTCCTTCACAGCAGCACCACCGTGTGGCCAGTCACTGTAATCACATCACAAACCACCAACAGTGGTGATCAACATTCTCTGCTCCTGAACCATGGACCCACTCCAGAATAACTCAGTTTAAAGTCAGACACTTTGGATGAAAATAATGCAATTATGCTGCTTCGGTACTTTTGATAATATGATTTTCTGATTTCCCACTTCTCCACCGACTCCCACTGATGACTGCTGTCGTTGTGTCCTTAGGCAAGACACTTAACCCCACTTTGCCCAAAGCCCCCGCTGAAAGATCAAGGCTATGCTCACACTCAGAGAGCAGCCGTCCTCCTGTGGACTCATCACCTGCAGAGGGTCAGTGAGGGGCTGGTGCTATGAGACTTGGGTGGCATCTCTGATTGCCACCCCCCTGACCCAGATATGGATTAAAGGGTAGAAAATGGATGGATGGATGGATGGATTTTCTGAGTATCTTATTAACAACATTCTAAAGCTAGCGTGCACAGCAACAGCTGCTTCCTGCAGAGAGTGAAAACAAACCTGTTATTATCACTGCTTCTGGTGAGTCACAGATCACATGCTTTAAAGACAATAATCTGAGGATCTGTTCAAAGATAAATGCAGCATCTGCAGCACAATGTTCTGACACATTTTGGATGTTTTAAAACATTTTGAAGAAGGTCAAAGCTGAAATGAAGCTGAAGCACAGATTCAGACTGAAAGACCGGCCCCGGCTCTCACCTGTCCAGGGCCTGTCAATCACACAGCGCGGGCAGCCCCTTGACAACTCACTGACAGCAAAGCGGGCAGTTTAAAAGCAGCCACTCCCCGATAATCAGCGCTTCCTGAAGCTCTTAACACCCACCACCTCCCCAGCGCCTCCTCGGCTCCTGGTTCCATACTTGGGTTTCCGCTCTGGCTCCTGCCCTGGTTCCTGCTCTGGCTCCCGCTCTGGCTCCTGCTCTGGCTCCTGACCTCATGTCTCCTGCTCTGGCTCCTGCCCTGGCTCCTGCTCCGCCACGCCCCATTCACACATGCTTCTAGCCACCACCAGTGCTTGACCCCGGGGGGCCTTAGATCATCTACAGCAGCAGACGATCTCCCCTCTGCAAGTGTCACTGCGTCAATGCGCCAATCCAATAAATCTTTTTCATGCATTAATGTTTCTGTCTTGGTCTCTTCAGATTGAATTCATCATTAATGCTGGAGCTGGTTCTTTTCCACTTGAATGTTTTGGTTTATCTCAGAGGCAGAAGCTGCTGGTGCCGTGGCAGTGTCTCCATCTCTCCATGCTTTGAAATCACCTGCAGTCTATTAAATCTTGTTCATGTCTCGTCTCTACCATCGGCAATAAAACATGTCTTCTGTCTGCAACACGACCCCTTGTCATTTTCTTCAAAACTCTGTGGAACGATCTGTCAAACTGGAACTGGGAGCTGATGGTTTTAATGGTTTAGCCACAAGATAAAAGTACATGTTAACAACATTGATCCTTCACAGAGAGGAGGAGCCTCTGCTGCTCCACTGTTGTAGCAGATATTAAAGCACTAATTTAATAATACGATACCAGCAGATTGCAGACCACTGTCTGTTTCGCCTCTAACCACGTTCCAACACAGTACCTAATACAGGACTAAATATGTGCGGCCATGGCATGTTATACCTGTTTATACTCAGCTATATTTCTCAGGAAAACAACCTTTTTGTTGCTTTATTCATTAAAAAAAAAAAAAAATACATTCACACCTTTACTTTTCCAGTGTTGTCCAATCATATCAATACTATGATAATAACTATAAACAATCTGTTTGAGGAATAGAATAGCCACGCCCATCTTCAATAAAACCGTCCTAATGAAGGTGAACACTTTTAGTCACTTTGCAAAAGAAGGCTATTAGGATTGTATCAAATGTTCACTATAGATATCATTCACACCCATTATTTTTAGACTTGGGACAACTCAAACTTCTTGACTTGATTCAATTTAAAACTGCTCAAATAATGTTTAGGGCATCGCAAAACTCCCTCCCACAGAGTTTGCAAACACTATTCCATGATAGAGATGCTCACCATCAGTATCAACTAAGAGGAAACAAACAACTATACTTACCTAAATTTAGAACGACTTTAAAATCAATGTGTATCTCCGTGTGTGGAGTTACTCTGTGGAACAGTCTATCTGATGAAATTAAAACGTGTCCAAACCTGATTCAATTTAAAAGAGTTTATAAAAAAGAAATAATGAAGAAGTACAAGGAGGAAAGAGATTGATGCCCCCAGCACTGAGCAGTTGGAGGAGAGAGGTGTATGGTCAGGGAGGGAGGGTTTGGGCCTGTGTGTGTGAGTGTGTGTGAGTGTGAGTGAGTTGTCTTGTCCCATACCATTGGTGGTAGATGTTGTGTTGTTCTTACTGTATGTACTACTGTACAGTAAACATTTGTATTATGTGTTTTTACCCAGCATGGTATTGTTTCCGTCTTATTGATTGATTGTCCTGTGAGTCTGGGTGAGGGGGGTTGGATTAATATAAGCATTTTGCTTCCTCCAACCCCTTTTTCAATCCCTGTACGTATTTTTGCTTTTGTTTTGTTTTCTGTAAATTTATGTGTGCAGGTTTTGAAATAAATATTTCATTCATTCATTCATTCAACAACATACAGTGACGCTAATGACACACGCCGAACAGAAGCTCATGTTCTCAGAGGAAGAAAGCTCACTGCCATGTTCCTCAACAGCATTAAGGCTTTACATTTATTCATTTCATTTCATTTCATCTTTAATTCAGACACACAAAGATAGCATGAAACACAAAAACAAAAACAGACAATAAAAATACAGACAAAAACAAACAAACACACAATATTTACAGAATTCTGTAAAGACAGTTTCTCCAATGGCTCCAGAGTTCAGAAGCCAAACACTGCTCTGTACATGAGAAGTAAAAACATTCATAATCTCATTTTATGAATTTAAAGATAACATTTCAGAGCCTCAGAGTGGGAACATTATTTATAACAGAGCTGGCACTGGTCCAGCGAGGGACTCTCAGACTGACTGCATCACTGTATTTATAATACCTGTTCTTACTACACCTGCACCACAGGGGGCAGTACAGAGCGGCCTTTTTGCACCACAAGGGGGAAGTACAGAGCGGTCTTACTGCACCTGCACCACACTTTCAAAGCACACTACTGTAATACAAATCTATATACAGTAACTAGTTTTCACACGTGTTTCTGGCCACGAGCCCATCTTTAGACATGTTTTCTAACAACATGAAAAGTGTATGCTGTGTTTTGATTTCAAATCAAACAGCTCTGTACTACCACAGGGGGCAACACAGAGCTGTGTGTTTGCCTGTCCATACAGCTGACAGTTCTGCTCATCCTTTCTGGTCCAGTGTTGCAGAAAACGCTCTTATAAAAGGATTTCTAGTACTTTTGAAAGCACACTGACAAGTGCCATTGGTCTGTATTTTTCCTTCTTTTCCTGTTGTATCCTTGATTGCCATGCATTAACGTACTGTACCAGTAAAACATGTGAAAAGTAGACTTATACAGACTTTAATTATAGTAGTGTGCTTTGAAAGTTAGGTACCCCAGCTTTACCTGAACTTGTATGAATACATTTCATTATTTACATATAAACATTTAAGTTTTGAACATCTACAGCAGAAGTTTTGGAGCAGCTTCAGATGCAGTGAACTCCAGGTCTGTACCCTTTAGGCCGGGACGTCCTGGTTTTCCTCTGTCCCTCGTGGATAACCGTCTACCTCCATCGTCACCAGGAAGTCTGCAAACAAAAGAACGTTTGGTTCATGATGGACAGAAGTTCAGGAATGTGAGAGGTTTCAGTTTAAACAGAAGTGTCTTCTATATAATGAACTGTCGTACAATGTGGCACAATGTCAAACGGTGAAACCATAACCCTCTCTCTGTCTCTGATGTGGCTCTGATGTGTCTCTGATGTGTCTCTGATGTGTCTCTGATGTGGCTCTGATGTGTTTCTGATGTGTCTCTGATGTGTCTCTGATGTGTCTCTGATGTGTCTCTGATGTGTCTCTGATGTGGCTCTGATGTGTGCAGTTTAACACAGTAATTGTAAAACATGTTATGCTTATTTGACCAAATATAACTCACAAATTGTAGTTTATAATTGTAGTATTAAAAAGATTCAGCTTGAAAAGGATTGGGAAAAAATATTGTGTAAACCATCTCTCAACTTCCCACATGCCCCATAGTTTGGGAACTCACACTCAGGACGTGACGCTAACATCATAATGACAGGTTTGTGAAGTTTGTGCTCAGAGCCTTTACCCTCAGTGTAGTCTATGTCTGGCCGGGTGGAGACCACAGCCCAGGCCAGTCCCACCAACAGCGCCACCACCAGGTTCACTACCACCCAGGGCCTGAGGATCTGCTGCTCTGAACCCGGAACCCTGAAAACACAACATCAGGACACGCTGTAGGAGAGCTCAGTAAAACCAGAGGGACTGGATTGGATTAGTGTAACCCGCACCTCGATACAGAATGTTTTTAATTCCTCTCAGTGCTCATAACTCTGTGGCCGATCTGTTCAAACTAATTATTATGTTTATTATGGAGCATGAGATGTTGATCATTGTCAGAGCTATGTCCGCTCTCTCAAGCCTGAACCAGCGGAACTTCAGCTCTGACTGCACACGCTAATCCGTCTGTCAATCTCTACTCCATCCTCTTTCACTGTAAACAAGACACTGCTTATGGAGCCCTCTGCTGGAGAAGTATGGTAACAGCATTATTCTCTTCCACTTTCTTCACCCGCTGTCCCATTGTCTGTTTCATGTTGATGATTCGACCTGTAACGTCGGTTTAGACTGCCTCACTCTCCTACGATGTAATGCAAACCTGTGCATGCGCGTCTCATGTGGAACTTTTATCTGTGATCTAATTGAAGGCGATTGCAAAGAAAGTTGTTTTCCTGCAGATATAAAACTGTCCACAGTGTCAAAGTCTGAGGAGTCGTCATACTTATAAAATAAAGTTAGATACAATAATGTTTTTTTAGTCAGTCAGTAACAGAATAGTGGTTTTGAGTCAGAGCTCTCACCACAGAGTAGTGTTGGCCGTAGGATACAGGTTTATGCGATCGCTGGTCATTTGTTGAGACAGGGACAGAATCAGAGCCACAAAGTACACTGGAAAAAAAACACAAGGAGACCTGAGAACTGTTATTCATAAACTATATCTAATCTGACAGAGATCAAGTTGTTTTTGTAAAGACTAATGTGCCAAACTATCAGTCTCTAAATACTGTACTGGACTTATTTAAATCCATTTATTCTCTGGTCTTCCACTGTGGATAAAACTATGTTACAAGCGAGTGACGTAGGCTGTTGTTTTCCCTGCAGCCGTTGTGATTGGATTAGCTCAACATCAGCCGGAATCAGAACCTCAGTTTAAGGCTTTTTGTTTCTTCTATACCAGACAATTGTAAGAGAGCGATGTTATGACCTTGTCTGGTCTAGAAGAACAAAATAACTTTATTCTACTAAGAGAACAAGATGTTCCTTCCTAAACTAGAACCTCGGCCATGTAGCGAGGGTAGATGCCACCTCTTGAGCTAGAGTTTCCCCTGCTAATGAAGGCATCTGATCACAATATTAACAACAGGATCTCAGAGAGCGACAGATCTTTTAGCTCAAAATGGTGAGTGTGACAAAAACGATTACAGAGCTAGAGGAATCTAGATTTAAAAGTAAGTCAATAGGAGCCAGAACGAGTTGGAGCAAAACCTAGTCCATGAGCACTTCCCTCTAATGGAGCCAGCAGATTAGCATTGTCCATCTATACCATATATGCCAAACCGCTCCTCAAAGGGCTGGTGTAGCTTCAGGTTTTAGTTCCAATGAGCAGGAGTACAGCAGACTACCCATTTCCTCACGTGAGTCCAGTTTTAAAAGGTATGTGTGATCAACATGGCCCCTCCTGCAGGAAAATGGTGAAAAAAACAAAAACAAAAACACATTTGTGCATGTTAGATTGATCCAGTCTGACAAATGGCTGAAAAAACGCGTCCATTGAAAAGTCCACTGTGACTAAAAAAAAAAAACAATCCTCCATCCATTGACAAATGATTGTAGCGTTGAGCCAAGAACCGACTTTTGGACCAACCTGTAAAGCTGTTTTTGAAAGGAAAAAAGGCGCCATGAGAATGCATTGGATAATTCTGTTTCCGGGCACTGGAGTTAACCTGAAGACCTGTGGAAATGGGTGGGGTCTGGTGTGTTCCTGTTCTGGCTAAAACCTGCAGCAACACTGGCCTTTCTGGAACCGGTTTGACAGCCCTGATCTATACAGTCTCGGATATAAAGTGACCTCCACAGAGATGGTTCCATCGGTTCACAAGTAGTCACTTACAGAAAGAGGCCAGAGCTGCAGGGTCCAGCGTCAGAAATCCTCTCAGAGCCATCGAGGCTTTGGCCAAATTTACCCTGTGACAAACACACGTCAGAAACTCAAATTACTGCTGCATTGGTGTGAGAAAATGTAGTGTTGTGTCACAGTTATCATGGCCCAAATGATCTCATAAAGAAGTTATATGAAAGTGAAAATGTAGATTCAATGGATACTTGAATACTTGATACTTGCAGGTGACACATTATTGTCTATTCTGGCTTTTTCATGTTTGTGAAATGACTTGTCATCTGGAAGTAGACTTTTTTTTCCCCACTGGGTTTGTAGAGTTGTTCCTCTGATGCAGTAGGATCTAACGACAGCGAAGGTCCAGGGCACTCAACGCATCAGCCCCCAATCCATTCACTCTCTCATTTACATTCATACCTGTTTTACATGTTTTTAGTGGTAGGGAAAACCGGAGCACCCGGAGGAAACCTACGCAGACACGGAGAGAACATGCAGACTCCACTCAGAAAGGCCCTGTTCCGACCGGGATTCGAACCCGGTCGGAAAAGGGTGTGTGTGTGTGTGTGTGTGTGTGTGTGTGCAGCAAGTGGCTATGCTAAATACAGGACATGTACTCATTCACCACACACATTATTGAGATGTGGGCTAAATATCAGAAGTTAAATTTCGCCCCTAGAGTCAAGTAAGACACACTGAGACATAATGGTTGGATTTTAAAGCTGCCATATTACACTTTTTGGCTTTTCTCTGCTGTAAACATCATAACAGTGCTACTTGGCCTTCATATACATGCCCAGAGTAGTTTTTTCACTACTGAGCTCGCCATCCGCAACCCCCAGGCCAGCTCTGCAGTGTGAGTGAAGCACACACACACGCTTTCCTTGCGGCCGATGGATCAACAGCAGCTCCTGCAGCTCCTTTTTCCTCAAAACTAATTTCTACCAGCAACCACACCGTCTGTCAATATGGTTATTAACGGTAGCATAAATAAAAAAATGTATATGCTACCGGTTGAATCCCGGTTGGAACAGGGCCTTTATACCCAGGTTACATATTTGTGTGTGTATGTGTGTGTATGAGGTTGTGTACCTGTCAAAGGCTGACACAGTGCTCAGGGCCAGCAGGAGGTAGAGCAGGGACTGAGCAGGATAAGCCAGAGCGTGGTACTGCTGCAGCAGGTTTGGCAGCGTGGTCATCTGCTCTCCAGCCAGAACATACACCACGATGATGTTCCACACAGAGAAGCCCGCCAGGAACCCGTTTGAAAAGAGACCCACCACTCTGAGCAAAGGCAGAGTCTGATGAGCAAGAGAGGCCTGAGGAGACCCGAGAGGCACCAGAGGAGGCCAGAGGAGACCAGACGAGACCAGAGGAGACTAGACGAGGCCAGAGGAGACCAGAGCAGAACAGAGGAGACCAGACGAGGCCAGACGAGGCCAAACAAGATCAGAAGAGACCAGACAAGGCCAGAGGAGACCAGAGGAGACCAGAGGAGACCAGGCAAGGCTAGAGGAGACCAGAGCATACCAGAGGAGACCAGAGGAGGCCAAAGGAGACTAGAGGAAAGGAGAGACGGCCAAAGGTGACCAGAGGAGGCCAGAGGAGATCAAAGGAGACCAGAGGAGGACACAAGAGAGTGAAAGCAGTGGTGTTTTTACGAGGATCACTCTGGACCAACATTGTCCAGAGTCCGATAACATCTTCATTCTCATTCAGGCTGTTTTGAGCTTAAAAATGAGGAATGACGCATCTATGTTGGTTCACATTTGACAGAGCTGAAGTTGGCAGAATGACAAATGTTTACTCCTCAGATAATTAGCGCTGTACAATCGCAAACAAATGTCTCAATGAGGTGTAACGCTAGTGGAGCTGAAGTTGGCTGGATGACTCCATGACTACAACCAAGGCAAAGGGCCAAATAAAAGTTAATGCTGGGCCGAGTTTGTGCAAGAATCCCTCAATGGGTGAACAATGAGGGAAAAGATGAAGAGATATTTTCTTCGTCCCACAGAGGGTTAAATGTCAGTGTTGCATCACCAGTTACAGAACAGTAGGAATGAGAACTGAGAAAACTACCAGAACATGAAATGCTTTGGTTGTTCTTGTACCTGAAGCCACTGTGGACTCTCAGGGCCACGTCCCTGGTGCTCCAGGCGGCTCGCGGGTCCAGGTAGTCCTCCATCAGGTCCGAGTGTCTCTGCTGCTCAGACTGGAACCGCCCTGAACCACAGCCACATGAGTCATGGCAAAACAAGGAGTATTTGGATGGAAGGGGTGGGGGGATGTGTTTGAACATGAGCGCACACTAGTGTATTTGCTCTAGAGTAATGATTAGGCGGTACTGACGGTGGCGCTCCACAAACACCCTCCCGGAGGCTTGGTTGTAGGTTTGGGCTGCGGAGAGCACAGGTGATAAGCGAGTGTCCACCTCCCCCTCTGGTAGAAGCTCAGTACTGCAACTGTCTGTGGTGCGAGCTTTCCTGAAAACAAAGCAATTCCATTTATTTTTGTATAGCCCTAAATCACAACAGTTATTATCTCAGAGGACTTTAGAAGCTTGCTGATTCACCAACACAAATCAGAAAATCAAACCGTTCAAAAAAACACATAGGCCAATGTCCATAAATGTTGTTGAATATGTTTTTTTTTTACTCTGGGTGTAGGCCTGCTGCACTAACTTATATTGTTAGTGTCTCAGGTCAAGTCCAGAATTGGAGTTTTTGTGGACCAAGGGGTATTGTCCTTTTACAGCGTCTCTAAAAATATGAGGCTGATCCACAGGGAACAGACCACCTTCACGCTGGGGTCTGGTTTCGTTACAATAGTGGAGCACATTTCCCTAAACTCAATAACTCAAATGTTCTTGACAGTCTGGATGTAATGTGTGCTGATTAAATAAATATTTACACAGTGAAATGTGAGGATTGCTAGTGAAGGGACAAATACCAATAGAACTCAAAGACAATGCACGTCCCTCTTTTGTTTGCTGAATTGGCAACGTTTATTCAATATGTTTTGACCAACTCCTCCATCCATATTTTGTGCTTGAAGAGAGATTGTTCCCAACTTCTATGGAGTTATAATCATGACTAACACCTGCCTTAAAACTGACAATACAGACTTTTACTGGGAAACATGTGACATCATCTACAGTTTCCTCCAGTTTAAAGAAGCTATACCCGATTTATTTTCTAATGAGTTCCTAAAAATGCTTATTACTACATACAAGTTGTATTATAATCCATAATTTAATTGAAAACTGGGGCTCATTGATTCAGCTGTGTATGAATTCAGGACGTTTAAAACTGCTGAGTAGAGACTTAACGTGACGCTGGCTCTCCTCCGAACGGGCGGTCGGCAATAGATCATATATGGAATCGGGACAAAACCGGAAGTAACAATCCTACTTTTGAATTAGTTTTAGACTAATAAGTCCTTAAGTGGTGACTGGTTAAGTTTTAGGCGTCTGAGTAAGATGGTTAGGGTCACAGGTCTGTCCAAACAGGCTGTAAAACAGCTGCAGTACATAAAAAATGCAGCAGCTCGAGTCCTGACAAGAACCAGGAAGTACGACCACATTAGTCCAGTCCTCAGGTCTCTGCACTGGCTTCCTGTGGCTCAGAGAATAGACTTTAAAACAGCTCTGCTTGTGTACAAGTCTCTCCATGGCCTCGCACCAAACTATATTAGTGACATGTTAGTCCCATATGAACCAGCCCGGACTCTGAGGAGCACAGGGACTGGACTCCTGTTAGTGCCCAGAGTCAGAACTAAACATGGGGAGGCTGTTTTTCAGATTCATGCTGCTAAAATCTGGAACAATCTTCCTGAAGATGTGAGACAGGCCTCCTCGCTGACAATGTTTAAAACCAGGTTAAAGACGGTTCTGTTTAGCTGTGCATACAACTGAGGGATTTTATATTTTTATCTTTCTTTTTAATGTTCTGGGATTATTTATGATTTTAATGCTTTCTTATTTTGTTCAGCACTTTGAATGAATTGTGCTATATAAATAAACTTGCCTTGCCCTTGCCTTGCCTTAAGGGTGGGTTGGGGTTATTTTATGGGAATGGCTGGTTAAGTTTAGGCATGAATTGGAAGTTTGTTGTATTTACTTCCGCTTCCGTCCCTATTCCGTATATGATCTAGTGCTGACCGCAAACAGGCTGCCTCCTCTAGCCTCTACAGCGCTGCTAAACACAGTAGCATGTTAGCATACGTGGCTATAACTCCTCTTGCTGTAACTGCAGACACAGCAAAACAGCCCAAACCACACAACAGTGAGGAAGAGAAGTGGGAACTAAAGCAAAAAAAATATCAAAGCAGAAATCCAGCCCAGGTGAACATAGCTAGCTTACATCGTATCCTCTGGAGATACCTAGTCTATGGGAGAGCCTTGCAGGACCGCCTCGGACTATCTATGCTCGGACTACATTCAGACGCAAAACTACCGGTAATCTTTCAGTTATATATTGTGTTAGCAGTGCGTTGCTTTTGTACCATTTCATCAGTGATTGTTGTACAGCTTACAAGAAGTTGCGCTAATGCTAATGTTAGTATATGTATCAGATCGCAAATAAAACTGTATGTGGCTCTCTGCTGTGGTCAGTTCCTTATTTCATCCAACACCACCGGACATACTGTGTTTTGGTTCTGTCCCTCTAGATTTCTCATGTGAGGAGTTTACACCAACTGTATAAATGTCTGATTCAAAACGAAGGTCATTTATTAAAACCATACCTTTTGAAATAACAAACTCATAAATCTGTTTCTTTATATGTGTTTGTCTCTGTATGGTTTAATTTGTCTGATGATTGTGAAGTGTTATATGTGTACCAGGAAAAAAATGTGTCAGAATATGTGACAAAGCCATATTGAGAATCTGTGGGCACCTCTTGCGTTTGGTCCTCTTGGTCACCGGGACAGACTCCTCCTCGGTCTGTTCTGCCATCTCTCCATTCGGAACGTCAGGCTCTGTCTCCAGATCTGAAACATTTACACCATATTTATATTCCGTCCATTAAAACACAATAAAGGCTCAGATCTGGGCCTTTACAGCAACAATTTTATACTGCGGGAGTCGACGTCAGCACTCGGCCCTACAGCCCGGTGTTTTTCAACCCGTGGACCGCGGCATGATGCAGTGAGTCTACTTGGTGCTTTTGTAAACTATCAACTACCCACTAAACATCCGACGTCCACTCAACCTCCAGATCACGTCAATATCGCGTCGGTCGGTCGTGACCTTTTATTTACGTCCAAACGACGTCTGTGCAAGGTGCGCATCTGGACGTAAAACAATGACCTCCCATAAACGTGGATATGACGTTCAATCCCGACCTCCCTTAGACGTCGAAAACAGGTCATCGGCTGACCGACGCAGTACGTCTTGATCTAGCAATAGAATATATAGGCTGTGAAGTGACCTCAGTGTACCTGACGGTAGTGTAGTGGTTAAGCAAATGTGTGCAGCCTTGGTTACGTGAGTTCGAGCCCACGTGTGTGTATTATTATCTTTACATATTTGTGTTGATTTTTAACGAACAATTTTTTTCTGTTTGGTTAAAGACTAATAAACACTCAACATAGGATTACGTAGTGGCTAATAATAAAACTTGTGAATGTATGCATTTGTTGTGCTAACAATCTCAAGTTTGCAAATAAGGGGTGAGCACTTGAGATTGTATGCAAATGCATGGGTTCACAAGTTTTATTATTAGCCACTACATAATCTTATGTTGAGTGTTTATTCGTTTTTAACCAAACATAAAAATTGTTCGCTAAAAAGTAAAAAGTCAAAAGTTTTCCGACGGGGATTTGAACCTGCGTCGTTGGAACTGAAGTCTCATTACGCAACCGCTACACCACGGCCAGGCATTTATCCAGACTACTGTGACAAAATAATACATAACACCCTAAACAACCGACGCACACTTATGCGCCGCGCGAGTATAACGGCTTTACAGCCTGACACGTGAGTCGCTCGGTCGAGGACCTGTTTTCCACGTCTAAACGACGTAAGGTGTGCATCTGGACGTAAAGCAATGCCTTCCCAGACGTTGATATGACGTTGAATCTGTACCTCTGTCGCTGCCCTGCTTTATTTACTTGGAATCACCCTCTCTAGTAAGTACACAGTCTGCACAGTTTTTAGATATAGATGTATCATTTCCACATTGAAAAGAGTTGGAGACAGAAAGTAAGTTGTTTTCTCACGTATACGTGGATTTTGTTAAGTATATTTTGTATATTATCTGTATTTTGAATTGCCAGTGCATGAATCTATTGAGAGTGAGGAGCTGACGTCATAGCACAGAGCCCCTCCCCGTCTCCGCCATGTTGGTAGGATCCCAGCGGCAAACACTTGTTGTTGTTAACTCGGTAGCAAAGGAGGTCGTCGCTATTTCTGTTTTCCATGCCTGGAGCTCATTGCTGTGTGAAAAACTGCTCCAGTACCTCACACAATAAGAAAGGAAAACGTAGGAACAACGGTTTACAATTTTTTAGGCCACCAAAATGGATACAACATCAGGGAGCGCAGGTGTCTGACCTGACGAAGAGATGCCGATGGCTTGGTTGGCTGCAATAAGAAGAAAGGACCTTACTTTCGATCTCACCCCCCAGTCGATGAGAGTGTGTTCTCTGCATTTTCACTCGGGTACGTCCTAAAATGTCTTTATGTTGTTTTTTTAAAGTTAAGAAGTGTAGGTTACCTAGCTGTTAATGTTGCAAACACTGAAGTGCATCTTAAGTTAGCTGCCTAGCTAACTATCTAACAAACTGTTGCCTCTATGAAAATGCTTAATGGCCAACCATTAATGTTAACTAAGAATATTTAAGTTTCTGCTCATTATCCTACCTTGTTGGTGGAATATGGGCACTCAAAGTGCGTTTGTCTCTTATGTTCTCTAAACCAGTGGTGCCCAAACTTTTTTTTTGTCTTGTGTTTCCACTACCCCCTGAGCCCTTTTATGAAACCATGAATAGCGTTACCTTCTTGTTTAATATTTCTTTAGATTCCAGATTGTTTAATAATCTTATTAATCTGATGTAAGTAAACCATTATATGAGATTGCTAAAAATAGTTGAGATTCTGTTCATGACATTATGCTACCTTGTTGCCAGTTTAAAGCATTGACTACATACATTATTCTGTTCTAGGTAAACCATCATATGAGATGTTGGAGAATCACCCTGACTGGACACCATCCTTGCGGTTAGGCCACAATAATGTTAAAGAAACAGATGGAGCGCGATATCAGCGGCAAGTAAAGCGCAGTACCCAGCATCTGGAGTAGAGCCCTGCACGGGCCTTTATCTGGGCCCGAGCCCGGCCCTGGCCCGAGGGGGTGGCGCCCCAGCCCGGCCCGGCCCGATATGGTTTCTCAATTTTCAGGCCCGAAACCCGCATCAAGCCCGCCTTTTTTTTTTTTTAACCTCCCATAACAATGTTTTAGCGTAGTATATAGTGCCGCGCACTGATATGAACGCAGACTTAGCTAGAGGGCGGAGTTATACATGGTAGTGATGTGTTGCAATGAGTTCTGTGTGTGCGGAGGGGTGCGGAGTGAACGGCCGCATCTGTATGATGCCCAGATGCTGCAACACACCTGTAAGTAATGCTATGTGCCGTCAATGACAACACTACACAGAACAACAAACACTACAGCGTGATAGAACGCTATATTCAGTGGGTGCGTTCGTAAATCTATTCTGCCGCTCTGAAAATGAAGAGCCCGGCCCGTGTCCGAGGTCATTATGCGGTCATCGGCCCGAAGCCCGGCCCTCGGGCTGTCGGGCCGTCGGGGCCCTCGGGCCAAGGGCTCAAGTGCAGGGCTCTAATCTGGAGCAGTCATCACTCCCAGCCCCAAGCCCAGCAGCCCCCATCGCCAGCCCATCGCCCAGCAGCCCCCCATCGCCCAGCCCAAGCCCAGCAGCCCCCATCGCCGGCCCAGCCAGCAGCTGCCTCAAGGAAGGATGAGGAAGCTCTCACCCTTCCAGCTTGTCCTATTGACTGTAATGCGCCTCAGATTAGACCTTCCATCTCAGAATTCACGTTGAGAGGGTGATTGGTGTTGTGCGCAACAAATTCAAATTCTTACACTCAACTGTACCTGTGCATATGCTTCTCAAATGTGAGGGTGAAAACCTAATGCCTTTAGATAAGATTGTCACTGTTTGCTGTGCCTTAACGAACATGTGCAAAAGTGTTGTTTGAGTGCCTTGTTCATAACTTATGAACCAACCAGAACCCCTCATGTCATCTGGATCCGAGTCCAGAGTCAGAACCAGACACGGAGAAGCTGCATTCAGCTTCTATGCTCCACATGTCTGGAACAAACTCCCAGAAAGCCTCAGATCAGCTGAAACACTCAGTTTGTTTACATCCAGGTTAAAGACCCACCTGTTCTCAGCTGCTTTTGAATATTTTTTATTCTAATGTACAAATCTGCACGGCTTCTTTTAAGCTGGAATTACTTATCTGTTATCTTTTTCCTATGATTTTTTGTTTTTAAGTTAAAGTTTAAAATATGATATTGTTTTTCATATTTCAAACTATTTTTAACACATTAGAATTCTTAGGTTAGACTGTCCAACAAACTATGTGTTAAAAAAGGTTAAGATTCTTGAGTTTTAAAATAATAATTCAATTCTAAAATGTAAAGTTACTGTATATTTCACAATGGTTTATAAACTGCAAAAAGACAACAGTACTTAGTAAACTAAGTTTAAAAACAGGGAGATCAGCTTTAATATTTGGGACACTCCCATCATTTAGACACCTGTGATGTCATCAGTTGGAGTTGAGTTCAGGTGTGGGACCATGTGGGACCATGTGGGACCATAGGAGCACACAGATGTTACCTGCTGCAGAAAGAGAGTTTAATGTTCATGTATTGCTTTGTTTAATAAATGGATTTAATGTCTTCCCAGGTCTTCAATGTCAGAGACTTTCACTTCTTCTCACTGTGGCTGTTTAAATGAGCCACTACAGTCGTTATTTTTGTTATTGTTAGCTGCAAATATTAAATATCCATTCATCTGCTGGTAGCAAGCTAACTAGCGCTTGCAACTCTATTCAATTTCTTACTTTTTCTTATAAACATTAAAACCAGCCATATGATAATTAAAATACATTTACCTTTGCTAATGCAGTCATTTTTTTGTGAAATCCATAGAGTATAATTTCATGATTGTTGCAATAACTAATGTTCTATGTGTATTCCTAATGTGTCATGTGTGTTTGAGTCTTACAGGTGTCAGACTGTGTTGAAGGTGTTCAAAGGTAAGAATCACACTCTCACACATTGATTGTTGTTCTGTATTAATATGTTGTTTTTAGAATAAACCATTATTTGGTGTATTCTCTTTGAAAACATCTATCTTTTTCTCAGATTGTTCAGCAACTCACTCATGATGAGGGAAAAGAGCAACAAGGGGAAAATGCCCCCTCGGAAATGCAACATGTGTAGAGTAATACAGGGTAAGTAGCTTCAGGGCTCATTTGTCCATGTGCAAAACAAATGCACATTTGCAATTGTTTTTTACATGGAATTACTCCAATGACCAAAGCCTTATCCCAAGTTTCTCAGACGGAGTGTCTTCCAGTGTCTCGAGTTAGTGCAGTGCCAAGGTTTGTATCACATGGTGACGGATCGAGTGGTTTGAGGCATTAATAGAAAGTTATGTGTTGTTATGTCACTTTGCCACATTATGTTGAAACTAAACATGTTCCACATTTCCAGGTGCTGTGCTTGGACCTTGTGATGAGAGACTGAAGACCAAGAGAGGACACATGTTGGAACATCAACATTCAATAAATGCATTCTTCTGCCTTTCAGATTGTGTTTTTACATCTGGGGAACCTAGAGTGTAGCTTGTGCCTGTTTTAATACTGATCCAAACATAGGTGCTACAATCATGTTTTTTTACTTTGGCATGAACTGTTCAGTACAGTAGTGTTCATAACACTGTGCCCTGTGTGCTTTAACTTGTACTTTGATGTAGAGAAACATGATTTTTAATGCAGCTCCATTTGCAATAATGACTGATATCCTTCTACTACAGTTGTTCTAATGATTTTTGAATGCTGTGTTTATCGTTTATTGCCCAGAGTCAGAACTAAACATGATATAGCTGCATTTCAGATTCACAAGGCTAAAATCTGGAACGGTCTTCCTGGAAATGTGAGACAGGCTTCTTCTTTGACAATGTTAAAATCCAGGTTTAAAACACTTCTGTTTCTGCTTCAACTGAGAGATTTTTTAGGATTTTATTTGTATCTTTTTAATTTACTGTCAATATTTATAATTGTAATGCCTTGTTTGATTGTTTCTATCTTTTGTTCAGTGCTTTGAGTTTCCTTTTGTTTTGACTGTGCTATACAAATAAACTTGCCTTGCCTATTGCAAAAAGTATGTCTCGACTATTAAGTCATTCTACAGAGGTCAATAGGACTGTAAATGGACGTCATATAAACGTCAATATTTTGGTCATATAAGACGTCGAGAGGACGTCGGACCCGACTGGTTCTGTACCACATTACAACCTTGAATGAACGTCCAGATGACGTTGGAATTACGTTGTTTTGACATCTGCTTGCTTAGTGGGAACGACTGAAAACGAACGTCATATAAACGTCAATATTTTGGTCATATAAGACGTCGAGAGGACGTCGGACCCGACCGGTTCTGTACCACATTGCAACCTTGAATGAACGTCCAGATGACGTTGGAATTACGTTGTTTTGACATCTGCTTGCTTAGTGGGAACGACTGAAAACGAACGTCATATAAACGTCAATATTTTGGTCATATGAGACGTTGATAGGACGTCAGACCCGACCGGTTCCGTACCACATTCAAACCTTGAATTGACGTGCCATCAACGTAACATTTGGAGGTTGAGGTGACGTCGGGAAACGACGTCGAGAAAACTTTCATTCTGCACCCACCAGTGACCTATATTCTACGTCGGACAACGACGTTCAAATTACGTTGATTCAACGTCGGCTTGCTTAGTGGGTATCACCTGATAAAGAGCAGAGCTTCATGGATGTAACAGTTTCAGCTGGTGGAGTGTCTTGTGAGTTTTTATTGAAACAGGTGTACCACGGCTCAAAAAGGAGGAACACTGTTAAAGCCTAAGATAGATTTTCTGGGGATTTTAATGTTACTTGCCATCCTGAACCCTTTTCCTTATCCATAGGTTATCTATAAATCCACACTTTTGAGCCACAAACTCAGCTACCTCTGTGTCTCCCTGGTCTCTCTGTGGTCATTCTGTGGTCTCTTTCTCTCTCTGGCATGTGGTCTCTCTCTGGTCTCTCTCTGGTCTCTCTCTGGTCTCTGTCTGTTCTCTCTCTAGTCTCTCTCTAGTCTCTCTCTGGTCTCTCTCTGGTCTCTCTCTGGTCTCTCTCTGGTCTCTCTGTGGTCTCTCTGTGGTCTCTCTGTGGTCTCTCTGTGGTCTCTCTCTGTGGTTTCTCTGTGGTCTCTCTCTGGTCTCTCTGTGGTCTCTCTGTGGTCTCCCTCTGGTCTCTCTCTGGTCTTCCCATAGCCCTCAGTCCTACTCCTGCCCCTCAGTTTCCTCTGCAGCTGTATTTTACAACCAACAGGTTTGATATCCCTGGTCTCTCTCTGGTCTCTCTCTGGTCTCTCTCTGGTTTCTCTCTGGTCTCTCTGTGGTCTCTCTCTGGCCTATCCCTGGTCTCTCTCTGGTCTCTCTCTGGTTTCTCTCTAGTCTCTCTCTGGTCTCTCTCTGGTCTCTCTGTGGTCTCTCTCTGGTCTCTCTGTGGTTTCTCTGCGGTCTCTCTCTGGTCTCTCTGTGGTCACTCTGTGGTCTCTCTCTGGTCTCTCTGTGGTCTCTCTGTGGTCTCTCTCTGGTCTCTCTCTGGTCTCTCTGTGGCCTCTCTCTGGTCTCTCTCTGGTCTCTCTGTGGTCTCTCTGTGGTCTCTCTGTGGTCTCTCTCTGGTCTCTCTCTGGTCTCTCTCTGGTCTCTCTCTGGTCTCTCTCTGATCTCTCTCTGGTCTCTCTCTGGTCTCTCTGTGGCCTGTCTCTGGTCTCTCTCTGGTCTCTCCCTCGTCTCTCTCTGGTCTCTCTGTGGTCTCTCTCTGGTCTCTCTGTGGTCTCTCTCTGGTCTCTCTGTGGTCTCTCTGTGGTCTCTCTGTGGTCTCTCTCTGATCTCTCTCTGGTCTCTCTCTGGTCTCTCTGTGGCCTCTCTCTGGTCTCTCTGTGGTCTCTCTCTGGTCTCTCTCTGGTCTATCGGTGGTCTCTCTCTGGTCTCTCTGTGGCCTCTCTCTGGTCTCTCTGTGGTCTCTCTCTGGTCTCTCTGGTCTATCTGTGGCCTCTCTCTGGTCTCTCTCTGGTCTCTCTGTGGCCTCTTTCTGGTCTCTCTCTGGTCTCTCTCTGGTCTCTCTGTGGTCTCTCTCTGGTCTCTCTCTGGTCTCTCTGTGGCCTCTTTCTGGTCTCTCTCTGGTTTCTCTCTGGTCTTCCCGTAGCTCTCAGTTCTACCCCTGCCCCTCAGATTCCTCTGCAGCTCTATTTTACAGTGTATGCAGGGCTTTTGACAGCTGCAGAAGCTCAGATATACAAACAACAGGTTTGATATCTCTGTGATCACACTTCAGCTGTAGTGAGTGCAGGTGGTTAGAAAAGTGTATAAAGTGTAAGGGTTTTACAGCCCTAAAACAACTACTGAGAGGATGTATTTATTGAGGGTCACTTTTAGGACGTTACCCTGACATAAACAAAGGACCACTGTCTTCTGTCTGAAGAGGTAGCAGTAATTCTAATTTCCTGTCTTGGATTACATGATTTACTATCACTTTAGGTTTATGGTTTCATGGTTTTATGGTAGGGGTAAGATTTATTTCATTTTTTGTTTAAGGCTGATTTTACCCGGAAAACACAATTTTCGAGAATATTGCAAACTTGGTATTTACTGCAGGTTTTTACTTTGGGACAAAATGCTGAGATTTCAGTCCCATTTTAAACTACAGTATTTGTTACCGATGGTGGGTGTCCTCTTCTTCTTCTTCTTTTTGAGTGGCGCAGAGTCATATGGTTCTGGGTTAAAACACACAGAGCCTTGAGAGTTCTTCCTGTTCTTGACCTCCTCCATCTCCACAGCAACTGAAGACGAACGGACAAAAATCGGTTCTTCATCCCTTCATTATATTTTATGCCACCATCCTTTCCCAGAGTCTGAACGTCCACACCATCTGATATCAAGTCATAACAGTCCAGGATCAGTTTTACAATCTGATCCTGATAATAACCATCAAACGTGTCCTATTCCTCCTTCTATTGACTTGTAACAGTAAACTTTTTGGTCTTAACTCTGAGCTCTCTGTGATCCTGGAGTTTCTATTTTTATAAGACATTTGTAATTGTCTTTGTAAATGTAGTCTTTGTAAATGGATCGGTTTTAGCAACACGTCTGCTTGTGTTACGCCGCAAAGCTAAAGTCAATGAAAAAAATCCTATTTATGTAGATTTCAGAAATGTCTCCATAAACCTGTTTTTTACAAATGATTATCATTAGGGGTTTGCATAAAAATCCGTTGTATAATGGTTAGCCTGGGTTTAGTGAATTCAGGGAAGACTCAAGGACAAGGTTGGCCTCTGTGATATAAGTTACATTTTGAGGAACAACATGTCTCTCTCTTATCCGAACAAGGCCTGAGACACAAAACTAGACTAGACCAGACCCAGACGAGGGCCTCAGTCGGTCTCACCATATGACGTCATCGGACATTTTGATAAAAGTGTTGGTGGGACATTTTGTCAGCAGTCTGAGCAGCGATAGATAGACAGAGGACATCGCAGAACGCCTGGATGTTCTCAGTACATTTTCAGGCCTGGAAGGGACAGTTAAAATGGCTCAGCTTAGGGTTAGTTATAGGGAATTAATAGCTCTGAGAGTTTTGTACCAATATTTAATTGTAAAGATAAATAAATATTATTCTAGTTTTAACTCTTGAATGCATGGTCTTATTTCTGTATCAAATTCGAACACGTCCGTCATTTTTTTTGACAATAATATAAGGAAAGTGGCTCCTCCAGCTTATGTTCATATCAAACACTAGTGGTCAGTCCACTCCTGACATACGGACTATGCTCTTAACTCGAACCAACCTTTACCTTCTTAACCCTCGTCAAAACCAAAACCATGGAGAACCCCCAGCCCTAACCTTCACCCTGACCTCTAATCTTACCTCAATTCAATAAATTTTTTGCTCTGCCCTAAATCAGAAGATAAGTTATCTCAGAAGACTTCACACGGAAAAGTGAGAAACCTCAGGAAGGCCCACGTGGCAACGGATCATAACCCATTTAAACAGTAACCTTGGCAAAAACTTTAACAGGGATCCTGACTGTTGTTTCCCTTATTCCCTAACCCTATTCAACATTAGGCCTGGGGACCAAATGAGGGCCCCCAAAAATCAGATCAACCCACACCCCCTAGTTTGAAGATCTTTACTTTATATAGTTTTTATAGCAGCAGGTAAATTGTGGTAAAGCTACACATGTTAAACGGTTTACTTCTATCACTATTTGTATGCTCGGCCTCTGTCACATGTTTAGATCAGCTTTTTCAAACAGAAAAGTGACAAAGACAGGACCACCCTCACTCAGCCAATCAGCTCCTAGCCCAAAGCGTCAAATAGTGACTTACAGGGCTCTTCAATGCATAAGATACTCTGTTCTAATACGTTAAAGACGGCCTGTTGTGGTAGAATTAGCAGAGCACTGAATGTGGAAGATGGACACAGTCACAAAGCCAGAGCAGACCTTCTGCTGGAGGATCGTCTTGACTCGCTTCCTTCTTGGGTTTTTTCTTCTTGCCTTTGACGGTCGGCATTCTGCTTCTTTCTGCCGAAAAACAAAACACAAAAACATGAAAAGTCATTGACTTCATGCTACAGTGAAGTTGGAGAAATCTGTCAGAGTAATTGGTTTACGCCTGATCTGTCCCAAGACGCTAAAGAGGTCACTGTGCTAAAACAATGTGGACTGTTTTACCAGTGGCCTTCAGGACCAGTGAGACACACCTGGTATTCTCAGCTTTTACCATGTGAGAAACCTCTGACACATACAATCCAACCTGCAGTGAAGATCTAAAGTATTTGTATATAGCCCTAAATCACAACAGCAAACATCACGTGACTTTACAAAGTTGTTGATTCAACAACATCAGATCAGAGAATCAGTGTGAACACACAAATGCTATAATAACGAACACATAAGAGCCATTGGTCCATATGGAGAGCGAGATGACCACTTCTACAAACGGATGGAGGCCAAAAATAAATGCAAACACCAGAGATAGAAGTTCAGCTTTAAACAGGATTTTCAACAACAACAAAAGGGTTAGAACCACATGTTTCCTTTGATGCTCTTGTCCTCAAAGTGTCCTTCTCCATGACTTCATGCACTGACTTCATGGTGAATGTTTGATTCCATTGCTCATACACAAACTTAAAGAAGAAATATTATGAATTTATTGTAGCCATAAGAATTGTAATGAGTCTATTTGCTTTTTTATAGAATGTGAAACATTAACTCCAGTAGAAAATATATGGAGAGTATCAAGGATTTACCAACATGGTTAAAAACTCAAACACAAGAAAAATCCATGTTGCACATGTCACCTCTAAGAGAAACGATACTTCGGCACTAAAAACAAAACTTACTATTGATTCATTTTGGTTTAGTTTGATGTATTTTTGTTCTCCTTGGAGAGGAGATCAGGGGAAGACCCAGGACACAGAGGAACTGTGTCTCTCAGCTGGGAACGCCTCAGGATTCCCCCAGATGAGCTAGAGAAGTGTGTGGGGAGAGGGAAGTCTGTGTCTCTGCTCAGAATGCTGCCCCTGCGACCCGGCTATGGATGAAGTGAAAGAACATGGATGGATATATTCATTATCTTGTTAAGATATACTTTCTGTCTGTCATGTTGATGTATGTAGACCCTCTGCTCCCAGAGGGCCCATAGAGCGCCTTTGTACATGTTTTTAGTGGTATAGGGGAAACCGGAGCACCTGGAGGATACCTACACAGACACATAATTCAACACAGACATAGAGGTTTTAACTATTGATTTCCACCTGCTGCATGTGAAGTACTTTTGCTTTAGAATAATATTTACCAATAGAAAAGGTTTTATACAGTGTTTTACATAAATGTGAAAAGGTAAATTATGAAATGTTATGTGGGTAAGTAAATTCTGACAATTTTATCAAACATAAAAGTACATATAGGCACAGGATAATTGATGTTTTTTACAACCAATACCTATATCCTATTATAATGGAGCAGCCAAAGATAGTCACTACAATACCACAAGGTTTCGCAGAAAGAAATCTAGATCACTGTCATTTTTTCTTTTCGCCTTTAAAGCTCGGACTGACAAACCTTATCAACCAGGACCCTTAGACACACAATTACAACAATCCAAACCCGAGCAAAACACACTGGGATTCAAAATGTCTAACCATGAGTAAAAACGGCGATATAAGTTGTGAAGTCAAAGTGAAAGAACCTCTGAAGAGAACCTACCTGAGTTCTATTGTTTACAGTGGGTCAAGATGCAACTCCACACAATTCCACTTTAAAAACGAGAGAAAGAACATAAATGGCGTTTTCTCACTGTTCGGGTGCAGTCCCAGATAAAAGCAAATAGACCATAGTATTTAAGAATCATTTGTACAAGTGTCTGAATGTGAGGAGCTAACAGGAGCAGAGGCTTAAGGCTTACAAACAGCAGGTGCCTGAGCTCCTCTAATCTGATTGGCTGGTGAGGTCACATGTCACAGCGCTTTACATACGCTCCATATGTTAAAGGTTTCCACGAGATGTGACGCTATGGAGACTCCACGCCAAATAAGGCTCTGAGTGTGATGTCATAGTGATGTCATGGTGGTGCAATGATGTCATACTGGTACAGAACTGAGGCTGGAGCTTTTGGACAGAAGGGGCGGAGCTACATGTTTGAGCCGGAAGTTCCTGATATCAGCGTGGATGGAGCTAAAAACAACTCCCGGTCTGTGACTGAGGAGGAACAGTGTTGTAATGTGGATGAAGATGACGAGATCCTTTAATGGTCCCACTGTGGGGAAATGTCAGTGTTGCATCACCAGTTACAGAACAGCAGGAATGAGGAGCAAACAGAACAAGATAAATGAACAATAACTCTATAATAAAATAAGTAACATCTCTAAGATTAGCATAATAAAAAAAAACAATAACTCTATAATAAAATAAGTAACATCTCTAAGATTAGCATAATAAAAAACTAAGTAGAAAACCTCTAACTTTAGCACAATAAAGAAGCAAGTATATTCTAGTTCATAAATATATAGTTGTATGTATACGGGTTAGCATTTTAGCAGCGTGAGGGTCTGGGACAAAGTGACAGTGACACATGTCATTCTACATTTTAAATTCCGACAATAAAAGCAAAACAATAATAATAATAATAATTTTGAAAATGGTCTCTCCTTTGATTTGTTTTGTTTGTATGGATGTGTTCCTGGGAGCAATAAAGTGTCTACTGTATCTATGTGTCTTTAAATTCTAATGGAAATGGTCAAATGCTAATCAGACACAGACACAGAGAGTTAACATGAAAAATTCATGAATGAAACTTATTGATGGCTTCATTGGCCACTACATGTTTTATCTAGGCCTGTAAATATATGTAAATATGCAAGGGATAATTGGGTCATATAAAACCCAATAATGTATTCTTGGGTTTTATATGACGTCTGGGCAGTGGCGCGAATAACAAGCGTGGGACAGGACGTGACGTATCCTGGCGGTGCAGTCTGCCTGGTTTATACACGGAGATGTAGAAGAAGAAGAAGCGCTGTCAATATGCCATCTTTTTGTGCGGTGTACGGTTGTGGCAACCGCACAATCAGTGAGAAAGACAAGAGTTTGTTCCGTGTTCCAACTGTGGTCTCATATAAAGGAGGACACTGGAATAATGCGGGCGAGGTGGATCAAGGCTTTCCCAGATTGCCTGCAAGCCACCCGAATGAAACGCGGCAATTTCTTCTGTTTTCTTTTTTCAAACATGCTCGTTATCAAAACTCTAAACAACAGCGCACGAGTCTATGCATACGAACATGACATATGCATAGACACGCATGAGTGTGAGGGGGGCAGTGGAGGCGAAGGCTTCGTGAGTGCTGGGAGGGGAGCAGAAAGAGCGAGACCAGATTTTTTACTTAAATGCAACAGTTCTATGGCACTTTTATATAGCAGTAAATAAACTTATTAATATTTATTTGCATTCAAAGTGATCATTTTAGAATGCAAAATGAACTTTATGTTTTATTAGATGACTATATTTCTAACAGCTTTTCAATTATCAACCCAATTATTGTGATACTGTATTATTTTCTCTTTAATGGAGCAGACCTAGTTCCATCTATAATTTACAAAACGCTGTAGACGTAGTGATGGTTGTGACAGACCAAGTTTTTTGCTGGAATCTTTACCGAACTCGGTTGGATTCAGACTGTACAGACAATAACAAACAAACAAAAAGACTATGTAGCTTTTCAGAATCAGAATCAGAATCATTTTTATTGCCACGTAAGTAACAAACAAAAGTTACCACTTGGAAATTGTCTTGGCAGAGAGCGTGCCACTTCGCCATTTGCGGCGCTGTGTGCAAGCAAGAACAGCAGAGAGCAATAACACACAGTTTCACAGGCAGTTGGATAGACACGTTGTGCTTTGTATAAAACACAGATTTTTTTCTTGGGATGAACACCTCCGGCTGCCTGCCCAATGTGGCTGTCAGAGAGGGGCTGGGACAGGGAGTGGGTAAGCCGGAAAGACAATAGGGAATGAGAGGGAGGGAGGGAGAGAGATGGACAAGTAGAGGGAGGCGGGGAGAGGGGGGTCCGTGCTGGAGCAGCAATGGAGTGTTGATGAGGAATGTACCGGTTTATCAGTGGCCTTGGCCATGAGGAATGTGAAGATAAGAGAAGAGACAGCCACAGCAATAAGGGAAAACACATCGCCTTGAGAGGGACAATTTATATGCAATGTAGCGGTCAAAAACAAGGCAGATATACTATAGATCCAATTAATCCGAACTGCGATCCCTCAGAACCTCCATACACAGGGGCCCCATGCCGGGTCAGAGAGTTCACCCCTGGCACACAATGTCACTCAGCCTCATTTCAATTGCCTTATGCCCCTCGAGAGAGCGTGTTGCGAGGTCTTTAAGCAACTGCTCAATTAGTACAACTCTCCTTTGACCAGTCACCGCGCTCTCAACGACCACTCGGCTTAACTCCTTGTACATCCCATCAATTTTGTTGGCCAGCAGGTCGTGAATCTTACGAACCGCCATGCCTCCGAATTTGCGGTAGAAAAAGACCTCTCCAAACCCGAAAAGGAGGATCCCCACCACCACCGTTCCAAGGATATATACGTGTTCCGAATCTTCAATAGACAGGACTGACAGACAAAGGGGTCTCCACGATATATGTAGCAGCTTACTTGCAAACGTGAATTAGTTCACATTATGTGTCATGAACGGCAGACATCACTGTAAATGGACGTTAGAATTTGTTTTTCATTGAAAACTGAGTGACAACTGTTTTCTCTTTTGAAACAAAACGAGAGAAAGTTTTCCTCCCTCCTGTATTCTCGCTGGTGCCGCTTAAATCATGTATCACCAGACCAGTGGCGGAGCCAGAGGGGTGGCCACTGCCATCTCTAAAAATACCCTTGTCAGCCCCAGCGCCCCCCTCAGAAGACGGCAATGTAATAATGTGCATATCTTGAGAATCTTCAACTTTTTCCGCCGAAAACTAAATATTCCCACGGTTTCCACCGTCT